ATCTGACTCCTGGTGAGGCTGAAGCAATCAGAACATTGTGTTCTCGTTTTCCTGAGGTGCTGACGCCAAAGCTTGGAGTCACCAATCTTTTGGAGTACGAAATCCGTTTGACTGACACCCGTCCAGTTCGTTCTCATCCTTACAAACTTGCTCCACCCAAAATGGAGACACTCCGTGGAATCATCAATGAGCTTCTTGAAAATGGGGTAATTGAGCCTTCTCGCTCAAGTTACGCTAGTCCAGCTTTTCTAGTTCCAAAGCCAAATGGCAAGTCTCGAATGGTTCTAGATTATCGCAAGTTGAATGCTCAGATTGAAATTGACTCTGTCCCTCTCCCTGATTTGCACTCTGCGTTCGATTGGTTCGGTAAGGCCAAGTATTTTTCCGTCTTTGATTTGAACCAGGCTTACCATCAGATTCCCTTGAAACCTGAATCTCGACCTCTCACTGCCTTCTGCGTTCCGTGGAACTTGTACCAGTTCACACGTGTACCCATGGGCCTAGCTGTGGGGGCCCAGACCCTCACCAGACTTCTGGACTCCATCTTTCATGACGTCAAGTTCAAATTCGTGTTCAACTATCTTGACGATCTTTTGGTGTACAGTGAGAGCTTTGAAGACCATCTGGTTCATCTTGAGGAAGTCATGAATAGGTTGCTTAGGGCTGGCCTTACCGTAAATCCCGAGAAAGTTAGTTTTGCTCAGGCTGAGATTTCTTTCCTAGGTCATCTAGTATCATCTCGAGGTGTCTGTATCGATCCGGCTAGAACCCAGGCTATCAGGGAGTTTCCTCCTCCCCGAGATGTCAAAGGCATTGCCCGTTTCATTGGCATGGTGGGTTTCTACCGGCGCTTCATCCCCAATGTGGCTGAGTTGGCGGCTCCTCTCAATGAGCTTCGGAAGAAGGGCGCCAAGTTTGTTTGGGGTGAAGCACAACAGATGTCTTTTGATCTTCTGAAAGAAGCTATCATGCAACCTCCAGTTTTGGCGATGCCAGATTTCAGTCGAAAGTTTGTTTTGCAAACCGATGCTTCCTCCGTCGCAATTGCGGCTGTGTTGTCTCAAGAGGTAGATGGTGTTAGGCAGCCAATTGCGTATGCCTCACGCACTTTGAACCCATGCGAAAAGAAAAGCTCTTCTGTGTATGAGTTAGAGTGTTTGGCTGTCGTGTTTGGAGTGAATAAGTTCAGACGTTTTTTGGAACACAAAGAGTTTTTGCTGGAAACCGACAACCAAGCGCTCTCGTGGCTCCTTGCACATCCTCGCCAGCTTGGGAAAATTGGTCGTTGGGTTGTCCAGATATCTTCCCTAAAATTCCAAGTGCAACATGTTCGAGGCACGCAGAATGTGATTGCTGACACTTTATCAAGGATGTATCACTCACCTGACGACCAACCTTCTGATCAGGAGGAGCACACAGGGTGTGCCGTGCTCCTGGAGTTTCCCCTTGCCTTTTCTGAGTTCATCCCACATCAGTTAAAAGATCCCGAGCTGGCTAAGATCATTGGTGAGCTTCAAAATGGGGGAGCCCACCCCCCATATTTTCTGTCCCAGGGTGCTCTTTGTTGTCGAGACCGACAGCGAGGTAAACCCAAGGTTGTGCTGCCTAGTCTTCTTGTACCCATGGTCTTTGCGTACTTTCACTCTTCCCCTGTGGGTGGGCACTTAGGGATTCACAAGACCATTGCGAAGGTTAGGGACATGTTCATCTGGAAGGGTATGGACAGGGACATTGCGGCACGAGTGCGTTCTTGTCAAACATGCTCGCTAAGCAAGCCTGCTCAGAATACCAAGTATGGGTTGTTGTCATCTGAGGTGGCGGAGAGACCTTTGGAGAAGGTTTTCATAGACTATGTAGGGCCACTCCCACGTAGCAAGTCAGGAAACAAATTCTTGCTTGTTTGTGTGGATGCCTTCTCCAAGTTTTGTTGGCTTTTTCCTTTGAGGAACGCCACTGCACAGCTCACCGTGCAGGCACTTCGTACCCATTTGTTCCAACACTTTGGAATACCCGCCACCATTGTTTCCGACAACGGAACTCAGTTTGTGTCTCACCTTTTCAAAAGAATGTGCTTTGGGCACGGTATCCGCCATGTGACCACTTCTCCTTACTATCCACAGCCTTCCCATGCTGAGAGGTTCAACAGAAATCTTCGATCCGCTCTCATAGCTTTTCATGCTGACAAGCAGACCACCTGGGATCAGGAACTTCCTTGGATTCAATTTGCTTTCAATACTGCACACCATGAGAGTCACAAGGCGGTCCCTTTCGAGCTGTTGTTGGGCTATCCACCCAATAATCCCTTGGCAAATGTGTGGAAAATTGGCGACCTTCTGCCACCCCCTGGTGCTGCCAATGTCAAGGCAACTTGGCAGGCGGCTAGGAGGAACTTGATCCGAGCTAGGGAATTGGTACGGAGGAAGCACAATCGAGGTCGGTTGGACAATCCTTTCCAGGTGGGGGATTTGGTTTTCTGCAAGGCTCATCCGGTCAGTTCGGCCGTGGACAAGAGAGCCGCTAAGTTGTCTCATCGGTGGTCAGGTCCCCACCGCATCTTGAAGTTCTTGACTCCTGTCTCCGTGCGGCTAGGAAATCCGCAGACTGGAGAAGTTTTCCGGAGGGCTCACATTTCTCATCTGAAGCCTTTCCGGGGAACAATTCCGTAGGTCTTCTTTCATTACTCTTGTGTCTGAGGGGGAAGTGCACTGGGCCAGAGAGCTTGATCACCTCTTCTGTCCCTTGTGCGCTGCTGAAGATTTTTCCCTAGTAAATTTTCCAGCACTGGCCAGTGCAAACCCTGGGGGTGAGTAGTCCCTCCAGTTGAAAGACTTTTGGCGTTCCCCACTTCAGACACTTGAGTTGATCTGTTGGTGTTGAGATCTTCTAGAATTGGGAGAGGTTGTTTTCTTTTTTTTTTGGAGAGGAAGTCCTCCTTTGGGGGGGGAGGTTGAGCCGTGACTTGTCCACCAAGCGTCCCACCAGTGTCACGCCTCAGTTTTTTTTATAGTGCGAGTGCTGGCTTTGCGCCGGAACTCAATCGGTTTGGGTCTGGCAGCAGTCCTGCAGACCCCGGGGCAATTTTTCCGCTGTCGGACACATTTTCGGCAGAAGGACAGCGACTGTCATTACTACACGCACACAGTTTGTTTTGTTATTGTTGTGCCTCAAAATGTATCCGTGTCCATCGATATCATTTTCTGTTTTATTGTTTTCACTTTAACAAAAAGTTATGTAGTTAAGCGGTTTGCCGTCGTCAGATGAGGTCCCGGATGGAAGCTTTTATTCTGCTGCTTCCGGAGAGGGTCGCCCGGGAAGACACTTCAACTTCTTCCTCTTCGGGCTACCAGTCACCCTGCTCTTGGGGCCAGTAGGCCGCCCTCCGCCACGTGCCACCGCCGCATACCACCAACAAGGACTATAAGGACTATTGTGCCGTCAATATAACCGCAAGTTATTTTGAAATTATGAACATTTCTCTTTGAAAAGGACTACTGATTAATGGGGGCCCCAAAAATGATTTATCACCTGTTAATTATCTTTATAGTATTTATTTATTGTTAATTCTTTCTAAAGTTTAATATTTACCGTTAACTTCTTTTATTTATTCTTAGTTAGGCCTAACTTTTACAGTTACCACTTTTCCAGTTTGTAATTCAGAAGGGTAAATTTTTGAGAAAGAGATGATTTAAAAGAATTCTTTGGATGGCTGACATTGTTGATTGTTGTTTTTTGTTGATTTTGATTAAATATAGGCTTTGTTCACTATTTGTTTTGTGTCTGATATTCACCCACGGCCTATCACTTGTTAGGGATGTGGGGCGGCCACTCGCACTGTCACTATGGGGGGCATGCTTCCAATAGTTGTTCGTCTGGGGGCGGTGCGAGGGGTCGGCTCAATTTTATATTTCCTGATAGTGCTCAAAAATACTATTGAATGAGTAATACTAATACTTGAATAGAAAATTTTATCACAGGTTAATTCTCAGGTATCTTAGGTAGGGTTTTTCTGTACAAAATTACTGCATAAAAACAGCATGTACTATTTTAGACTTTTATTGTTGGTGAAATATAGATTTAACAACTTTGTTAACAGGAATCAACCTCTTAACTTGTGTTATTTTAAAACTGTAAATAAAACTAACTGTTTTAAGAGAAGTCCTTTTTGTGGATTTTGTTTAACAAGGACTGCGGCTATTTTAAATATAATAACTTAAACAAAAAAGTTACACTTCAGAATCAATTTACACTCACTCAAATTTACTCAATCGATACTCATTTAATCAGATATTACAGTAGACTCCCTCTTATCCGGACCCCTTTTAACTGAACATCGGTTTAACCGGACTACACTCGGCGGAAATGACATCTCTTTAACCGGACAATTTTTATCAGCACATCAGTTGAACCGGTCTAGATTGGTGAGACCAGTGATCACATGTCTTAATAATCTTCTCCTAAATTTAAGTCAAATATGTATACAGTGTGCATTTAAACGTTCCATTTTAACAAGTTTTAGGAGACATCGGAAAACCCGCTATCCATACTGGCCTCTGTGCCGAGGAGTCTGGATAAGAGGGAGTCTACTGTATATCCGCTTTTGAAATCTCTAGTCATGGAGTTTGACAAATCTATGAGATCCTTGGATCATAAGTAGGAAAATAAATCTTTAATAATATTATAAAAAAATATTAACTATAATTATTTATGAACTGTTATATGCTTATAAATAATAAATGTAAGGAATGGAAAACTGAATAAATACTGATCCATAAATATTAATCAACAAATAAATATCCTAAAATATTCCTGTATCATCCCAGCACAACTAATTCAAAAATGCCAGATTTTTACCCTGCCCTAGTTGTATCATGAATAAAGTGAGTTCTTATAAAAAAATTACAAATACTGACTTGCACAATAATACGATTTTATATTTTAATAAGTTGAAACAATTAGTATCATTTGGATGTCATGTTTCATTATAATTTTTTGTGTTTCAGATGATCGTATACAAGAAGGAAGAGAACGGACAGTCACTGATGGCGGCCATGTTGAGTGATGAGGTGGTGGACAAGCCACCTGTCAAGGTATCAACTGAACAAACTGTACTTAACACAAAAGATATACTTACAGTTAACATGACACAAATCTACAATTTAAATAGTCAGATTGGTCATTGGTTTAAGTTACAGGAATATTTATTTTCTGTGATAGAAATTTTAATCCTATACAAAAGCTTTCATATTTCTAGCTTAAGACTCTTGGAGCATATTCCAAACAAATGCAGATTCTTAAATTTACAAGTATATCTTTAACTAAGGGGGGGGAGTGTTTTTTTCAATAGGTGCTGTTTGAGTTTGAGGAAACTGTTTTCTGTTTTGAATTATTCCACTAAGTTACCTGTGACCCTGAAACTCCTTCCAAAAAAAAATACCCCCTCCGCAGCAAACCTGCAGACTAAGCGAATTTCCATTTGACTGATTGGATTTACACTGAACTGTCTACTTAAAAATATAGCATTTATTCCCGATTTAAATAGAATTAGTTTCTTAGTATTTAGGTTTGCTGCATCAGGGAGGGTAAAACCGTTTTTTTTTTTTGTAAAATGTTAATAGTTAGTAAGAAATAAAAACATATTTTCCAAATTTGATCAAAATATGTTCATAAACAAGCAAACTACAACAGTTTACTTATTCTCCATAAGAATAACATGGGAATTTTAAATTTACAATTTTTTAGAATTTTCTCTGTAACCATTAGGCGCATAATAACGCTTCAATATACTAAATTATTTGTTTTTTTAAGCTCTACAAAATGGTTTGGAAATAAATTGCTAAATTTTGTGTTTTTTGGGTCAAAAATGGGAAAAACCTATTTTTACCCCATAAAACCCCCCGTAAACACCCGTTCCCATGGTCCGATCATGCTGGATCGCGAACTCGTTCGAATAAACGTAGGTTTACACGTTTGTACCAAATTTCATCAAAATCGGATCATTTTTGCTCGAGTTATCGTGCTGACGGACACATATATATATATATAAATATATATATATATGAATTTGAACGGATGGTGTTTTTGGCCTCTAGGGACCTCAAAACGAAAAAAAAAATCGGTCCCGCGTCCAGGTCTTACCATGAGTACTACGGTAATAGCTTATTCCCTATATGGGAAATTCGCTAAAAAAAAAACTTTCTGGAAAAAATAAATGTTGCTTATCATACAACCCATGCTTCTCAGTGGAGAAGTGTCTTCCATTGGTGCATATATTCTTTAGCACTATTGCTGGTGAGGCAGTAGTGCAACAGGCTACAAATCTAGGGCAAAATGTTGAGTTTGTTGATAGCACCTTTCTTTGCTTAAGCCAGTCATGGGCCTGAGGCAATGCAGGATTGCAAGAGACTGCCAACCTCTTAAAACAAGTAAAAAGATTATTTTGTCTTGTCCTGTTACTTTTTGTCCTTAAAGGCACAACACTTTTTTTTGACAATGTTGCCTGCTGTAGGTGCCCAACAAGCACATCATCCCTGCAGACAGCATCCTGGTCAACAAGGAGCTTGGCACTGGGGAGTTCGGTGTGGTGCAGCAAGGTGTCTGGACCAATGATGGAGAGAGGGTATGTACCTTGTTTTACTGTAACATCCAACCTTCCAAATTGTCAATACCACTCTGGATAAAGCTAATTGTAATTGTTTTCTACCAATGTCAGCTTGTATATGGAACTAGACACGTCCAGCACTGCAAGCCTGATCCTGCTCGGTTTTGGTAGTGTCTAATGTCACGTCATGCTGTTAGTTTTTTGTGTAGTTGTTTCATGTAGAAGTAAATGTGTTTATATTTTGATGTAACAGTACCATTTTATGGCAATAACACCTTTTTAAATGTTTTTACTAGTTTACATTACAAAATAAGAAATTGTTATTATGGTATGTTTTATTTATTGTTCACTCTTTGTTCTCCAAGTTCAGATGTATCTGACACAATAAGTAAAGCAACCAAACTTCCACCTACAACGATCTATGCAAAAAATGGTTGAAAGCTAAACCTTAACTTGTGCTGTAATGATAATGATAATAAATCTTTACTTGTTGTAAAAATACAGAGGTGTCATTGACAAAGTCATAAGATGCAAAACAACTGCCAGTTTGAGGGTCAAATTTAGAAAAACCACACTTGAACTTGTGTTTGACCAGTGTTATTGTGGTAGACAGCTAGGTTTGATCAATGGCCGAGCAGTCTCCAATCAGGAGACAGGACTGTGTATTTAAGGTTTGAATCTTGTCTCATTATGGTTAGTGAACAATCATGACAAGTTTGCCTGTCTGTGACAGAGCTAGGTAGGATAGGCCATCTGAAGTAAACGGTGGCCCACTCAAGTTAAAGTGGGATGGTTTGGTTAATTCTTTGTAAGCTAGCCTCAAATCAGGCATTTAGCTTTTTTATTCACCTATTCTTAGTGTGTGAGTTCACTTATTTTAAAATAATTTTGATTTTATGTCTATAAGATGAGGGAAATTATGATACAAATAGGAATGATTAAATTGCAGAATAAACCGTTGAAACTGATTCATTCTTGAGTGCATAAGACTTGTACTTAGTTTGTGTAATCTGGCTGTCCTATATCCCACATCTTGTTATATCTACATACTTTACGAGCAATTGTTTGAAACGTAAAATAAATTCACTCCAGTCATCTGATGTGTTTCTTGTCACAGATCCAAGTGGCCATCAAGTGCCTCAGTCGGGAGAGGATGCAGAGCAATCCCATAGAGTTCCTGAAGGAAGCGGCCATCATGCACGGGATAGAACACGAGCACATTGTCCGACTGTATGGCGTCGTGCTGGATACCAATGCACTTATGTTGGTATGTCACAGTCAACCAGATTTAGAGAAGCAATAGTCTTTCTGTTCATATGGCCTTGAAAACACTGAAGAATGTTTAACAATTGATGTCACAGTTTCAAGGTTTTCTGGCTGTCATTTTTCTGATACAATACTTTGGGCCCAATCTACCATATAATTTTTATTTTTTATGTAGCTTATTATTGTAAATAAAAATAATAATGTAACTCAAAGGTTTATGTTGGGGCAAGTTATGAAGCATATTTGGCTATTCTTACTGTTTGAAAAATTCTGTTCAAGTAGACATGGTACTTAGTTTACTGGAATTCTTTGCGGTTGATTGTTACCAGCAATTTTGATCAACGACCAAACTGTCTACCCCAGGAGATTAATGTCTAAAATTGCCTTGGTAGTCAATTCTTATGTTGATTTTGTAAGGAATTGTCTTGTTTGTGCCAAAACTTAGTGGGGGAGAAGAGAGACTCAGTAAAGGTGGGCACCTCAGTTGGAGTTAGAGGAATAGGTGGATCATGTGAATTGCATCTGTACCTCTGAAAAATCATTTTGCTACCTTTTACAGACCCTCAATTTTTAGGAGGGTGTGTTCACTATAAGTTGAAATTTTATTTCTTAATTCATTCATTGTGAGAAATAATTAAAAAATCCAATCATTGTTACTTTTAAAGTCTAATTACATGAGTCTAATTGGTTAATTAAGTTAATCCTTCTAAAATTTAAACATCATCAAGTTCTGTCAACCACAGTGACAGAAATGTTATAGATATATTTCTAACCTCAAACAAAACCCATCTGGACTTGGCCGTTTGGATTGTGGACATTTTGAACTTTTAATTCCAAATGAAAGTATAGTCAGCCAAATAAATCGAAAAGATAAAATATGTGATGAGATGATTACTAATAGTAAAATTTCTAAAAGCATTTCCAGAGAAGTGAAATTTAGGACCTCAAAAGTAAAAACTAAAGCCAAACCAACTCCAATTTCCGATAATACAAATAAAGCTGTATACAATGAATGCTATGACCACGGAAGTGTCCAATTTCTTGTAACAGCAGACGATGTCAATCAAGATGATATGATTAAAGACAATTTTATGAACAAGTTATTTACCAGAGGATTCGGAGTTCCACTTCTTAACTCTGTAAGTTCTCAAGAAAACAATGAATGGCACAAACAGTGGCTTTGTGCAATGAAATTAAAAGGAAGACAATATACAATACCACAAGGTTCAATTGGAAGGCAATTTGTAGATGTTCTAGCCAAAGAGATCCAAGCAGTCCCAAATGGTATAAATTCAACCGAAAGAATATTTTTCTTATGTGCTACCATTCTTCAAAAAGATAAAATGATAAAAAATGGGTCTGACATAAGACGTTTGATGAAGAAAAGAATGGAAATGTGGGAAAATGATCAATTTGATGAATTAATACGTGAAGCTGAGAGATGTGATCGGCAAATGAAAACATCACAATAACACCAAGAAGAAGACCAGAAAATAAGAATCTTCACAAGATTGGTATTACAAGGAAAATTGCGTGAAGCTACAAGATGGCTCACAGATCGCTCCGGCGATGGAGTACTCACACCTGACGATATCCTTCCTGATGGTCAAAATGTTTTTCAAGTTTTAAAAAATAAGCACCCACGTCAAATGGTTCCGAATGACAATACCTTTCTAGCTGATGAGAACTTACCATTGATGGTAGATGTAGATATATCCAGTGACCACATAGAGAAGATGGCTAGACGTTTGCATGGAAGTGCTGGCCCTAGCGGAACAAATGCTGATCAATGGAAGAATATGTTGCTGCGCTATGGAGCACATAGCACTCGTTTAAGGGAAGCAGTCGCATCGTTAACTCGATGGATGGCAAACGGGATAGTAAACTGGAACTCGATCAGAGCTCTGTTAGCTAGAAGAGGATTAGCACTGAACAAATACCCTGGTATTCGCCCAATAGGAGTTGGAGAAGTTTTGCAGAGACTATGTGCAAAAACCATGGCTTTTGTAACAGGTGACGATGTTCAAGAAATATGTGGATCTGACCAACTCTGCGCCGGAACGAAAGCTGGAATAGAAGGTGCTATACATGCTATGACGGACCTATTCAATGAAAAGAACCAAAATTGTATTTTACTTGTAGATGCTTCAAATGCGTTCAACGCCTTGAGCAGGCCTTTAACTCTGTGGAATGCTAGGGTGCTTTGGCCTCGTTGCGCTCGTTTCCTATTCAATACATACCAAGGCTATGCAACCATTATGTTTAGAGGAAGCAATAAAATCATCCTTAGTCAAGAAGGAACCACTCAGGGAGACCCTTTAGGCATGCTAATGTATGCAATTGGCATATTACCTTTGGTAAAAAAACTAAAAAGCCTAAATTGGAAGCAAAACTGGTACGCTGATGATTCTGCATGTTTCGGTGAAATAAAGTTAGAGAATGGTTTAACGCTTTACGTGTTGAAGGGCCAAAATGGGGGTATTACCCAGAACCCAAGAAAAGTGTATTGATAGTAAAACCTGAATATAAAGAAAAAGCAGAAGAAATTTTCAGAGACCTACAAGTGAAAATTGTAACATCGTACAGGTTTTTAGGGGGTATTATTGGTAGCTCAGAAGAAAAGAAGGAATTTGTGAAAGAAAAAGTAAAAAAATGGGTTGATTGTATAAAGAAATTTGGCATAGCTGCACATAAAAGTCCTCAAGCAGCGTATACTGCCTTTACTAAGTCATTACAAAATGAATGGGCATTTCTCCAAAGAGTAACAGAGGGATTTAGTGAAGAATACGAAGATTTAAAAACTGCCATACATCGCCATTTCACTCCCAACCTTTTCGAACAAGAGATTTCTGAACTTGAACATGACTTGTTCTCTCTCCCTACTCGGTTTTGGAGGCTTAAATATTCAGGACCCGACAAAGAACGATGGTATTTCATTTGAAGCATCAAAACAATGCACAGAAAAATTAATATTAGCCATTAAAAATGGGCAACCATTAAAGATTAATGATCATGTATCAACACTACAAGATGTAATAAAGAAGAGAAAACTAGAAAAAGACATGTTGGCTAAAGCAAATAATGAACAAATTATGGAATTACTTCCTGAAAGTCAAAAGAAGCCAATACTTAGAATTGTAGCAGGGAATACTAGCCAATGGTTAACTGTGACACCATGTGCATCTGATCATACGGATTTGTCCCCGGATCATTTCAGAGATGCTTTGTCAATTCGCTATGGCCGCACACTAAGAAATTTACCAGTACGATGTGATGGTTGTGATCAACCTATGAATCTAACACATGCATTAAATTGTAAAAAAGGAGGATTGATCAAACATGGGCATGATCAACATCGAGACCACTGTGCTGCGATAGCAAATATGGCCTGGAAAGGGGTTGAAGTCGAGCCTATTATGAGAGAAGCTGACCCTGCAAACAATGTGCCTGCTTTAAAAGCTGATTTTAAAGTTAATGGTATTTGGGAGGCTGAGAGAGTAGCGTTTTTTGATAATCGCATTGTTAATGCTGACGCTCCCTCTTACGCCAACCAAGAATGGGGAACAATATCTCGAAACCATGCCGTTCAGAAACACAATAAATATGACAAAGCAGCCAAAGACATCAGAGGAAGCTTCACACCATTAATATGTTCCACGGAAGGAGTCCCCCACAAAGAATATGAAGCGTTTCAGAGGAGAACAAGCGAAGCCCTGGCTGTAAAATGGAGAAAACCATACTCCCAAATTATCGGATGGTTGAGGATCCAAAGCCAGCTTTCCGTCATTCGAGCAGTGTCGCTAAGGCTACGGGGAACTAGACGAAAAATTCGAAGCATTCAATTTTATGATGGTGCCGCAATTCCCCCATTGCTCTATTGAGCTTTCATTGTATTTTTTTAAACATTTATATTTGATTGAAAATCATAGTCATATGTTGAATTGTTTGAAATGTATAAATAAAGTTTTATTGTATTCTCTATCTGACTTTGAAATATTTACATTTCATATTTTGAATTTGCAGGTGACTGAGTTGGCGCCTTTGCGTTCATTACTGGAGTGCCTTAAAGAACCTTCCCTGCGGTTTAGCTTCCCAGTCCTCACCTTGTGTGACTTTGCTATTCAGATCTGTGATGGCATGCAGTACTTGGAGAATAAGAGACTTATACACAGGTCAGTACGTTGCAACGTCAGTTTTGTAATTAAATTGACTATCAACAGGATAAAAGTGTTCGAGTTGCTAATATTATATTTTCTGTTACAGAGACTTAGCTGCAAGAAATATTTTAGTTTTTTCAAAAAATAAAGTGAAGATATCAGATTTTGGCCTTTCAAGAGCACTCGGAGTTGGCAAAGACTACTATCAGACGAACTTCAATGTGAATCTAAAACTTCCAATTGCATGGTAAGTATTGTGTTTTTCATTTGCTTAATTTATTTAAGTCAAACATAAAACTAGCCATGTGTGTATTTTAATCCAAATACAAGTAAAGGATGAGTGTGTGACGGTCTTCATTGTTGGATTGGAACAAAGTAAACATCTCAGCCCGAATCTTAGGCGAAAACCACCTACTCGGAGCCTATTTCGTGCCTGGGCTCACCACGGACATCGTACTAGGTATAAGGTGTATTGAAGACCTTTAACCTCATACAGATAAACGTCATCAACTGTGGCGCATTCGACTCAAACACGGCTCTCCCCAATAGAACGTTCTTTTTTTTTCTTTTAGGTAGAATGAAGTGAGATGCTTTGTGTAGCTTTTTTACTGATTTGGATCAGCTGTTTCGTAAGTCAAGACCATTTATTTAAAGCCTAATGATCAAGGACATCTGGTTCCAGTTTTAACCATCTAAAAGCAACTTTATAACCACTCACCTCCCTGCTACATCTTGATATCTGCAGAAAATGTCTTTCTGGAAGGGGTTAAATGTCCGCTGGTAAATTATAAAGAAACCAGTCTGCAACAAACATGTATTGTTGTTTAGGTGTGCCCCAGAGTGTATCAGTTACCTGAGGTTCACGTCAGCGTCAGATGTGTGGGCCTACGGTGTCACACTATGGGAGATGTTCAGTTACGGGTTCCAGCCCTGGGCAGCTCTCACAGGACATCAGATACTAGAGGCCATCGACGAACCAAACTTCCAGGTACTGTACTAGGGTGTCAATAGCTGAGAATTATTTTAGTAACTAAGTACATTCTTGGATCTGTTAAGCTTTGACAGTTCAGTTACAAAGCCCACAATAATACAAGGTAACTGAGAATCTGACTTAATTGATGAAAGTCTGGATTTAATTAAATAATCTCAATTAAAAGAAATGTAGGGCTATTCGGGGATTGTTTAGAGGAAGTATTTAAAAAAGCGCCTTTACAAAAACAATCCTAAAGTAGTCATTTTCAATTTTGAGAAAAAAGTAGTTAGTTGTGTTGTGTCAAATAAAATGCATTAAAATTAAATACATTTTGCATTGTAAATGCTGTATTTGGTTGATAGGAATCTACTTGTTGATGCTACTTAAGACGATGCTATGCAGCAAAACTGTGTTTTCAGTGGCTCATTCTTAACCTAACTGTCTGAAAACTTTGCAAATTAATGTAAAATGGGTGTAAGGGTTAAGCAAAGTCTGTATTAGGGGGATCCAGATTAATGATTGCCAACAGTAAATTCAGTCAAAGTAAGTTAATAATAATGGTTAAGTTTCGCCAGCAATTGTTATTAAGTAAACTTAGTAACAAATGTTGGTGAAACTAAGGTAAGGGCTTTCTTTAATTCTGTAAAAGGTTGAGTTATTTATTTGGTGTAACAGAGACTGGAACAACCCGATTGCTGCCCCAAGGAGTATTATACGTTGATGCTGAAATGTTGGCAACATGACCCCAACAAGCGGCCTCGGTTTGCTGACCTTATGGTCCTGCTGCCTGACGTAAGTAACATATCAATGATTCCAATACACCTAAATGCCATAATGATAAGGTAATCATAGTGTTTTGGAGTGCAGAGATGTCATGTTTTTAAATTATGTATATGATACTATGCATAGAGACGTTTTGCAGCTACCAATTTATAAAATAAGTTTTCCCCTATTATTACTTCAAAAAGCTGTTCAATTAAATGCCCTGTTAAGCTTAAAGATTCTAAAAACTGTTTTGAAGGATGATCGAATACATTTTTATAAATCCAAATGGCCTATTACAAGAAAACATAGATACAAAATAATGTACCGTACCGACCTTAAAATTGTCTGTACCGCAGACCCCTGTATTGACAACATCACCTATTTTCCTAGCTGTAAAAAAGTGTTGGTAAGTTATAGGTTTTTATTCTTTAAACATGTTGACACTGTTAAATGTGCCTTGACTTAACATATGGTGTTTGATGTTGCAGTACAAGCCAGAGCAAGTGCAGGCAGTGCAGGAGCTGGGTCCTGACGAGAGAGTCAAGAGAGAACAGCTGGTGTACAGAGTGGGAGAGGTCATCACAGTTCTGGACAAACAGTGTGTAACTTTACTCATCCCTTATATTCCGGGTTAGCAAATAATTTATGATAGGCAAAACTGGTTTCATTGTTGCAAAATTTGGACAGATTTTTGTTTCTTTTGAAATTTGAAAAATATTAAAAACTATAAGCTTTTAAATCTTAGTAGATTATCCATTTTGAGTAAATAGTTGTCATAGCATTTCAAAATAATTTAAAAGAAACTTTAAAGCATCTCACAAGAAACAGAATATATTTAAATCAGAACAATTATGATAAAGACTCCCATACTGCAACTGTAAGGTTATTCTGAATTAAATAAAGCGTTTTTATATATTTTTTTACCATACTGTTCTTGTTGATGAGTCATTGTAAGTCATTATCTAGGCTTCTACCTCTACAGATAAGTAGATTTTTAGCAGGTATTATTTTCTTGGTATCAAAGTAGAGCATTTTCTGAAACCCAATAGGCTGTTAGTTTTTAATAACCGGCAACAACTAAGGACTTTCTCGTCTGTAAGGATGGTTTAGAGAATCGTAACTATAACTGCTCTATCTCTATTCTACATTTTTAACTTACACGTTATAGGTTAGGGATCTGCTTTACTGACAAGCGGAAAAACAGTGAAAATAAATTATAATTTTCCAACCTACGAGCTGCAGTTTGGATAGCAGGCTTACCTGAATGGGAATGAGTCTCTCTGGTACAAGAAACTCAAAACTCCACTGTACACAACGATTTGAATATTTCTCCGTCACTGATTGCTTTTTTGACCAAGAATGGTTTGAGTTGTAGAGGCAAGTCCTAAAATCCAGAAGCTTAAATAAAAGGCTACTCTCTCTCTCCATTACAAAAGCCTTCCTTAATTGAATATGTTCCGCCAGTGGCATTATATTAGATGTGTATAGCGTAAAGTGGTGATTCTTGTGCTCATGTAAATTCATTATCTCTCTAGTGAGCCTGCCATCCTCACAAAACCCTTTAAACATAGCATTTACCTCAGTTTAGTAATAACGTTGATTAGTATTGATACAACTAGACATTCCAACCCCATGTTAAAGTTGTTGCCTCTTATGTGAGCCACTGACAGATTGTACTGATCTTAATTACTAATTACATTCGGATACACAAATTTGTTTACCAAGTCAAACAAAGTAAATGACTTATTATAAGCAATAGCAACTGTTATGACCCATCAAACTTGGCCAGCAACAAAAAATAAGATAGAAAATATAATTTTAGACACTAGTGCATTCTGTGACTGGCTTACACAACTATGGAATTAAAAGAAAAATTTCTTTATTTAGGAGGCAAAGTTAGGACTTGCAAGTCCTCTCTACCACTTAACCTTTAACTTATGTTCTTTTTAATAAGTCTACTTCAGAATCCAATAGTCAATGGTATATCAATGTTATATGACACAGTTAGTGTTTTATGTAGGCCTGTTGCGGGGCTGAGTAACTGCTGGAAAGGTGTGGTCAACAGTGGCAAGACAGGACTGTTCAACCCAGCCCATACTGTGGCCTATCTCGGCAACAACCTGCCCTCTAACAAGCCTGGCCAATTCACCAGGGGAGGTACGAAATCATCAATACAGAATGACATCTCTAATTACATTCTGTTTATTTTCTATATACAATCAGAAAAATCCACTATTACGTTTTAATTGATAAGGAAGTGCTTCTAAGTGATCTAAGCGCTTGGGTATTGCTAAGTGAAGAACAGTACCAAGAATCATTTCGGTTAAAGAAACTGTTGCAAAGTTTGCAGAATGTTTTATTTTTGTAATACAGTACCAATACCAACATTGCGTGAACAGGGAGCATAAAAACAGTAGTGGTGAAGTAACAGAAAATAACCGAGTAGTCCAAAGTAATAATCTACAGAAAAGAATGCTTTTTATTGAAGTTTTTTTCTTTCAAGTCCCTGTTGACATTTACAACCCAATTCCAGGTAGGTTGTTCCTAAACAACACCCACTAGTCTGCAATAAATATTTGATACAGTTTGATGGTTGTGCAGATGGGAAGAACACGTACTCGTCACGTCGCAGCAGACTGAGGCCGGACATGATATCTTGTCCTCAGGGAGATGTAAAGCACACAGGCCATGTGGGACTGGACGGAGCGTACTTCGGGGACATCTCCTTCCTGGGCGGGACCAAGGTGGGGCATGACACTGTGGCGAACCAAGGGTTGTGTCCGTGTCATAAGTCTGATATTGTTCAACGGTGCGGCGGCCAATCCTTTTTTACTGTTGCCAGATTAAGTTCACTCTAAATGGGACTAGGCAACCCAATAGATACAAGTAATTGTCTTATTATTTTGAATACAACTATAGCACTGCAATGTTGTGGTTCCTTTCAAAATGTCTTGTAATTTCACAGCATATTTCATACAAATCAGTTTACATTTTATTCACATTTATACCCTTAGCAATCTGCAAATAAAAATATGTTAAAGTTTACCAATTTTTGAGATATTTGGTATCAACAGGGATTTGAGATAAACTACAATATCACACTGTTTATTTGTATTTATGATATTAAAGAAAATTACTTGTGGTTATTGGGCTCCCTAGTCAAGCGGTAGTAATGAAGAACTGGTTTCCTTACCGGTGAACAATATCTCGCTTAGGACAAGGACCCAACCCTTGGCCTGGCCATAGTCTGTCCAGAACTGTTTGTAGTATTTTCTATAATAAGACTGCTCTGAGATGTAAACAATTATAATTATTGTTTTGTTCATCTTAGTAATCTAAATTTAATAACTTTTATAGGCTTGTGTTGAAGATGAAAACTTTAATTTCAGTAAAGTGATCGAGTACAGGAACGTTTAAATTTAAAACATTAAATTGTTCGTCCAATCCAGATGAAATTAGTTGAAAGGTTATTGGTAAATTTCTATTTCATTCCAACAACCCTCTTAAAGGGGAGGGGTATCAAGTCAATTGTGTGCTATTGCCGAGAATTATTTTTTTTTCAGGTAATTTATAGTTCCTGACTCATATGTGCTACAATGGTGTCAGTGCTGAACTAAATAGTATTCATTTGCTTAGAGTAAGTTGCGAACGTTATAGCATTTGTGTGATGTATGTTGTTGTCTACAACAAACTTACTATTGTGTTGTCCAGTATGACGGGATTCCACACCAGGTAGTGACACCGTACAAGCCTCATGAAGACACGAGTGTGGACCTGGAGACCCGCAGCTGCTCTGACAGAGCTCCACTGCTGCACTCTGCCAGCAACAATGGTAACTTTGGTGCTATTAACACCATTAGCTTTTTTTTTTGTAAGGGAACGATCAAATCGTTTGTCTTGTTATTATCTAATGTCGAACTTTTGTTAGATAGCAAACCTGGGTTTCCCGCTGTCAATGTTCTATTTGCTCCTTTAGCTGTAGCACTGATATTGAGGTGGCTTTAAAATTCATTTTAATTTTATTTTGTTAAAAAAACTTGCAAATTTAAAAGAACATACTAAGTGACATCAGCGCACTTCTTCAGTGGCTCAATTCCTCTACATAGATTTAAAAACTATACAGTAACTAACTGGCTTCAGCTTTACACTGGGTACACAGGAATGAATGGATGTAAATGGAATTTTGTTGGCTTATCTGAATGGTTTGAACTCTAACCTTCATTGGTTGGAAAATGCTGAAAGTACAGTGAAATATTCTAACTAGTGAATATTGTAAAGTTTTATGTTTCTTCTTCTATGAACTCTTTCCCATTCAAGGAAATTTGCTGTTCCCAAAGGCCACCAAAATAGTTTTTGTATCTGTAAGATTGTACAACACAAAGATCTTCCACATAAATATCAACTGCTTATGAAATGGTAAAAGAAATTGTTATTTGATATTTATTATCTGTATTTTTACATTTCTTTTACGTATTTTACTACAGGACTGAACTGTGAGTGGGGAGAAAACAAGTTGACCAAGAAGCTGCTGACTTCTGACCATGAATACCATGAGATTAGTGATGAGGAGACATCCCCAGACAGTCCCAGGTTTGATGTAAGTGTCGCAGACTAAATAAAAGAAATTAAAATTCCAATACAGAATTAATTACAATATGAACAAATGAAATTAAAGGTATAGCAGTCTCTCATACTCGTCTCTTATTCTTGGGCCTGAAATGCCTAGCTGGACCACCATTTCAAAATACAATTATCGCTTTCATCACTGTTTTCAACAATAACTCTCATCCATATCCTCCTCCCTTGAAAAGAGAAACTTAATCAATATTGTTCTTATTTTTATATTCTTGAGTGTGGCAGATTGGGTGAAAATATAATAATAATATCTATGGTTCTTACCGTCAACGCAATCAGGGGTAATATTTCACTACGGCCGTTTCGGAGATGACTCCATTGTCAGGTGCGTAGTGGTACAGTAAACTATAGTCTTGTCACATTTAACACGAACTTTCTTCATTTGCATTGCGTCAGGGGTTGAATAAATAATACACATATATGTACAGGACGGACACACAAAAACACGAATACACGAAAACATTTAGAGCGCGTGCACGGCTTGAAAACTGACGACCGAACTGGGTCAGTATTATCTAAATCTCTTCATGAGATATAGATTTACCACACCATATCAGCTGAGGCAGATTTAGGGAAATTTCTGCACAATGTACCACAGCTTTCATGTTGATCTGATTTTAAAATGCTAAGAGTTTAAAATTGACTGCAACTTCGTATTACTGTTTGTAGTTTTTTACTTTCTCCCCCTATACCATAGTATATGGAGAAAGTATTGTTTTCGTCAAAATTTTCGAGTTTGAGTTTTGAGTGGATATATCCGTTTTGGGTCCCCCTGGACCCAAAAAAGTGGTTTTCAAAGTGATGTCTGTGTGTGTGTGTGTGTGTGTGTGTGTGTGTGTGTGTGTCTGTGTGTCTGGATGTGTACAGAGCTAGGGACTACACCTGTGGTCCGATTTCGATGAAATTTGGTATGTAGGTTCTAATCCATGGTATCTCCAGGCGTTTTTTTCATTTTTTTGAATTTTTGATTTTTAATGGGGATTTTCCCATAAAAACCCATAAAAAACTGGAAAAATCGGATTTTCTCGAAAATGGCCCGAACGATTTTGATAAAAATGTAGTATGTTGTGGCCCTTTAAATTCTGAACAAAATGGTACAAATCCCATTTCTGTAAAAATTACGGTTCAAAAGTTATGGTAAATTATGTTATTTTCCCATAAAAACCCCATAAAATAACGAAAAATAGGATTTTAGAAAAAAATCCGGTTTTATTTTAACATAGTATGTTATGGTCCTTAAAACTTTGATAGTTTTTCATTTTAAAATTTTTTTATTTTTAATGGGAATTTTCCCATGAAACCCCATAAAAAAACGGAAAAATAGGATTTTCCCAATAACGGCCCGAACGATTTTGATAAAAATTTTGTATGTTATAGTCCTTTATATTCTGAACAAAATGGTACAAATCCCATTTCTGTAAGAATTATGGTTCAAAAGTTATTGTAAATTATGTTATTTTCCCATAAAACCCCATAAAATAACGGAAAAATCCGATTTTCACAAAAATGGCCCGAAAGATTTTGATAAAAATTTAGTATGTAGTCCTTTAAATTGTGAACAAATTTGTATAAATCCCATTTCCGTATATTTACTCTTTACCGCTTACACATGATAAAGGTTGTTGACAAACTTATGGGAGAAAGTATGTGTCAGAATGCTGATACCGTTTATTTTTAAATATCCGAAAACTGTTAAAACAAAATTATTACATACACTTTCAGTCCACACAAACTTATTACAAATTTTCATCGGTACTCAATAAATGAATCTTTAGTTCGCAAGTTTGGTTTTTCCTGGAAAGTTATTAAAAAAATACAGACAATAATCTTTAGTGTTCACAACCCAACATGAGTCCTAGTTTTTACTATATAGAAGAGATCCCATTTCCCTGATAAAAAAGTTTTAAAATTAAGTTTTGAATAAAAATAAGCAGTTGTTAAATTAAGCAATCAACTGATTGAGCTTAAGTCAATGATTGATTTTTGTTATATACAGTAACTTTTCAACCAATCCAAATTGAAAGGATAACTTAATATAATCTGCTCTTTTTTACACACCAACTGAGGGTGAAAATCTATTTTTGTCAGCAGCTCACATTGTTAAAAGTCGTTCAACTCTGTTCTCTTGGCTACAACTGGTCCACGTAGATTAAATATCTACCTCACTTTCCAAAAGTCAACAGTCTTAGTTAACACTATGATCATATTTTGTTAGAATCCGTTTGACTTGGGGCCCAGTCTACTGGATGAGATGGATGCAGTGTTGAGATGTCTGGGGGGTCCTCCGCCACCCCCGCCTGCACCTCCTAACAGACCCCCTGCCTCTCCTCCCCCGCCACCATCACCACTGGACGACACTGTCAACAAGCGCAATGAGCTCAGAGAGATGCAGAACACGCTCAGCAAGAATAAGAAGAAACAAGCAACGGTGAGCAAGTTAATTTTACCACCAAATCAATACAGACAATGTTTCTGTGACGATCGACACTTGTTAAGCATGTAGAGGTACAGTGAGTGTTTCTAGTAATAAGCTGTTGAAAATAGTTGAGTTGAAAACTAGTCTAATCTGTTAAACGAATACAGGATATTTTTAAGGTTATTAAATATTTTATAGTATAGCCTGGTTCTCAAAATTGTAGCTGTTTAAAATAATGTTTGTGAATTTAAAATAGTTAAAGTTGAACAGTAGAATCCCTCATAGCCGGCCACTTTGACGCCAATGACCCTACTGAATCAGAGTAAATTCTATGTAGGCCTACATCAACAGTATATCAGACAAGATAGTAACGATTGATATATTTGTTTGATGCAGGTGAAGCCTATTTCAGCGGCAGATGAGAAGACGTTAGATTCAGCTATTGCAATGGCCAATGAGCTGGCAGCTAGGTCCATGAATGATCTTGGCGGGGGGGATAGACCTCCCTCTGTTCCTGCCAGTCCTGCCAGCCCTACCAAGCGCAAGTTCTCCTTCCGCTTCCCCTCGACCGCCGGCGCTCATGCTGCTTCCAAGCAACATGCTCGCACTGAGGGAAAGACATTCACCGATGAAGCTGCCTCCATCCCAGATATACAGGTATGCTTGCGTTAACTGTAAAATTTCCTTTAAGGCATTACAGTATATTATTTTAAAGAGTTACAAAAGATAAGTCTCTGTTTGATGATGTATAGGGTGGTGTAATTCTTTAGTATAAAGTTTTCCCAGAGAGATATTTTGGTTATTGGTGTCTTTGTAGGGTAATTAGAGAAAATTATAAATTTTCTCTGAAAAGTTTATATAAATAAATCATAACATAAAAATTATCTGCCATGACACTTTTTGATCTACAACCGATTCTGTCCTGAACAAAGCCTTAACAAGAAGGGGCTCGTTGTGAATTTTGCATTTAGTGCTACTCGGTGTCGGTTTAACCGTTCAGCGTATTCTAATTTATGTAAGCATTTGCCCTACAAAAATATTAACCAATGATTTACCTACCTGAGGATAACATTAAAATGAAATGAAATGAAAATCCTTCTTTATTGAAGCGAACTTTACACGTTGAGGTGAAGAAGTAATAATAATAAATAATGGTTCTTGTACCTTCTTGTTCATTACAAAATTCAATCAATTAATTGCTGTATTTTAATAATAATTTGTAACATATTCTTAATCTTAGCTTTTATATTTGATTTGTTGCAAAATTCAAAACAAGTTGTAGAATAAATGAATATTACTCACTAACTAAACGGTTCATAGTCAGAATATTACTGGCAGTTGGCCAAAAACTGGAAAAAACACAGATGTAAACTTAAGCTTCAGGGACATTTTCCTGTTGATATAACATGCTGATGGAAATTAATGCAAATTCCAGATTATCTCCTCATTTTGTCTAATTTTATAAGTAATTAAATCTTGTAAATTCCAAAGTAGATTCAATGTTTACAAAACATACCTGCTAAACAAAGGTGATTCATCATAGCCTTAGATTAAAAACAACTTGTTCTAATTTATTTTCAAATTCGTAGCATTACATATAGTTGCCAACTAAACTGCCGAAAAACTTGCATGTACTAACGTTTTTACATTTTAGGGAATTTACTAACATAAATCTGACTTTTCCCCTCCCTCTCTCTCCCTATTTCTGTCCCAATTCACCTTATTTTTAATATCATTTTTACTTATCTGCATGATTTTTATCGGATGAATTTTTGTCTCGATTTTGATGTTTTTTCTGTTGGTAATTCATTGGAATGACACCATTGTAATGGTTGTGTACTGGCGCAGTCGCTATGCAGTAGTTTGCGATCGTTGTCTTCATGCACTAGTCTGGAGTCACTGAGAGGAGGCGCGCCGTTCCGTCTGCCACTGTGGGACCAAGCGAGTGCCGAGTTTTGTTTTGCGAGGTCACGGGACCTCCTCACACGATGTCCGCCTCGTTTGGACTCTTCTGTCGAAGTCCTAGAGAGTTCAGAAGCTGATACGGTTTCTGCCTCTTTAGACATGAGGCTAAAAATCAGCGAGCCGTTACAGAGGTGTGTGAGTGCGGATAAAACCGACCCAGAGTATTGGAAAATGAAAAGACTGATGTTGGAAAGAAAATACAAGAAGCATGATATCATGAGTAGTTCATTCATTTCCAATGAAGGGACGATAACCAAATCACAATCAACTGATTCGGCATCGACGCTCGATGCTTGTCCTTCTATATCCGATCTTAACGAAAGTTCTACTCTGAAAGACGGCGGTTATGAACCGTCAGCCTCGTTGAAAGGTTTGTCGCTGTCCTCTCTAAACGAATGTAGTGAAATGAGTAACTACACTGTAACTGATCTCAACAAGAATAGCTACGAGAATGTTTACTCTTCAGCAAAGAGCTATGACAATATTAAGACAAACAAGTTGAATGGCTTGGACCGTTTTGAAAGCGACTTTAAAACAAACGGCTTTGCTGAATTAGAAAGACTTGAAGCAGAGTTTAGAAATGAAGATAAAGAAGCAGAGCGTAAACAGTTAAACGGTGTCGAGTGTACAACCGAGTTAAAACCTTTATCCAGATTTCTCGATAAATATCCGGAGTTGGACGATTCTCCTAACCAGAGTTTCAAACCTTTGGACAAATCTTTGTTGAATTGCACTCCCCCTCGCGCAGGACCCAACTACCCGAGCATCAGAGATGTAACACGGTCTCCAGAGCGCCTGTCAAAATATACTGAGAAGTATCCTAGAGAAAATGAATCCATGATTTCCAGTAGACTGAGTTTTAAACAATTGGAAAGACATTTGGACTCACTAGATTTGAATAAAAGGAGTGCAGAAAACATTGACCAGTCATCTCCAATTGGTAGAAAAGAAGAATTGAGGAGAACTGATGTGTATTCCAACAGGTCAAAACCGTTTGTTCCCCAAACACCCGTGTTTAGGAGGAAGCTTTCTCAGACTAAGATCGGCGAGTCGTCAAGGGGGAGCACTAAATCTTCCCCTAATTCCCCGAGTATCACTACCCCTAAGGTCTACTTCCGCCCAAGGACCAACTCCCTAACTGAAGGAAAAGTGCGACCTCCGGCCATGAGACGGCAGTCTTACAACTATTCAGCCCAGTACGACTCTAGCTCCTCGGACTCTGAGTTTGACCGTCCGTCCTCTATCTGCCAAGGTCAGAAGCCTCCCAGGTCCCATCCTCCTCGTCGACACTGGCCTTCCTCATCCTCATCCTCCTCCTCTGATGATTATCCTGAATTCGCTGATGACTTCCATAGCCTGTCTACTTCACACCAAGTTCGAACAAAATTTTAGCAATCAATACTAACTAACATCTTCCACAACCGTGTTAAAATCTGCATTTTGCTTTGTATCTCGATTGCATTCATTATTTATTTCATAGAAATAAGAAAAAGTAACTAAATACTCGCTTTGGATTTTAAATATTTGATTGGACATCAAGGGAATCTTAATACTGAATGTGTTAGTGCCTTTAACAATATTAGACTGAAAAAGTGTCTTTTAACAACCATTCAAGACTATTTTTATATTTCAGTGTAACAATTGAATGACACTTTAAACAATAATTTTATCATTTGAATATTTTTTTAAAGGATGTTTGAAACTATTTTGAAAATGTAACCCATCTAAAAATTATTATAGAGATTTAAACAAATGTAACTTTTATACTTAATGGCCATTAAGTGCTTATGTTAAATTCCTGACTTCAAAGATCAACAAGTCACTGTTTATAGTCTAAAAACGTTACTATTGAATTGGTATTCAAGAACAAATTTCACTATAGATAATATACCTTAGAGTTGTAAGTATATGCCGCAAGTGTAGTTAGTCGTAGGTATAATCAATATTTCACTGCTTGATGAGGCAACTGACAAGTTCTTGTTTTTCTGTCCCTTCCGCTCAGTCCCCATAACCAGTCTCCGACAAACCCGCTGTTAATTGCTTTTTATTGCTTGTTTCACCTGGGTTTATGTTCAACTTTCCTGAATACTACTAATTTGTCACACAAGTCAGTTCACAATGGGTGTATAACATTTTTTAACACATCTTGTACTGCTTGTAAATACAGTTATTGCATGAAATTTTCTAGCTACAAAGACCAACAACATAGTCTTTCTAGTCATAGTCTTGCTAGCGTAGTCAGTAGGTTTGATACAGTTTTATAAATGTGTGATTTTTATCTGTAGAGTTTTATACACGACACATTGGCATGATTGGCATGTTTTCTCGGTTTTGTTGAGTTGCTAGTGTTTGGTCGTAGTGATGTTCTGTTGAGTTGCCCCCTCCCCACCCCTCTCCTGCAGGAGTGTGTAACGCCCGAGGCTCAGGCTGCGTACAATGTGCTGGTAGAACAGCCTGCGCAGGACACCAACCCTCTGCGTATGCTGCGCTCCGTTCCCTTCGTCAGGCCGAGGGTCAGAGGTAACAAGAACTTCTCCACACTTCCCAACTCCGTGTCGAGACAAGCCTCTGATCTCAGCTCCAGGTTAGTTTTATAGAAACATGTCTCAATATTATATGTATTTTTTCTACAATTTTTTTTGTTCAGCATTGTTAGTAAAATAAGCCAATGACATATGGAATCAGGGTCATAAACAGCATACTACTGTAACTATTACATTTTATGCGTTACCTAATGTAATGGTTATATTTATGGTGGTCTTTATTGCTTGGCAGCGAACACAAATAAAGGTACTCAGAATTCTATCATACTAAATTATTTTTATTTTATAGTATAGTAGAGTACCCGCCCTTCGTTCGGAGTTGGCGTATTATTATAAAATGCCTATTGTAGTTAATACTCGTGCCCTGTGTTTGCAATAGGGGAGGGCATGGTTTGAGAAGACTTGGGTCTTTTAATTTACAGAATGCTAATTTATAACACATCCGACATAGCCATAATGTTCTACCACTGCACCTAAACAATAGAAAAAAGTAAATTATCAAACATTAGCACAATATCATAAACTATTTACTAAATTAAAAACATAAACATAACTGTAAACGATCCTACTTTAACAGTTCTCATTGTGTATCACAGTTTTTTTTTTTTTTTTTTTTTTTTTTTTTTGCTGCTTAATATTGCTTTAAATTAGCTGTTGTCATATATGCAAAAACAATAATAGTGCTGCACCCTGTTGGTAAACCTTGTAACCTTTTAATATTATTAAATATCATAAAACCAACTTGTCTAGTTGAAACAGTTGGCAAAATGCTTTAATTCCTTTTAAATTTTAATACTCATCAGAATAAATGGACAATTTGAACCCCCGTGGGGCATAGCCCTATAGGATTTTCACAATTTTAAAATATGCCTATACTTTTCTCAAGTCTATCAGTTCCACTTTGCAAAATGTCAGCTCAATCGGTCCAGTAGTTTTCCCGTGATTGAGTTTCAGAGTTACACACAAACATCCATACTTTCACATTTATAATATTAGAAGGATTATATTATATATTTTCAACCCAAACATTAAAACACCTTCTGAATAACATATAGAAATACCCCCACCGCAGCAAACCTGCAGACTAAGCAAATTTCAACTTGTCTGATTACATTTTTACTGAAATATTTCCATAAATAAGACATATTTATTCCCTATTTAAATAACATTAGATTTAACAAGTGCTTAGGTTTGCTGCTACAGGGATGGTGAAAAGGGGTTATTTGACCATACGTCAATGGTATAGGATGCCAAATTGTATCAATATATATCCATAAACAAGTAAACTACAACAATTTTCATTTCCTCCATAAGAATAACATGGGAATTTTAAATTACACTATTTTTGAATTTTCTCCGTGACTGTTAGGCATACAACAGCGCTTCAATATACTAAATTATTTCTTTTTTTAAGCTCTACAAAACGGTTTACAAAGAAATTAAAAAAATTTTTTTTAGGGTCGAAAATGGGAAAACCTTATTTTTACCCCATAAACCCCCGTTCCCATGGTCCAATTATGCTGGATCGCGAACTCGTTCGTATAAACGTAGGTTTACATGTTTGTACCAAATTTCATCAAAGTCGGATCATTTTTGCTCGAGTTATCGCGCTTACGGACACACACATATATATATATGAATTTGATTTGAACGGATGGTGTTTTTTTTTAGGGTCGAAAATGGGAAAACCTTATTTTTACCCCATAAACCCCCGTTCCCATGGTCCAATTATGCTGGATCGCGAACTCGTTCGTATAAACGTAGGTTTACATGTTTGTACCAAATTTCTTTAAAGTCGGATAATTTTTGCTCGAGTTATCGCGCTAACGGACACACACATATATATATATGAATTTGAATGAACGGATGGTGTTTTTGGCCTCTAGGGACCTCAAATATAAAAGTTAAATCGGTCCTGGGTCCAGGTCTTACCATGAGTACTACGGTAATAGCTTATTCCCCATATGGGAAATTCGCTAAAAGACGATCAGTATACCCAATCTACAGACTGGAATAATGTAGTACGTTGAAACCTTATTATGTGCATACAGCACATAATAAGCAGTTTGTTTGCATAATCATCAAGTTTGCAATATCTGACAGTTTTAAAGCAATCCAAATGCCTTGCAAATAAACTTGTGCCTTGCATGCACAACTTAAGCCAATCTGATAATTTTTACCTATAGCCTACAATTAATTGAATGCTTTCCTGATTTCTAAAAGATATTAGAAGTTTATTAAACAGTTTTATTTTCAAATATTTATAACTTTTGTTTGCCTGGCTTGAGGAATATATATGTCTTTTGATTGTCTGGTGATATACCTGTGGATTGAGTTGCAAGGAACAAATTTCTTTAGATTCTCTTTAACGAAACTAAATAGTAAAAAATGAAAATATTAGAGTGTCATGATTCTATTTTCAGCAAAAAATGTTTTGTTGCAAAAAAATGTGTTTGTTGCAACTAACCCTATCTGGAATTACAACAAATTCTGAGAGCCTTCTTTTGTTATGTAAAGACCCGGCGAGCACCTGAACTATTACCCCACAGTATATTGCCATACAGCAAGTTTGAGTGAAATAAACTGTGGTAAACAATTAAAAGTGTTGGTTTTATGAGAGATTTGCTAAAATTCACTTAATTAGTTTATCATGTCATAATACTTTTCATATCATGCTATTGTTACTAACAAAAATAGTATGAAAGCTGTATTAATGAAAAATATAACAGGCCAATGAAACTGCTGAACAACAAGCTTAACTTATGAGTTATGAATGGCTACTTGCAGATGCAGCACTCTGCCACATCAGACACCTGCAGATTGCAACAAACCAGACACAGATACTGACGATGATTGCGGTTCTTCCAAAAAAGAAGGTACAGTGCAGTTTTATGTTAGACAAGTTGTGTCGGCTATATGAAGCTTCCAACTAATGTATTACTCCTTAACCTTGAAAGCTTTATTTATGTTTTATTCTGGTTTTTTCTGCCTTGATAAACTCCAAATGTATGTGTGTGCGTGTGTGTAAGAATGCATAGCCTACATAGCTACAGAAATAGACTACACCTGGTGTATGATATTGGTAAAATTTAGTATGTGAGTAGGTACTAATTCCCTTTAATCCATAGTATCTCTTTGCGTTTTTAAAATTTTTGTAAATTCTGATTTTTAAAGATGATTTTCCCTTAAACCCCATAAAATAGCAAAAAAATAACAGATTTTCACATAAATTGCATGAATGATTTTTAATGAAAATGTAGTTTATTGTGGTCCTTTTAGTTCTAGACAAAATGGTACAACTAGGGGTCTCAATCCCGGGATTTCGGTTTATAGTCCTAAAAATAAACAGTATATGTGTTTCAAGTGTTATTGGACGTATTTTATTTATTTCTCGTAATTAAAACTCCTCAGACTCATAAAAATAATAAATATAAAGATAGGTTTTGCAATTCCGTTAATCTTGGGATTAAAAGAAATCAATCCTGGGATTTCTAGTTATAAAAAAATCTACCGGGATCCCGAATTGAGATCTCTAGGTACAACCTCCCGTTGCTGTAAAAATTACTGTTCAAAATCTATTGCAACTTTGGTGATTTACCCTATAAAACATCATAATTACTCCCACTGCTTGACCATGATAAAGGTTGTTAACTAGCTAATGGGAGAAAGGGTGTATCATATTACTGATATAGTTTATTTAGGTCATGTAATATATTAAATGTAGTCACTGTGTGGGGATAAAACTTTAAGTAGGTTAGGTTAGATTGTGTGTACACGTAGATTGTAGATAAATAGTCAAAAAAGTCACATTGTAGATAAATAGTATAAAAAGTCACTTGAAAACGAGAGAGTTTCATTTCCTTCCGAAACGTAGTTTAGTCATAACACTTTTTGTAGGAAAAGTCAATAAACTGAAATTAAAATACTTATCATTCGTAATTATAAACTTAAACTTTAAAAAGACAATATATATTAACCAACTACATAACCTGTATTTCCAGCTCCCTAATTTCTATTTATGTTATCGCTTTAATTTTATGGTGTTTAAGTATTTGTCATATATCATTGTATGTTGGTTTTACAGGTAACCCCGTGCCCCTCCCCCCTAGGGATAGAAACCGTCCGATCGCTACCAACAAACCTAGACATCAGCGGAAACATCCCCTCATCATCCCCTCCACTACGACCCTGGCGAGGCTGCATCACCCCTCTAACTCTTCAGGTCAGTAAACTGTGTAACTTCGATCTTCATCAAGTTCTTGGTTTAAGTTGGTTGATGCAAACACTGATTATTGTATGTATTTCAGGAAACATTTATATTGTTATCGTTTGAGCAGAATGCCTTATAGTTTTCATGTTTAAAAAAGCCATGTGGCTGATTTAAAAAATGATAAGAGTTAGTTGTTAGTAGAGGTGTGCGGATAGTGAAATTTCATTTCGGATCGGATAGTTGAGGCTCGGTTCGGATCGGATAATGGGAGGTTCGGATTCGGATAGTTTGGCGCGGTTAATAATAAGCTGCATATGCATTTTTAACCTATAAAACACTGTAAATCTGTGTAAATAACAATAAAAAAATGACAATTAAATGACAATTTTGAAACATAGAATTTCAAATTAGCCACGTCGGATATTTTCGGATTCGGATAGTTCGGCGCGTTTAATAATAAGCTGCATATGCATTTTTAACATATAAAACACTGTAAAGCTGTGTAAATAAACATAAATGGTGATTTTGAATCATAAAATTTCAAATTAGCCACGTCCACAGTTTTTCTCTCTTGAAAATCACAATTCACAACATCTATTTTCAAAAGTTGGTTGCTTGAATTAAGTACACTAGAAGCCGAAATCTTCACACAACACTTTAGCTCAGCCGGACTGATGTCAAAACGGTTGGGCTTGTTTACTTGAGGTTATGTTTATGTTGTTTCCTGGTTCTCACAACACAAGGAGTTCTATCTCAAGTTTATTTTCACCTTGTATTTCCTTACGTTTTTGGAACGGGTTATTGGCCTTAAGTGGCATTCTGCGGGTTTGCCAAGTTTAGAAAATAAGTCATCACTAATGCACCAAGCTGGGCTCTAGATTTGATGTTGTGGCAAGTTAATTAGGGCAATTAGGCGATAATTACACTAGCCTACATAATTTCACTACCCCAAGTAAAATACCAAGATAATTTTTAAAAAATTATTATTAAATTTTAAAAAAAATTAAATTATTTTAATTTTCTTAAATACCACGGGAATATCAATTTATAATTAATCAATGTGCTTCTCTTCTGAAACAGCAATACCGGATGCATAATAAAGGTCAATAACCTAAAATATCATGATTGTGCAATATTTTATTTTGATGTTGAAATTCAAATCATGACAAAAGTTTGTATATTTCCCCTAGTCCCTATCATTTAATATACACAATCAATGCTAAATAATCTTGGTTAGTTCTAATTTTATTTTTGACTAGCTGTGTGCCCGTTCTACGCACGGGGATCTTATAGTAGTCAGTTGAAACCTTCTTATATTAAGATTAAGAACAGCAGTTAGTTTGCACATTTGCAGATATGCTGGCAAAACTATTATATATAAACCTTCGCAAATACAGTATCTGACAGTTCAAGCCAAAATAAAAGCTTCGCAATTAAATGTCACCCGGATCGTTATGGTCCATATGTCCAATGATTAAACTAAAAAATGTTTTATAGATCCATGAAGCGTAGCCCTAAAGTAGGCCTATAATTGAAAGTTACTTTCCACATCGGTTAACTTAAACGTATTTAAAGTACTACCTCAACCTCACAATTTAACACTTTATTCCGGTTGACATTTTCAGTATCAAAGGTGCTCTTGTCCATTCCGTGAAACACGAAAAAAAAATAGAAGTAATAAGGAAATAGAGAAATAAGGACATTAATGCGTTACCAACAGACATACACACAACAATCCAAAAAAGGCCACGAACTATTGATACATAAACAATATAAAGGCGTAAACAATTCATGATGGTTTGCCCAACAAATGTTTTACTCAAATAGGTTATCATTTTCTTAGCATACCGGGTAAGCTAAGATTTGGAATCCAGACAGAAAAAGCAAAACTTATACAGAGTTAAGACATCACTTAAATTGAATACGGACGGCTCTAATAAATAAGGTGCAACACCAACGATAACTAATTTGTAAACTACAGTGATGTGTTGGTACCTACGTAAAAATGATTCTAGCAGCTAAGGAAAAGAACCAGTACCTACGTAAGAACCTACCTAAGAACTATAGTACATCCGACCAATTAAATACATTAATATCTAGTCCCGAGGTTATTGATCTCTTGCTTTTGGATTTTCTCGTAAAAAGTTATAGCGTAAACTTATCGGTGTCAGTTTGAAAAAAAAACAACCTTACCCAAACAACTTTTTGTTATTTAATAGATTACGCATTCTCTAAACAATGATTAGTATATCTATTAACATTAGAAGGAAATGTGACGAAAATCACACAATGTTGGGGTTTTGGTCATTTGTAATTGTATTTCTTAAGTAGGTAGGCCATGTATTCTATGGAAAAGTACCGGTATCAAGGATCGTCGTCAAAAAGGTTGTTATGAATAAATATGCAGGCTTACGTACCCAAGATATGAGCTATGGGCCTATTGGCTGTATGGTCCAGCGATTGCATCACACGGTGAGTAGAAACAGAAAGTGACACATTGGAAAAGCGAGTTTAGCACTTCCTCTGTTAAACCTCTGTTACAATCACCCACTGCAGTTGTGATTTTTTACTTTACACTTTACACAACCGCCATTGAAGCGCCGTCAATGAATGGAAAAATTTTTTGTAAGCTATTGGCGACGATCATTTCAGTGTCCCAGCCCTATACAACACTGATTCAAGGTCTTCTTTCTGGTTGTCAAAACTCAAGAAACATTTTATACACAAAGAATTTCTGGTTCCGATTTGGACGATGTCTAGTTATTTAATTTCATTTACGGTTACACTATTAGACTATATTATTGCACTTGCGATTAATTAAATCCGTTATGTAAGAAAAACGTTTTTAATCTCACTTGGTTGGGATTTGCTTTCAAAACGTGATTCGAAATGGTTGCGGTATTTGTAAACAACATTTGTAAACATATCATTGACAGCTAGAAAAAATAATCTTGATCCGAACAGCTGTTCGTTATTTCATAGACGATTATGTGATAAAAATTGAACGAAAATTTGACAAAAATCGCACAAAACTGCATTTTTGAACGTCCGTAATTTTATTTACAAAGTAGTGAGGCTATATTTAAATCACTAAAGACACTCTCGCCAATCCAGTGAATACATTAAAATGACTTGGATCTTGATAGGTACTCTGGTTTTCACGGAGAAGATTGCGTAAAATGCCATCTTGAGTGTTACAGACAAAGGGAAAGACAGACAGACAGACAGACAGATAGACAGACAGAAATATAGATAAGACTCGTTTCTGCTTCTTTAATGTATAAAACGTAAAAATAACCTAAAAGTATATAATTCTGAGCAAAGTACAGACAAAACTCTAATTTTATTTATATAGATTATTCAAAGTTTCTACACAATAAGACAATCCAAAGTCAAACCGGGCAATGAATACCCGAAAAACAACGTATCTTGTCCTGTGATTGGAATACCACTCGCCAGTCCTTTAGATTTAGAGAAGTAGTGCAAGTCTATATATAGCTTCAAGGTCGTACCCACCCCTTCCCCCCTCAAGGCCTACTCGACTCACTGTTGCTACCCGTTACCCGGGCTCCTTTCGAGGTCATTGCCCTCCCCTCCCACCCTTCTTCTATTGTGTTGCCTTTCTGTTGTTTCTATTCTGACTTTTTTCGGGAAACATTAAATCTATTGTTTACGTAACAGCACAGAAGTAGGCTAGATTTTTATACTTTAAAACAGTACTGTAAAAAAAAAACTATTACGCATATAGCGCCCCTAGTATCAGGAGACAAGCACGAGTTGACCATGGTAGTTCTTTTCTGCTTTATGTCTGTTCGTTCCAGACGAATATAATCGTAAAGCAAAACAGCCGTTAACGACGTTGATAACGAATATAAACTAGACATCGGTATTGCATCATATGGCTTCTTTGTCCTTTGCTGTTACGTTGTCGTTGGAAATGTATTGCTGTAATTTTCATTTTTATTTGTAATGATGGTTATGAAGATTTAGTTTTCTGTCCAAAACGTCAAAATATGTTGTCTATCCGAAAAAGTCTGATATATAACGGATAGTGTCGGATATCAAATTCAGGCTCGGTTTCGGATACGGATATCCGAACCGAACCGAATCCGACCCGATTTTTCGGATATCCGCACACCTCTAGTTGTTAGTTTACTTGAGGAAATTTAAGTCTAGAGGCTTATAACTTATTTATTTATTTTATTTATTTATTAAACATCATCACATTACATCAATTCTCTTGACAGGTGATTTGTCACAAAGTTTAATACTAATACTATACTACATTTTAAAATAAAATAGCTTACAAAAGAAATAAAGCATGTAATAAGCTACAAACCTATGGGAGAAGCAATGTCTTTCAAATATACTCATTTTCCAGATATTCCTCTAACGAGTAAAATGCCCTCTCCAAAAGGAAATTTTTTAAAGATAGTTTAAATTTAGAGAATGAGGCAATGTTTTTAATCCCAGCGGGTAATTTATTGTAAATTTTTGGTCCCATATACTGAGGGGATAAATGAAAGATTTTAAGCCTATGTTGAACTAGTTTTATAATATTTTTGAATCTTGTGTTATGTGGATGAGATTGTTGACAGTCCATGAATGTGTCGAAATCACTTTTAACCATTAATGCCAATTTGTAAATATAAGAGCTAAAAAAAGTTAAAATTTTAAAATTAATAAATAAATCTTTACAATGTGTTCTACGGGAGACTCTGGCCATTAATCTTACAGCTCTTTTTTGGAGAATAAATATTTTTTTGGCCTGGCTTGATGAGCCCCATACAGTAATTCCATAATTCATAATCGATGAAAAATATGCGTGATATACTACTATTTGTGTTTCTAGATTAGTAGTATCCCGAATTATTGTGAGAACAAATGTTGCTGAGCGTAGTCTTTTTGATAGGTTTTTAATGTGTTTTTGCCAATTTAGTTGTGAATCGATTTCTATTCCCAAATAATTTATTGACTGTTGTGAATGAATTGTAGTTAAGTTTGTATTTACAATTATTTCTTGGTTAATATTGGATGCAGAAAACTGAATTAGTTGAGTTTTTGCCACATTCATGGACAGGCCATTTACTGCAAACCAATCCCCAAGGAGTTGAAATTCCTTAGTTATTGAGGCTTGAATGAACTCATTGTTTTGTCCTGTGCATATTAAAGCGGTATCATCTGCGTATTGAAAGGTGGACATCTTAGTAGCATTGCATAGATCATTAACATAAATAATAAATAAACAAGGGCCGAGAATGGAGCCCTGAGGAACTCCATTGGGGTTAATGTTCCACTCTGATTTATAATTTCTCTGCATTTTTTGTAAAATAAGTCTTTGTTTTCGGGTCTTTAAATATGATATGAACCATTTTAATTCAGTATTTTTTATTCCATGCATACTTAATTTTTCTATGAGTATCTCATGATTCACACAGTCAAAAGCCTTGGATAGGTCACATAGCACACCCACAGTCTTCTGCGATCCATCCAAGGCTTCCGCAATGTAGTTAATCATTTTTGTTATGGATTTTTCAGTACCGAATTCTGGGCGGAAACCAAACTGTGAAGGATTTATTAAATTATTGCTTTCTAAATATTCTGTTAGTTGAATCTTTACAATTTTACTAACAGTCACATACCATAACACTGCTATTTCTAGTAAAGGAATGAAGGATTCCGATTGGTTATTTTACGTGACTTAGTTTTCAATGTATTTTCCAGCCAAGACTAGACTGTTTTATTTGGTGTGTATGCAGAACTCAACTAACTAAATAAAGGGTTAAATTCCAGAAAAAAAAATATTGAAAACCTCACTGGCAGAGTGTGCTTCTTTTTTTAATTTCCCATAAATTGACCTTTTTATACAATAGTTTTAAAATTGGCGTGGAGTATGTAAGGGTAATTGGCCTAAAATTTTATTTTCTTTGGAATAGGTATTGAACTATAAATCACAATGGTTCCGACAAATAATGTGGAGCTTACAGGGCTAGAAAGTGGTCATTTTGTCTTATGTTAATACAAACCTGGAGAATTAACCACTGGCCCGACAATAGTAAAAATGTGTAGTTAACTTGCCACTTTGAAAAAAAAGTTAAAATACTAAGACATAATTTTAGTTTATTCAAAATAGTCTATGTCATGTTCTGAGGGTGTTAACGATTTACTTATTGCAATTTTTTCCAAGATAATAACTTGTTTCTCACGATTTGCCCCTTTAATTTTCAAAAATTGTATTCCAAGGCAGAATAGGCCACCTGCTCTAAGCCCCACTAATCACCAAGTTAAATGGGACAGTAGTGGAATTTGTGATGATGGGTACTAACTGAGATCCTTTGCGCCCAAACAGCCTTAATTAAAGTCAGTGGTGAGCCGGTACAGTACGAGAATAAACTGAACTAATCAACACAAACGCAAGACATCGCTGCCTTGGGTTCTCAGTCTGTGCCAACCAATAGATAGTTTCAAAATATTTAGTCACGTATAGTGACCTTTTTCCGTTTGTTTTTAAATTGTATAGAGATGTATGGTATTTATAACTTATTTGTTTCTTTACAAATTTGTCAAATGAATATGCCTATTGTATGTTACTAACATATCTGTTTTATTTTCTACAGAGCCTACCTACCTTGGCTTGGAGGATGAGCCGACAGCCAGTGAAGGGAGAGAAGGCGAGGGCGAGAGTGAGGAAGAGGAGGGGGAAACTCACCTCAGACGCAACATTCCTCCACAAGAACCGTGAGTTGCAGAATAAACATGTTAAACATATGGGTCAAACTCTTTCATACTCTATTAATGAATCAAAGTTACATATCCATTGTTCGAGAACAAAGATGTTTGCTGTGGTAAATAAGGTGTGTTTTTCGTGAATGAATCAAGGCTTTATTTAGCACAATGAAATGAAATTCATCAGTCAGAGTTAAGTTTAGAAAATAAAAATAATGATTATTATCGCTATCAATTGAGATTGGGTTGGGCTGCCACCTAGGTGCGTATTTTTACCCAAATATGACTGAAGGTAGAGTGAAGAATGAAGTGAGATGATCTGTGTAGCTTTGTTAGTTGTTACTGACTAAGATCAGCTGTTTCATTAGTCAGTATCGTTTATTTAAATCCCCATGATCAGGAACAGCTGAGTTCAGTACCGGAACCATCAAAAAGCTACTGAGTTTTCTCAGGATTGATCTGGCAACCTTTTGATTGTTATTCAAGCAATATGACCACTCAGCTACCCAACACTGCTTTGATTACAAGCAATCAACATAAGCAATTCGCCAGCTGGGAATATTTTCCATCACATTGTTGTTTTTGAGAACAACGCATATAGATTTTTAAATTGAATTTAATAGAATTTAATCTTAAAGATTGTTGAAGAGTTGAAAATTTTAATATTAAACCTTTAACTATCAGGCAATTTTGTAATCATGTATCCTGTACGATAAGAGTGATTGTGATCATCAAGGATATTGGTAATGTTACAGGATTCTCATCCCATAATATCTTGAAAGATTTCAAATCCTGCTAGGAAAATGCAAATGAAACTTTTTGTGTAGATATATCCCAGAACACTCCAGGTTTCTAGTGATGTTCAGAGTAATTTGCTTATGTATGATTGTATCTTATTATTTTGTTGGTTGTTAACAATATAATACTTAACACTACTGAAGCTATACATCTGAAGATAGTGGTGACACTATAGTGTTGTTGCTTATGATGACTTTTTATTTAGCTTAGTGGCAAAACAGTGCCTCCTAATAGTTTTACTCTCTCTCTTGCTTTGTCATTAAAACCTTTAAAGGTGGATCTTCCTGTAAGAAAGAGTATTCTCTGGTTTGTGTTCTACCCTCTCTTTTGAGACCTTACACCTATGGATAGTGTGTATTCTCACCCACTATCCCACTATTCCCAGTGGGTATTAAACCCATACAGGTTTCTTTGTACGTTTGACTACTTGACGTGATTCTCTCCAGGAGTGGGTTTGAGGAGCGGATAGCCTGTGAGCTGGACGCCCTGGACCACATGGAGGCAGAGGGAGAGGGAGTGTTGCGTGAACACGTCAGCTGTGAGGATCTGCTGGAGTTTGCTTGCGACGGTCCCAACACACGGAGGACACGGGGCAAGACCAGTGGAGTGAACAGCGATGAGGTCCGCATCATGGGCAAGGTGCTCGGCAACAAGGTATAGATATAACACTTTAAATACCGAAGTAGAAATCTGTATGGACAACATTTTGCTAGTTAATGAGCCACAGAGTATACGCTACTGTCAAATTTTGTTTGTTTTTCAATACTTTGCTAATTTACAAGACATAAAATTGTTGATAGTTTACAATAAGATCTCCCTTGATTTTTGTTTGGTTATATAGTTGGTTTATTCAATAAAAATTAGTAATTGGCATCAGCAATTGTTGACAGCTCAATTCAACAAAGTCCATTTAAAAAAATCTAAAACTGTTAACAAGCTATGAAGACTTATTTATTTATTTCCCACGGTTAAACCAATTTTACAAATTTGTGTAGATCAAGATGGTAGCCTAAGATATTAATACTAAATAGATTACAAACAATTGATATACAGATCAGCAATAACAGTTACACAAAGGTTTCATGGTTCAAGAATAACAATTTACAATTCTAAAATGCAAAGCAATAAAACCATAACAATATAATATTCAATGCAGTAGCAACAAATATAAATAGAATATTAGAAATAACATAACAATAACATAACTGTATCAGCACTTGTATAACTTTGGTTGAGAATCACTTATTATTTACAAGTATTTACAAGTAATTTACAAGTTTAATAAGCAAAGCACTACAACAAAACATTGATTATTCAATACAATATAAACAGATAATAAAGAGTAATTGGGTACTCAAAGATAACATCTATATATCTATTTATACTTATTTAATACGCAAGCAGGTTTTTTGTGACAATTACTCCTCCGAAACTACTGAACCGATTTACATGTCCTTGGTGTCATTGGAAAGAGCGTAACGTGAAGTTGTGCAGGAAACATTCTTTTTGGGGAAATAATTAGAGGGTGAGGCCCTGGGGCCCTTTAAAGTTTCGTATTTCTCCATAAGATTAACATGCGAAACAAATATTGTTATGAAACTCCAGCTGTTGTCAGAAATTAAAAGTGAGAAGAAGAACGTATGTTAATTGTAAACACAGTCAATAAGTTTGCTAATTTAACAGTTAGTTTGCTACAAACATTTACTTACTTGGTTGAAATGAAATAGTTATTATTTGAATTTGTGTTGGCGTAAATATTAGAATGGAAAAAGCGAGAGAGCCTGGATAATTTTATATACTAAAAAGAAAACTGAATTAACACTGTGCTGAATTTCTTAGTATTCATTGAAAGAGCCGATTTGCAAACTATGGAAACAAAAAAAGTCATAGAACACCACCAAAGAGAAGAAATAGAAATAATGTGTTTCTTTTATATTTATAATCGTTATTATGGACAACCTAATGCGGCTATGAGTAAGGCTATTTGTAGAAAAGACTAAAAAAATCAGCTTTGGAAAAATGATAGATATTTACAAGAAATGTTGATTATATCGATCTGTCATGTACATCTTGAGTATTTTATAATTTTTGAGTCAAATCTTTTAAAGTCATCAAAAATTATTACTGTTATTCGTTTTAAAATAACGCCTGTTATACTTAGCAATTGCTCGATTTCGTGCAACAGGGACACTAGTACTTATTTAATACGCAAACAGGTTTTTTGTGACAATTACTACTCCAAAACTACTGAACCGATTGACATGCTTTTGGTGTCATTGGAAAGAGCGTAACGTGAAGTTGTGCAGGAAACTTTCTTTTTAGGGAAATGATTAGAGAGTGAGGCCCTGGGGCCCTTTAAAGTTTTGTTTTTCTCCATAAGATTAACATGGGAAACAAAAACTGTTATGAAGCTCCAGCTGTTGTCAGAAATTAAAAGTGAGAAGAAGATCATATGTTAATTGTAAACAGTCAATCAGAAATTAAAAGTGAGAAGAAGATCATATGTTAATTGTAAACAGTCAATAAGTTTGCTAATTTAACAGTTTGCTACAAACATTTACTGACTCGGTTGAAATGAAATATTTACTATTTGAATTCGGGTTGGCGTAAATATTACCATATAAAAAGCGAGAGAACCTGGATAAATTGATATAATTTGTTATGTACATATTGAGTATTTCAATAATCTTTGAGTTGAATATATCATCAGAAATAATGAATGTTATTCGTTTTAAAATAACGCCCGTAATACTTAGCAATTGCTCGAATTCGAGCAACAGGGACAATAGTAATTATTTACAGCATTATATTACATGATTAAAATACAGGTAGCAGAACAGATGACAACAATAATAGAGTAGGAGAAGTGTGTTTGGAGGAAAAGTGAGGAGACCATGCCCTCACAGACACTGGTGTAGCCCTTTAACGCAGCTACCAAAAGATAACAAACACTACATTATATTGAAAAAAACTATGAAAAGTGAGAACACAAACACTCATATGTGGCCCTTTAACGCAGCCACCAAACACCCAGCACTACACAGAAGCTCAATTCCACCACCAACGGACCTAGCCACTTCGTACTTGAAGTGGGATGTCTTTTACTCTGTAAAGTCAAAGCTTGTAGCTAAGAACAATAAATCAAGACAGGCTAACCTGATTGGAGAAGAGTCCACTCTGGTGGATAAAGAAATACAAAACATTAGAGCCTTATTATGAGCGGCCACTGAAGTGTCTTGCGACCGCGACTTCTCAGTCACTTGGGGTGGCCACAGGGGTGGCGAGGTCGCGCATTTGACCTAATTTTATACAGACTTGTATGCAGTTTCTCAGTGTGAATGATGAAGTAGCCAAGTAAGAAAGATGAACTATTTCTTATACTTTTACTCAAGCGTCGTAAACGTAGGTGAAACAAAAGTATTGGATTGGAGTCCATCTGTTACTAAAGCAAATACCTTCAGAAGCTTTTTTCACACTTTATGATGATCTCAAAGAGGATGACAAGAAGTTTTTTTTATTTGCGCTGTGGCCCGCAACTGTGGCTGCCCGTAATAAGCAGCATATGAGAACATGGCCCGCTGGTGGTACGACAGTCGCCGCGACTGGCCTCCCCAGCCGCACACCCTCGCCACGGTCACGTCACTTAATAAGCTCCATAGCATGGCCTGCTAAAAGTGGCCTTAGGGCAGTCGCAGTGGTGAGCCACTCGAGTGGCCGTGCATAATAAGGCTCTTACTCTGAACACAATAATATTCATGACTGTCACTACAGCATTTCCTACAGAGGAAGGTTTGAGTTGGAAGATATTGTTTCCTGTTGGAAACACTCTTAGCTGAAAAACAAGGCTTACTTTATGGGCAACTCTCATTACCCACTCAAGAAGTTCAGTCAGTAAAAGACTTCCATATTGTGACAACTTCCTTTGACTTGGCCTATCACTTGTGTTTACTTTAAAAGCTCAATTATTTGGTTTGTTTATGTTACAAGGTATCGGAGGACGCTCGTCTGGTCGCACTCAACGCTACTGACTGGGATGTTCACCGTGCCATCAAACTGTGCCGACTGGACGCACTTTTGCCAACCGAGTTGTGTTGTGACAGTGGCGCCAAACTGACAGCACTTTGTGACTCCGGCTGGGAGGTGGCACGAGCCGCTGGTCTGCTGTTGGCAACACTGCAGCCGCAAGATGACGTAGCTCAAGTGTAGTGTAGTCAATATATATTTATCTTGTAGTTTTGAACGTCAAATTTTGATTCCATATCTTCATTTCAGCCCTAAAAATAAAGCTTGATAATGGGTTAGGTAAGCCATTTGTGGTATGGACTGAAATTTGAATTCTATCTAATAAGCTAAATCCATAAAACTTTGGGTTTTTGCAATTTTGCGAATTTCTTATATTTTTTTTTAACAGTATTACCTTAAAGGGAATATAATTTTAACTATTAAAGTATTTAAAAATTTTCTAGATACATATTTTTTACATTAAAATGTAGCATAGTATTACATGGGAGCTGATTATTTGTAAACGTAATACTCTAACACATTGATAGAACCACAACGTAAACTGTTCACTTGGTAAATACGTAATTTTATACTTACCTCATTTAGTTAAATAATTATATTTTTTAACTCAAGTCGCCATTAAAAATAAGTCATTGGATATTGAAGTGAAAGAATTGTATAAAAAATGCTTGTCATATTTAAATTCTATTTTAAAAGTTTAATTACCTTCCTATAGTGTTTATATCACTTCTGATAACTTATTCTAAGAATGGTTCAAATGAAGCTGGACCATTTTAGTTGTGACGTTATGGCAATGAAAGATCTGGTGTTGTGGAACTGAGGTCACATAAGCTCTCTAACCAAAATCATACTACATACTTTATTAGCTTTACTTAGTTAACCATTATAGATTTTTATCATTTGTTTATAATATATATCATCTTATTACTAGGATCTGGGCTGAAAGTACTTAATTTTATACTAACTAGCCTCTTAGAAAATGTTTATTAACCAATCTCTTATTGCATTTCCTATGTTTAGAGTGTATAAAGTTAACTAAATGGTTTTTGTAGATAGTACTAAATGCATGAGAATTATTTTTATTGACTGTTTGTACATTACATTATATTATTTGATAAAATTTTTTGTTAAGTATAAAATCTAAAAAAATAATCTAGTAAATTTTGGTAATAGTTTTTTTATTTGCTCTTTTATCATTGTAATGGCATAGTTCTATAAGTTGTTAAATGACAAAGGTTTCAAAATTTTTTAAATTGGAAGACTGTAACTGAAATGTTAGTTTAAAATTACTGTGTCAGGTGAATATTTTTGATGTTTTTCAAATTTAGGGAATTTTTCCTGCTTGTTGGTGGCGTATTTGCGATAAATTGTTGAATTTAAACGTTGTTAATAAGAATTTTGCTACTTCACTTTTTCTCTGATATCGCAACTTTGTGCCTGTTTAGATATTGTGTGCATTTAACATTGCTGTCTACTTATGTGTAAACATGATGTATTTTATATTGTATTTTACAGGTGTTTGCAGTTTTTTAAGATTGAATTTTTGAATAAAGGTTGGTTAAAGAATTGAACAATGTTATAAAGAAAAACATGTGGTCATAAAATGTTTATAGTATGAATTTATAAAACCTATTGTTATGAACTTAAAGAGTGTCAGGCAATATTCACTTACTGCCTCTATTAACCAGAGGGCTCAATAGTTTGAATATAGTTTTAAGTTTTATAAATAATTAATATTAAATCCCTTGAAGGTACTTAGTATTGAGGAATGAAAGTATAAATTATGATATTATTTAGAAATCAATATTGTTGTTGAGTAAATGTCTTTTTCTTACTTGAGTTTCTTGATTTGGTGCTGCTATTTTTAAATGGTTTTCACCTTATTACCAAACAGCAATCCTTCACCAGATTATCAGGACGGATCTTGTCAAATACTTCCTAACTTCACATTTACTCACACAAAAATATATACAATATTTACAACAAATTTCAAATTCTGATCCGGTCAAAGATTTGGGTCATCAATGAATTCTTTAAGAGAGTAAAAACTCTTCTTCAAAGGCTAGGTCAATACACAATCTCTCTTGAGCGTGTTTGGTGAAAAATCACATACTTACTAGGAATCTATTGAACAATTTATATGTTAACTACAGATAACTGCGCTACTTTGCTCAAGAAAAACCATGGGATATTTAGTTTTCTGCAGCCTCTTGTATTATTGGTGGTAATGATTCCCGTAAGATCCATGAATGAAACATACGATTTTTGGTGGAGAATGCAGCTGAAAACAAATTTATTTCCATCCCTATTTCACATTTTCTGTCATGTTTCTTTCGTCTTTCCAATTAACTTTATAAAATCATTCTTTTGACTTTTTACTGACTGATTGACTAATAAAAACCTTTGTGTTGAATTATAAGAACGAAAATTCAAGACCCCTGTCAAATACCACATTGTCATTTAAAAATGCTTTCTTGTGCAATGCTTCCAACATTCTTATTACTGTTATAATACTATCATTCCTCAAAATGTTGTTTTTATTTTAATAATACTATACATGGCGTTCTAGGACTTTTTTATAGCGTTATGTATTTTCTTGCTGTAATGCCAAATTAACTTTTAATAGATTGTAACTTTAGTTTTTAGTGAAATGAATTAAAAGCATTTATTTAATGTGTAGGTACCTTAACAATGCAAATTAAATGTTTAGTTAATCAAACTCATTTAGTCAATAGTTAGGTCACAACATTTCTGTTTAACACATTATTTTGTAAAATAATTGAAATTTATAAATCCAATATTGCTTATTTATTGTGTTGATTAGCAAGACTCTTATATAAACCTGGCTTTAAATTATTATACTAAATATATTTTTATATTATTTATTGAAAATATATTTTATTACTTTTTAATGTGATGTAAGATGTGTTCCTATTTGTATTTTGTGTTCAGTGAATGTGGTCTAATAAATATGTAAATATTTGTGAATGTTTTTTATTAAAACCTTTCTGAGGTTATAGGCCTATTAATATATATATATATTTGTTTTTTATGATTATAGAATGAATTAATCTTGACAGTGAAGTTTACAGTTCAGTTAAATAACAACTGAAAGGTCCAGCGGCCAAAATCGTCTTTGAGGCTGAGTATATTTTAGCATTTAAAAGGATGAATTGCACGTCCCGACGTCCAAAATATAATTTTAGAGCTGTATCATGAGTCATGACGTCCAATATATAAAATACTGTCGCACGACGTCCAAATCTCACCATGTCCAAAAGTACAGTAACTGCAATAAACATAAGTCTTTCTACAAGCTCTGGACGTCAGTAGATTAGTCGTCATGAAACAGCACAACTTTACACTCTTAACCTAAGCTTACCGTCCAGCGGCTTTGGACGTGGTACTACTTAATAGTTTTTAAGAGCATAAAGTGCACTGTCCAGGGTTGCCACCTGCCATGAAAACCTTCAAAAGCTTGATTTATGCTTTAATTCTTGTTACAGTAGAACTTCGAAAGTTTGACACTTATTTGTGGAAGTGATGTTGAACTATCCGAAATGTCAAACTATGTAAATGGACAAATGTAAATGTAAATGTGGATAGTAAATGGAGTTTAATATACAGGAAAGTAAAAACACAAGTCTTATTTAGAAATCAAGCAAATTTATTAATACTAAAAAGCTTAAAAATTTCACTGTTCATTTAGTTAAGTCTCAAGTCAACAATAAATGACAAATGAATGTTCATGTCAGCTTACATCACAATAGTAACCATTAAATATCACTTGACAAAATAGCTCAGCCCGTGTTGAACTACAAGGAGTGTTGTACTATCGAAGGTTTACTGTACCATGAAAAAAGGCATGGATTTGTGCCTGAATTCTCCATTGATCATAAATTTTCCAAATTTTGAATAGTTTTGACCAATAACATTAAATTTGCCAAAGATTTTTTTAAATGAAAATGTGATAAAATACTGCGGTAGCAATAAAATCTGTGATTAGAACATCCTCGATTGTTTCCAGCGATTATTTTTAACTCCTGTGACTTTTTTTGTGATAGGGCCAAACCTGAGATCATATTACAATTGTGGCAATTCGTTATGATTTCACGCGATCGCGGCAGCATGTGATGGTTTCTCGTTATCACGCACGGTATTCTGTTATTGGGATAGTTTCCTATACTACAATCTTCAACTACTAAAAACAAAAAATTGGCTATTTCAGGCGGATTTTTTGGTGATTTTGAATGGATTTCTCAGGGATTATTCAAAACATTTTAATTTCACGGTTCTTCACAAAATTCACAGGTATTTTTCTGGTCATAAAAATTCACGTATGATTCCAGGTTTGCTGGACACCCTGTTGAATTACTGTAGCAAAATATATTAGTGCCGTTTAAAACCACAAATCTTAACATGATATGTCAAATTTAACACTCCGTATTGAACAACACATTCATTTTTATTTTATTTCCATTCAAACGGCAATACCATTACAAAATTGATTTAGGTGTAATTATTACAATATTAAATATTATATAAATAAAGCAGCTATACAATTCTAAAAATAGTTGTTTTAACAGGAATAAAATTTAGTATATAAATAAACATTTTACGAGAGAAACAAAAAAAGAAACAATACTTTAAAGTTTACATGCACATATTGATTAATAAATATTTTGTAAATGTTTATAAACCTACCTAAAAAAATATACTAATTCATGCGGGATAAAACAGGATTTTTTATTAAAGCGGGAAAGGAATTTTCTTGACCTAGTAAGCGGTATTGGGTTTATTGTTTTGGTCGTGTGGATACACTTCAACTACCGCTACCACACTGTCCACTAGACTTAATTATAGAAAAACCCGGTTGAAGGTACGGGCTGTGGTACGGGTCCTATAATAAAACCAGTCCGGTGGGTTTCGGCTCCTTCTAGACTGAAAAATCATTATTTATAGGTACGGTATATACAGGGTGTTTTTTTTAAAACTTGCATCTTTATTTATGTAAAAACCGCAATAGATAGAAATATTCAGTTTGCGGGAATCATCTATTGACGTAGGGGGCACATTTTTTTTAAATTCAATGTTACATTCACATTCCCGTTCGCCTCCAGGTTGAAGTTCGTTCGCTACGCTCACTCACCTTTTGGTTGCAAATTAGCTGTTGTCATAAATGTAAAAGAAATAATAGTGCTGCACCCTGTTGGTAATCCTTGTAACTTTAATGCTATTGAACATCATAGAACAGAACCAACTTGTTTAATTGAAACAGCTGTTAAGATTCAATAATTCCATTTCTCATAAGGTTAACATGGGAAACCCCAGAGCCACTGGGGCGGAGCCCGAAAGGATTTTTGAAATAAGAATATGCCTATATGTTAATCAGGAATGTGAGCTATCATCATGCCAAATTTCAGCCCAATCCGACCAGTATTTTTCGCGTTCACTTGTCACAAACATACATCCATACATCCATACATCCATCCATACATCCATACATCCAAACTTTCTCATTTATAATATTAGTAGGATTTATATATGTGTCCGTTAGCGCGATAACTCTAGCAAAAATGATCCGATTTTGATGAAATTTGGTATAAACGTGTAAACCTACGTTTATTCGAACGAGTTCGCGAACCAGCATGATCGGACTATGGGAACGGGGGTTTATGGGGGGTTTTATGGGGTAAAAATGGGGTTTTCCCATTTTTGACCCTAAAAATAAAAAATTTTGCAATTTCTTTTTAGACCGTTTTATAGAGCTTAAAAAAAGAAATAATTTAGTATATTGAAGCGCTGTTGTATGCCTAACGGTCACGGAGAAAATTAAAAAATAGTGTAATTTAAAATTCCCTTGTTATTCTTATGGAGAAAATGAAAATTGTTGTAGTTTACTTGTTTATGGATATATATTGATAAAATTTGGCAAATTTATTTATTTCATCCTATACTATTGACGTATAGTCAAAAAACACTTTTTACCTTCCCCGTAGCAGCAAACCTAAGCACTCGTTAAATCTAATGTTATTTAAATAGGGAATAAAAATATGTCTTATTTATGGAAATATTTGAGCAAAAATGTAATAAGACGAGTTGAAATTCGCTTAGTCTGCAGGTTTGCTGCGGCGGGGGTATTTAAGATTATGTTTGTTATAATAACTTTGCTATTTGCAGCAACTATACGAATAAATAAATTCCCAATATTCATGAGACTTAAGTTTTTTATTGAGACCTTTTATTCTTTTCTATAATAATCATCTAAGTTATTGGCTTACAATTCCTTTGCAAAATTAGGGTGTGCTAAACCAATTCAATAGGCGTTCATCAACAAATAATGCATACATTGAGTAAGATAAAAGTAGTTCAAAGAAGCAAGTAGGCCTAGAAAAACCTCATGGTGGTGTGGACAGGATTCTTCATTTTATTACTCTTGCCAATTAGGGGTTTTTTTTTTTCTAACGGGGGCGGCACACTTTTTTTATTATTAATTACTGTGAGCACACTTTTAGCACAGTTTTTTGGTATGGTTTATAGATCTGTAGCTGAAATGGGCGGGCTGGGTCATTTTTTATTACCCTTACCATTTAGGGCTTGTTTGTTTAGTAACGGGGGTGGCACACTTTTTTTTATTAGTGAATCCTGTGAGCACACTTTCAGCACAGTTTTTTGGTATGGTTTATAGATCTGTAGCTGAAATGGGCGGGCTGGGTCATTTTAATACCCCTACCATTTAGGGGTTGTTTGTTTAGTAACGGGGGTGGCACACTTTTTTTTAATAATGAATCCTGTGAGCACACTTTCAGCACAGTTTTTTGGTATGGTTTATAGATCTGTAGCTGAAATGTGCGGGCTGGGTCATTTTAATACCCTTGCCATTTAGGGGTTGTTTGTTCAGTAACGGGGGCGGCACACTTTTTTTTAAATAATGAATCCTGTGAGCACACTTTCAGCACAGTTTTTTGGTATGGTTTATAGATCTGTAGCTGAAATGGGCGGGCTGGGTCATTTTAATACCCTTACCATTTAGGGGTTGTTTGTTCAGTAACGGGGGCGGCACACTTTTTTTAATAATGAATCCTGTGAGCACACTTTCAGAACAGTTTTTTGGTATGGTTTATAGATCTGTAGCTGAAATGGGCGGGCCATCCGTGATTCTGGCCCGCCCAAATACAATTGATTATATCATAATTATTATAAGAGCACACTTTTTTTTAATAGACGTTATAAAGAGCACACTTTTAGCACACTTTTTTGTATAGGTACATTTAAAAAAAGTGTGCTGGAATGGGCGGGCCACCTTCATGGTACTTGTCGGCTGTCGGCGTCGGCTGCTTCCAATCCAAACAAAATGTAAACAACACAGTCACGTGACACAGCACCACTTGCGACGTTGCCAGTTCGATGGCCGCGGCCTGTAGTAAAAGGCGGCCGAGACTCTACTGTCTACTCATACCATCATAACCATACTGTGTTTAGTGTTTGTTGTGTTTAGTTAGCTGTCTCCAGGGTCCAGGGCAGGGCCAGGGCTTCATACTGAAAATTAAAATAATTATGACTGGATTGCTCGGATAATATAGACGTAGGTAGCCTAAATGCCAAAAATAAAACGTTTTGATTAGCTTAACTTGCAAGGGTGTACTACAAAAGCTCTAATTTACGATAATTGTGTAAGTGTCAAAAGTAGGGCCTAGGCCTATCATAAAATAAGTTAGGGTTTAATCGGGTGCAAACCCTAAAATGCATATTTACCAAGTTAGGCCTAACTTATTATGATGTAAAATATTTGTAGTTTTGCAAACAGAAGGTTGAAGGTTAGGTTAGCAGTGTTAACTGAATGATGTTGCTGTGAATTTTTATTTAACTTAACTTAATACAAACAATGAAGTTATTGTGTCATCTATCCAGCCTGTGTCTTAGTTGATCAATCCAATGAATAAAAGCTATTCCTCAAAATATAATAACTTACATTATAGATTATAGACCTATGGAAGTTTCCAAACTAGGCCTCATAATTTGCCTATATATGCTTTTTTAACAGCCCAGGATGCGTTCATTTCTTCAAAGAATCTACGATATTTTATCGGTTGGTTGGGTGTAATTTTTTTGGCTGGGACGGTGGTGTCGTTCTGTAATCCAGCTCCTAGAAGGTCACGACTTGGCCTTGTGTGTACGGGGTAACTCTTTGAATGCCGTTACATATACATTGGATACAACATCTGCTGTTATTAATGACAATGCAAACAAGTTAGCCTATGTCTTAATACCTGACTATTAGTATTTGTCTTAGCAGTTGGCAATGATGTGTAAGCACTCTGAAGTTTTTGGGCTTTCACTTGCAGTCAAACTTGAAGTGGTTTTCACATGTAGATTTTGTAGCATCTAAAATTTTCAAAGGGATATTTATGATAAGAGCACTTAGGTCCACTGTTTCAGTTGATGCCCTTATTTGTATATATTATGGGCACATTCATAGCTATTTCCTATGGTATCTCACTGTGGGCCAACAGTTTTTATGTAACAGGTTGATTTTTACTTTACATAAGAAGGCGGTGAGATTAATTTACACTGTAGTGTAAATAGAAGAACACATTATAAGCCCCTTTTTGTGGGTCTTAACATTCTCACATTTCCATCTTTGTATGTTCTGGCAAGTTTTTTGTATGTAGGATAAAATAAAACATTTTTCACTTTGAAAAGATATCTAGGCCTAATGTGCACAACTATTGTACTAGATCTGAAGATAATCTGTCCACACTAAGGCATAGGCCCTAAGTATACAGCCACTCAAAATAGTTTTTAAAGAAAACCTTCCGACAGACCGCCACCGCCCACCACCACCCACCACCGCTCGAGCGAACACCATTACCGCAACGTTACGTTTTACAGCCATCAGTCTCGGTGGTGTAGTGGATAGCGCACCGGGCTGATTATTCGAAGGTAGCCGGTTCGTAACCCACCGGAGGCATTAACTTATTGATTTGATTTTTTTCATTAGCAGCAAGTTTGGTTGGTTTGGTTAGGTTATGATAGTTTAATTTTATAATTAAAAAATTCTAAATTGATTTTGAGACATTTATATTTATGAACTAGGCCTATTTTTGTTATTAGTAAACCTTCATTCGGTATTTTCTTTATTAGCAAGTTTGGTTAGGTTATGACGGTTAAATTAATTTACATTTAACCTACAAACGATACTTTTTGACAGCGACAGTGATAGAGATAACAATTTCCCACGAACAGTTCGGCTATGCATGGTATGATGCATTTTGCACGGCGTGGTGGTGGGCGGTGGCGGTCTGTCGGTAACGTCTCGTGTTTTTTGAGTACCAAGGTGTTAAAAGTTAATACCCCCGCCGCAGCAAACCTGCAGACTAAGCGAATTTAAACTTGCCTGATTACATTTTTTACTAAAATATTTCCATAAATAAGACATATTTTATTCCCAATTTAAATAACATTAGATTTAACGAGTGCTTAGGTTTGCTGCTACGGGGAAGGTAAAAAGTGTTTTTGGACCATAAGTCAATAGTATAGGATGAAATAAAAAAAATTGTCAAATTTTATCAATATATACCCATAGACAAGTAAACTACAACAGTTTTCATTTTCTCCATAAGAATAACATAACATGGGAATTTTAAATTACACTATTTTTGAATTTTCTCCGTAACCGTTAGGCTCAAGTTTTATCTATATAATACGAGTAACACATTCAATGATTTCAAAAACCGCTGCCCTATGATTTCCTATAAATTGTTAGGATTATTTTGGTTTCAGGTTAAAAACATTATCCAATGTTCTGGGGAAATTAGTTTTTCATTAAAAACCTTAAATGAAATTTTAACACTTAACATTGGTTGATCATTGAAAGCTAGGTAGCCAAGACAGCTTTACGAAAATGTAAATAAATAAATAGTAACATGCGCTTATAACAAATCATCTACAGTGCAGTGGCAAAATACTAAATACAGTACAAAAGAAAATTAAATTTCTATAAATACCATTTAGCATTGGTTCTTTAAAATACACATAGGGTGTTTTATTGAGCAATTGGATAATTACAACTGTTCAAAATCGTTAAATATTTTACCGTAAAAGATTATACGCTAATGCTGAACTAAGAGTTTAGAGGAAAACCCAAGAGCGTTCTGTAGTATTTGACGATGCGCCACTGGAATGGGCACGTTGTTTGACGATCCCAAAAATGATATGAATCATAAACAAACTAATAGCGTGAAAATAAATATGTTTGTATTATTATTTCAATTCAACTCTCAAAAAACGTCCAAAACAGATACATAAAGATTATTGGTATTAGACTCCATCCAGTGACGTCATTCTTTTATGTTTTTAATCCATACTAAATGAAATGAATGATTTATTGTTGTTAAAACTATGATCAAAGTTCATGACAATCGTCAAAAGAAAAACAAAAACAATCAAGATGGCTTTGGCATTAAAACTAAAACTCTAAACCAAAGTACTCTTCATGTTTGCTAAGAACTCTTACACACCTATGAAAGTGTGTGTGAAAGAGAATAACAACTATTTATTTTATTACTTCGCTGCTTAAATTTTAGTACAATTCATCAATAATAGATACTTTTAAACATCAAGCCAATGCTTTTAGTTACATGAGGTGCCTTCCATGTTACTGATTACTAGTTGCACTGTATTGCTCCCTTAATATAATTATAGATATACTTACGATTTTTCTAACGGGATGTGTTTGTTCTCTCTCCAGGTGTAATGGAGTCCCCAACAGTCGGAATAGATGACCTTCCTGATGAAATTTTGTGTGTTATATTCTCATATCTTAATCCAGGAGATGTTGTTAAAAATGTGATTCGCGTATGCAAAAGATGGGAAGTTGTTGTGAATGAAAATAATATGTGGTGGAAAAATGTACAGTTTACAGTTTACATTGATTCTTTCATTGGATACAGTTTTATTACTGAAAAACCTACAAGCATAAGACTATGGGTGGAAGAGGATTGGAATCAAATAATGATTGGTGAAAAGGATTTAAACTTAGTGCCCAATGTGCAGTGCATAAAGTTCATTGGTGGCCGTACCGAGAGTGAAAAGTGTTACCCAGTACAAAATGCTATCAGAATTTTAGATGTTCTTCGTAAAACCTGCAAAAATATAGTCAAATTTGAATTTGAAAGATGTTTTGGTATGGCAAGTAAAGAGTTTGTCGAATTGTTATGCACGTGGTATGAAAATATCAAAGAAATTAGATACGGCATGAGCTGTTCCTATATCATTCCGTATAAAAATATTTCAACGTTTAAGAGTCTTACAACTCTAGTAGCTCATGACTATGCTTTTAAACATTTTGATTTATCCTGTTTGGCCGATGGCTGTGAAATGTTGAATAGCTTATGGATATTATTTGCCAGATCTCCCAAAGTTGATGATGTATTAAACTTTTTGGAAAAAAAGAAGCACATTTTAAAAGAACTCGGCATAGGCAGTATCATTCAAGATTGCATTCTTGAAAAATTAAAAGAATGCTGTTGTTTGGAAGTTTTATTTGTCACAGATGCAAGATTTGTTACTGATGGGTGCATAAGATCATTCTACAATCTACCAAAATTGAAATATTTTTCTCTCCATAGAGCACGGTTCGAGCCTCAAACTGTATATGATATAGTAAGGGCTGGGCCATCAGGATTATTTTCACAACTTTTTATTTTTGATTTGACAAATTACAGATATGAATCAAACATTTTCTCCCCCAAAGATGCAATAAATGGAGTAAGTATATATAGTTATGACAACAATAAGCATGTAGTCTTGGTATACCAAGGGTTGTAAAAATTTGATTGTAAAAGATTTGCAGAAACAAAGTACAGTAATAATTATAAAAAAAGCTTTCTTCACTTTTTGGACTATGAAACAAAGCAATGCTCAGACGTTTTGATGGCTAACACTCCTTTCACACTACAGAATTTTAAGCAATTAATTTTTAGTTCGCCTTGAAACAATAAATTGTAAATAGCTGTTGTTATTGTGGCTATTACAATTATAATCCAGATATTGCTTCTGAATGTAGTCTAGTAATTGGAGTTAATGTTTTTACTGCTCAGTCTTATCATTTAGCATGATTTTGTAACCAAAACTGGCCTCTTTTAAAATTAGTAACATTCAATATTTTTAACATTTCTAAACTGATATATCCAGAGACTAAGGACTAAATATAAAACAATACAAGCTTATAATACAAAACAAGAATTTCGGAATATTCTGTTACCATGGATAAAACCATAGACAAATAGAATAAATATAGACCGTCAGCTGTGCTGCGGTTAGCAGAAGTTTTGGCGTACACCGCTAGGTTTGCCGTGTAGTTACGGCACACACCGCTGCAGCGTCTGCTGGTCAGATACGGCTCCTGCGCTCATTGCCTGCAGCGGTGTGCACCGTAACTACACGGCAAACCCTAGCAGTGGGCGCCGGAACCTTCCTTTGACAGTCTATATTTATTCTATTTGTCTATGATAAAACATACTCCCTTAGTACATTTCTCATCCATATAGAACAGCTGAAGCCAATTTTATTGTTAGTTCTCTCCGGTGAACTGTAGAGATTGTGTTTTGTTTACAATTTGTTTCTTGTTATTTCAGTAATTTAAAACCTCGTTTCCATCTAATCATTATACAGTACAACAATTCTTTCTCTGGTTATAACCAAATAGTAAAACGCAAATTATGAAATTAACCCTAAAATAATAGAAACAAAATGTTGTCGTTTACTAATCATCTGTTGATATTACTACAAAATTATGAAAGTAATTGCTTTTTCACCACGCTATGATCTTTTTAGCGGATTTACATACGTTAATTAGTGGCTGAAAGTTACGTTTTGCTGGCCATGCCAGCTGTCATCGTTATTTGGGGACCGATCAGGTTTTTACATCCCTAGGGCCGCAAAATCAGCTGCCCGCTAATGAATGCATTTTAAATACACAATCAAAATCCATAGCATTGCAATAGAATTGTGTAATTATCACCGTTGCCTAGCAACTATTTATTTTTATTTTTGCTGATTCCTCAAATTATTTCTTCACATTGGCCTAACCTTAAAGTTGTAGTTGTGTTGACTATCAGTGTGGATTATTATAGTGGTGAATAGTGGTAATAGGGTATAGCATGGTGAAAAATAGCGTTCGTACCACGGACCGAAATGGTTTTGCAGCTCTCGATCGAACTTAAAAACTATCTCGAGCCGGCAAAACCTCATTTTTGGCCCTAGGTACGAAATATGCTATTATATCCTGTTTTTTAGTATTGTTGGGAATAGTATCGTTGTAATTAAGACTCGGCATTGTGTTTTTGCAAGCTTGAAGATTATGTATTGTAGAAGAAAATATTGAAAGTAAAACATTCATTTAATGTCTAGAAAATTTTGTAATTAAGATTCCAGTACTTAATAAATAAAGTTAGGTTATAAAAAAGGTAAAGATTTATAATACAATACTTTCCATAAATGTGAATTAATCAATATTTAAAGTTGGAAACCCTGCTTCCTTTACTTCGTTATGATATGCGTTATGATATGTTATTGATATGCAGTGTTATATCTTATGTCAACAGGGACTCTCTGTAAAACTTTGGTTACATTTCATAAAAAAAATATATGTAAAATCGTCAGTCTTAGTTCCTTAAGACCACTGCAGGGGCCTACTGGAAATGTATTAAACCTTCCATCGGGCGCATCACGTAAGTGATCTCTGGGTTACTACATTTTTCGTTATAAAAACCATAGTTTACTTTCGGCAGGACTGTCGCCTGCGATGCTGCACCTCATGCACCTCTTTCGCGGATTCGGTTTCAGCTACTCTCACCCCTTTTCCAGTTGTCAGACAACCTTGGGGAGTGGTTCAGTCACTACTGGAAATAGCTTCCGTGTGCACCCTGTTATGTAACGGGTTTCCCGGAGCCTAGGTCCGTGTGCGCTCTAGAGTTTTACCTTATTTTGTGATATTATAAAATGGATGAAGAACAAATTGCGCGAATGTTAGCTAGTATTGAATGGAAGGACTGCAAACAACATTTAGTGGGGAAAGACCTACCGGTGCGTTTGTTCGGAAACTTTATTTAGGGAAAAAGACCTTTGACAAATTGAGTAGTCCTTCGTTCTAACAAATGATATTTTTCATTATATCATAAAATGCACTATTGCATTTTTTTCTAAGAGCTTTGACAAAAAAAGTTGTCTTTGTATGTTTTTTTTTTTTTTTTAATATGACCATAGGTGTTTTTATATCATACACTGATGAAATTTTTGTCTAAGAGCTTTGACAAAATGAGTTGTCCTTGTAGCAAACAATTGTTTCCATTAGACCATAGGTGTTTTTATATCTTACACTATTGCATTTTTTTTGTAATTTTATACAATAACTAGCAACAGAGCCCGTTGTGGTTAAATATAACGGTCTCTAGTAAAATAATGGTTATGAAATCCATACACCACTTTACTCACTAATATTAATGGTACAGATTAAGCACATCATTAGAATCGCATACTCAACATAAGTAACTCACTTTAAACACAAATGCAAATGTGAACAACGACACTTAATCAAAGAAAAATCAATTAAATAACAATATAACAATAAGCTGTTAAATTATTAACACATGTTTCGTATGTTTAGATTATGCATACTGGGGTAAACCAATTATTGCCATCTATAAAAATTATTGGTTTTTCTTTTCCGATTCGGGTTAAAGGTCTTCTACCCAACCGATTTTCATAATTTTGGCATTAAACTAAAGGTATGCAAGCATGTATTTGTCATCAAGCATCATTGTTAATTTATCTAATGTATTAGTCAACAAAAAAATATAAATTGGATTTTTATATTTTTTTATACGTAAATCAAATTTAAGTTATTATTTAAGTTAATTACGTATTAATTAACGTATTATTTAAGTTATTTTATATTTCTTCGTCTTAAAATACTTCAAAGGCCTTCACTTGAGATATTGACGGTTTTAATCAGTTAAGTTAAAGATATACTTTATGGTTCAATCAGAAAACATAAATTTAACTATATCTTGGATATGGAATTTAGTTTTAGATATATTTACTCAATTCTAATTACGTTATTCTATTTGTTTTGACCTAAGAACCTTCAGTGAAATACCAGCTTCCGTTTTATTTATGTGGATGTACCTAAACCACACTGCTAAATCACGAATAACCCATTTTTTTTAAGAGTTATTTATCATGGACTTATAGTCAAACGGTCTTGCTTGCAACCTCAACAGCAACTGTCAGAATCGACAGGTTTCACCTAGTAAATCTAAAAAAAAACTTTCATAATTATTTGCAAATCTACACGAATTAGGCTTTCTAATGACCTATTCATTAATAAAATCGGTTCAGTAGAACTGTAGATTTCATTGTACAAAGCTTAACAACAAAATCTTTAGTTCAGTATTTTCTCATCATTATAAATTTGGAGGTTGCTTAACGTTTTTGAAAATAACTTTGAAATGGTGAGGAAATCGACGAAAGTGGAAGATGATATTCTGATAGGGAATAAAATTTCCTACAAATCACTATTATGTATTTCTGGAAAATACTCAATAAAGGCAGCCTAAAGTTGGCTACAAATATAAACATGGAAATATAATCTTGGGGAAAAAGCGTTTTAAATGTAATATTGTTTATTTTTATTGTTTTACCTCAAATATGTAATAAAATCAAACTTTTATAATTATTTGCAAATCTACAAAAATTAGGCTTTCCAATGACCCATTAAGTAACAAAATCGGTCCGGTAGAAGTCTAGATTTAGTTGTACAAAGTTTAACATAAATATATCTAATTCAGTATTTTCTCACTACTATAAATTTGGAGATCACTTAGATTATTGCCAAAACTTTTAAATGGAGGGGAAATCGACCAAAGTGGATGTGATATTCTGAAAGGGAATAAGATTTACTACAAACAACTACTATGCATTTCTTGAAAATGCTTAATAAAGGCAGCCAAAAGCTGGCTACAAATAGAAACTTGAAAACAGAAACTTGACAAACACAGTTTTTAATTAATTTTTGTTATTTTTACTTTTTTACCCCACAACACTTACATATTTTTATTGTTTAATATAACATTTGCTAATAGTCAAATAACTCATAAAAAATGTTTTTCTTACACTTTTATTGCTATTGACATTGTATAGTTGTTGTACTCCCGGAGCTAACTTCCATGAGCATCCTTTTGGTGTTTGAAAACCAATGCGCCCGACGGAAGGTTAATGTGTAAAAAATTACTGTATAATGTTTGCAGTCAGTTTGCACCACTTTGTATCAAATTGATAAACACCTGTTTATTTCTAGGACCGGAAGATGATGTTTGAAAATAACATTTCCACAGCGATTGCTGTGCCCTGGACTGTCAAATCTCCTCTTCATTGGATGTATCGCAGTGAAAAAGTGTATTGGGTGCGATTTTAAGATATAGTAGTTTCACGTTAGTAGGCAGGGTGTTTCTAAGACAGTTGATACTTAAGGTTAATTCATTAACTTTATTTTTATCCAAATGTCCGAGGCGAGATTGCTTGAAGAAATGTTTCAATGGGAATCCATGTTATGGAAATACAATAGCTGTTGTAATGGATATTGAACCGCTTTTGTATTTTCTACTTAGGGACTTTCTTGAGGAAAAGTATTTATACATCTATGATGTAAACAAATTGATTAACTGTTTAATGCCAACTTCTGAAATGGAAAATAAAATATTCATAGAACAAAGTTTCACATTTCTCAAGTTTCACCTCTTCAAAATCTCAAAGTAGCCCATACAGTAAACACTCTTTAATCCGAACGTCCACTAATCCGAACCCCTCATTGCTGTACTCTATACACAGTACAGCAGTTCTTTATTGTATACTGTATTTAATTTACAGTACTGTTTATTCATCATGTTTACTACTGTATTAAATTAACACTATTTTACTTTATAAAACATTTGTTCACTTTTACCAAAATAATTTTGATCAATTTAGCCATGTTTTAGCTATTGTTATGTAAAAACAACAATATGTTCTGTAATCCGAACTATTCAATAGTCCGAACTACCCCTGGTCCCAATTAGTTCGGATTAAAGACGTTCTACTGAATATTTATTTTAAATTTTGTATTAATTTAAATATTGTCATATTTATCACAGTATTTAGACCACATGTATTTGCACTTGCCTCCTCAACAAAATTAGAAAGGCCTTCGTAAAATTTATGTTAGTACACATTGAATTTATGTCTTTACTAAATAATCGGAATTTCAGATTATCTTAAAGAAATTAAACACAATTAAATGACACAATGATAAATCAACAAGTTTATGAATTATCAAATCACAACTGGTGCACTAAGTGCTACCAATAAACTGATACATATTCTTACTTCAGCCGATGTCTAGTACCAGACAGTTGCTTCTCACGAAAGTAAGCATTAACATTTACACTTATGTAGTTAACAAACGGAAGATAGGAAAATAAAGTGTGGCATTTCCCAGGAAACCGCAAGTGTGTAGCCTACTGTATTGTAGTTTTAACTGAATGTTTTGCCAATCAACAATCTTTAACCCTATGACTGTGATGGTCATTTATCGACCACAAAACGCTAGTTATAAGTGGGACTGGTCGATTATCAACCAAGACAACATGGGTCGGGTTTTTCAATTATCAAAATATGAAAACTGTTTTAACTGCAATGAATCTTATAGCATTAGAAAGATGAGATTCTGAGGATTTATTTTCACATATAAAACATTATTAACACATTGCGTGCGGGTCAGTCGCCGGCGACTGATTCCTTATCATTGAGATAAGTGGAATTTTCAAGAGTAAACATGACGACCGCATTGAAAGAGTTAAGCGAGTATTATGCAGCAAGAACATAGTTTGAAAAACCAGAGATTTCAAAATATATTTTGGCGGTGGAAAGTCACCTGACTACAAAAACAGCTGTTTTTGACAATCGATGGAAAATTCAATACGAAGCACAATAAAACGGCAGTGTTACCATAGAAACCTAAATTTCCTGAACAAACCGTCTATTGACAGTTCCTGGCTATTTATTGAAGTTGCAGCAGAAAATATTTATCAAAGAACTAACTGTACAGATATTGTACCTGAGTATTTTCTTACTGGCAGTTGTTGATAAATTGACCAGTAAAACAATCCTAATAATTCCCTTTTACCATTATTTACCCCCAGTATATATTCTAAATATTTATACTATTAAAAATAAGAAGAGCAGCTCTTCAATGTGATGTTGGCTGCATACCAGTACGACGGGGAATTAGTGTGGGAGCTGGTGGCGTAAGCCTGTTCGTATCAACGTTCTAGAACGTTTTCGTCGTAAATATCGGTACCTATTATAATAAGTATGCAATATAACTTTTTTAAAACTACAATATATTTTCTACAATTTCAATAACTATCTAATTACATTATTGTGTTTTCATATACTTAAAAATTTGTAAGTTTTTAACCCTCCGAGTGTCCCTTGTTGCCCCCATTGTTGCCTTAATGTCAGCCTATTTTTAGCTCATTTGCAAGGTTTTATTAAAACGGATCTGAGAAGCTTAAAAACAATGTTAATTATACTGTTCTATATACCATTTTGTTTGGAAAATCATGGGCTTCAATATTATACAGTGTGTAAATTAAGTATGGAAACAAATCTGTATTTTTAAAACCGAAATAGATAGAAATATTCTATTTGTGGCAATAATAGTTAACAAAGATTCCGCAATTTTTCACATGAAAAATATTTTTTTACCCCCCTAACAGCGTAGGTGGTAGGGGGTGACATATTTTTTTCAAATAGCAACCCCTATGGAGTGACCCCTCATTTTGAAGGGTTTGTCAAAAGAAACACAATGACGCAAATCCGAGGTGAATATCTCACTCCTAGCTAACATGGCGGATATTCCAAAATGGGCTTTTTTTTACAAAAATTAAATTTTTCATTACCCACCATTTAGGCTAGGGGTGAAATATCTACCTCGGGTTTGCGTCATTCTTTTTCTTTTAACACGTTGAGTGCTGAAATGGGTTAGTATTGCGTGCTTAAAGTGCTGAAATATGATTATTGATAACTCCCCAAGTAAATTATGTGAATGCATCCAAAATGTCAATAGAAGATCCCCAGGCCTCCATTTTGGTCATTATTGGTGACGTTACTTCCGGTACGTCAATTGATGTAGTCCGCCGGTGGGGCCGGTTGGCTAAGTCACCGCGAGGAAGAAGTAGTCCGTTTATTGTCATATTTGTGTCTAACGACCCACAAACTTGTTTCTTGACACAAAAGTTGGTAATTATTGGAATAATAACCACAGAATATTATATACAATCCGTCCAAGTGTCATTTAGAACGATCGTCAATGCAAAAAAATAGTTCACACACAATGTAAAAAAAGAGTTATTATTATTTATAAAAACACTGTTCTTACAGAGAAGACGATTATAGTAAAATTTAAAAACTATTCAAAAACTATTTACAACCCCACCCACCACATTTACACACACCACACAAAAGTACAAGAATACCACGGTCCCGTGCCGAAGTGAAAAACCGGAGCTGAAAACGGTTCGCGCCAAAATAAACTCGAGAACTGGCACAACAGGCTGACGCGCGATACAACGTTCCCCGTCTATATCTGAGCTCACACTAAACCAATATAGTTGGAGTGGCATGACTACAGCTTTTGATGTAGTCAGCCATTCGTGCTTGTTACGTACTACATCAATTGATGTAGTCAGCACTCAACGTGTTAACAAACCCTTCAAAATTAGGGGTCACTCAATAGGGGTTGTTGTTGAAAAAAATAAGTCACTCCCACCCCCTACCCTGTTAAAGGGGTTGAAAAAATATTGTTGATTAAAAAAATTGCGGAACCTATGTCAACAATCAATTCCACAAACAGAATATTTCTATCTATTTCGGTTTTAAAAATACAGATTTCTTTCCATTATTTGTGAAATTGGTGCTTTTCACGTACAATAAATCAAATTTTGGAATATCCGCCATTTGGGCTAGGAGTGAGATATTCACCTCGGATTTGCGTCATTGTGTTTCTTTTGACAAACTCTTCAAAATGAGGGGTCACTCAATAGGGGTTGCTATTTGAAAAAAATAAGTCACCCCCTACCACTTACCCTGTTAGGGGGGTAAAAAAATATTTTTCATGTGAAAAATTGCGGAATCTTTGTTAACTATTATTGCCACAAATAGAATATTTCTATCTATTTCGGTTTTAAAAATACAGATTTGTTTCCATACTTAATTTACACACTGTATATAAAACATAAGGAACATTTGTTTAAAAAAAATTTTTTAGGTAAAAAAAAAATATTTTGGAAAATTTTCAAAAAAAAAAATAAGTTTGCGCTCAATGAAATTGTATAAATTATAGGCCTATAAATATTTGAAAATAGCCACTTTGTTCTAAATTTTATGAGGATTACAAATATATAATCATATAGTGAGGTAAGTTATCAAATAAATAAGTTATGAGTGAAAAACAGATTTCAGTACATTGCGTTTAGCTAAGAATGCATAGCCTAACCATAGCTAGGAATCTGGCTGATAATTTATATCAATATCACTACCTACTTCTTCAGGATCATCAACCAGCCCTTCAAAATCACTTAAATCTTCTTATAATGCACCACGTATATCACTACTTTTGATTTTTAACACTAAAACAATGATAAACGTAATAAAACACATCAGTCATCGGTCCGAGGATAACCAAGCTGTTTACAGATACGCACGTCAGCTGTCTGCTACAATTACGATCGGCTCGGAGAACATACAGCGCTGAGACAGACCTCTGGAGAAAGCTTAGAATATAACGAAAAGAACGATACCTAACTCGATCCAGTTCAATCTGATTCAGTCAGTCACAGAGCCTTTGCCGTAAACAGTGTTCGTGAGTCGCTGCAGCGACGCATGACACTCGGAGGGTTAAATATTTGCTGAAAAGTGTTGCCGTAAATATCGTTACGCATTATAATAGGTACGCAATATAACTTATTTTGAAACTACTGTACAATATTTCACAAAATTGTGAAATACTTGGAAAACTAGTCACTGGTTGTGGTTGTAGAAATCAGTACGCATTATCATATATTAAGCCGAGGACGGGAAAAATGGAGCAATTGCAGGAAAATCACTTTGGTTAACGATACTTTTCATCACAACACAAAAGTATACACTTAAAGAATACACACCTCAGTAATATTATAACTATTATATTTTGCAATTAACATTTGATAAATATCAATAAAAGGAAAATTTTCCATGGCAAACCTAATATCTTGAAAACAAAAAGTTCAAGGTTGTGTTTATTGTACAATTCTCATTTTCATTGTTGGTGACAACCATTTCTTCGTTATAAGGATTTTGATGTTTTGAAACATCCACATCTTTGAGTTCTAGACTACTCTTTATCATTGAAAATCTACTTCACAACTATATGGTTTCATGATTATAGAATATTCGGATAAATTTAAAGTAATATAAACACTTTGTTACTTACATTAGTTGGTTTAACATTTTGTACTTTGTACCAGTCCGTATACTTTCTGTATGTATTTCTCTTCATATATTTACAATGATTTCTCTATAGTTCGGCCGCTTGGAAAGCAACCTCCTCTAGCATTGGTTTAGCATTAGCACCCAGGTTGTTTTCTATGCAGCCGAACTATAGTGTTTTTCGTCATCCCCCACTAGGGTAAATAGAGAACTAATTGAGAGCGAGGGAAAGTAAATTTAGAGCAAGGGAAAATCAGCTGATTGTTTTCCCTGCTCTAAATTAGAGCTTGGGAAACAACTACTTACTTTGATATCAGCTGTTATTGAAAAAAGCTACTTTTGGTACGGAGTGGTAAAAACTAAAAAAGATTTCTAAATTTTACATTCAGATATCAATTACTCAGAAATTTTTTAATTCAACTGCTTGTAGCTACTTATTTTCTAAATGATCTTTTGTTTTTCTACTATGAAGTATCATATTTATTTTATGTTGTAGCATTCAATTATTTCCTATATGAGAAAAAAATTTGATAATTTTTCTTAAAAAAAATAAGTATCTAGAATTTTTTTATGATTTCAAAAACATTGATATTTTCAAGTAGGGAATCATATTTCACACAACCTTTACATTTAGATCAAACGTGAAAAATAATTATTTTGTGGGTTGCTTTCGAAATTTATATTTGCATAATCCGAAAATTTGCAAACATTTTACTACTACACCTAAACACATTGCTAGGAAAAAAATATTTTTGTATCATTATATTCTACGTTTATAACTGAAACAGAAAATGTACTTCCATTCACAAATAACTGTTCTGTGGCGAAATATATGGTACCACTACTATTACTACAAAAGAGCCAAAATATACCCGCTGCTGGTTGGTCAAATGGCCGCCAGATCTAGGGTTAACATTGAGTAGTCTGATAAAAAAAATAAAAAAAAAAACTGTTGGACCATGAACTTGGATCTTTTGTCAATTTTATGAAATTCACTTATTTTTCTCTATACTGATTTGAATTTATAACCATTTTGAGAGCAAAAATAAAGGACTAAATGGAAAACACATAGAGAACATAACATCCAATTAAATTATTTATTAGGTTCTAGAACATATGAACAATAATTATTGTTAGGAAAATGTTACACAGTAATAATAATAATACAAATATGGCGTCACATGCGAATACCTGACAAATTTTTTTGTTCTTTCCTGACAACGAACTAGGCTTGTAGCTTGTGATTTACAAAAATGTTACATTTAAAAAACTGATAAAACTCTAATAAATAAATAGATAGCTCTGCAAAAAATCTTTGAAAATTAAAATCATTATTTAGTACAAATACATGGTATAATCAATATAAATAGGTGTATACTTTTTAAACTATCACAACTTACAGTCTATGAAAATATGTACAAATACATTTTAATTGTGTATGAACAGAGTCACTCAATTGGGATGTAGATAATGTCCAATATCAGCCCCACTTCTATCTCAACAAAACAGGCTTCGTCTGGAAAACAACGTTTACAATAACAAAGTTATATATTTACATTTATGAATCTGTGGGAAAAATATTGACAGTAATTAGTAGTTTACGCAACGATTGTGTAATGATAGTGTTAACGAAACAAGTAGAAAAGTTAAGGTTCGAGCCTTGGTGAGTGCCATAAAAACTTCTATGAGTGTCGTTAATACTATTTACGTGAGTTATGTACACTACTTTACCTACAACAGTTTTTTAATTACTAAAAATCACTACTAACTTCTAAGAGAGGTTATGTTTTCATTTATGACCTCTCATTGCCACTGACAGTGATGCAACAAGGCATTGTACCAAACACTAATTGCACCACTCAACAATTAAATTGGCCTGAACAGCTGATTAGTTGAAGTTCAAATCATTACAATTTTACTTCTCTCTGAATCCTTGAACTTCATTGGTCCGTTACCCATGTTGTTATGTGTATGCTGTTATGAAAGTAAACAATGCTGTTATGTGAAACTTTCCAATTCTAAGAACAGTAAGAACTGAACAATTTCTACGGCTACTTTAAAAATCGGTCGTAGGTAAAATTAATTACCATTGGCTGAACAATGTAAATACTGTATTGATATTGATAGGCATATTTATGTGTTAGCTGTAGCTGAATTTTTAACTCAAAGAGATGAATGTCAAAAACATGAGTGTCCTGGAAGGGAAATTCTATTTTCTCAAATTTTTATGCTATGATAGTTAGTTGATGGGAGCAAAAAAATATGCCACAGCACGTAACAAATAAATACATTTTGATATGATTGATAAGTTTGTTCAAAAAAAGAAGCTGTATTTCACAGCAGCACACACTTGTCAAGAGACTTAAACTACGTTAGTCTTTTTCTTTGCTATTTTCAAAACTGACAAGAACTTAAAACAAATAAAATTTCTACTTCGTAGTATCTATGGTCAACGAGCCTATAGTGACTAAGTGAAGGAAACCAAAGTCGGAGACATTGGATTGTGGCTAACGAAATCATTTCTGAATCTAATATATAGCTACTTGTATCCGCACATTATTATTACAAAACATTTGTAATTTCCTATCTGTGTAACTCTCAGGTACTTCTAAACAGCTTTTGTTTTTATTTAAATCCACACAAGTGTTTGCTTTTGCCCAGTAATGAAAGAAAATGACAAGGTATTCTTTTGGAGAAGGTTATCTACTAGGCTCATTATGATGCAAACTTAAGGATGCATTAAACTGCAAAACTAAAATATTCAGGTTTTACTTATCAAATCAAATCAAATCAAACGTGTCTTTATTCATAATATGTACAATTTAATTAATGTACAATGAATGGTCTAAGAAATAAAAATAAGTACATTAAAATTAATCTATTTACAAGTATAATACAGTACACCTTTTTACCAACAAATTTTACCAACGACACCATTTAACTTATTTTATTTAAAAACTCATTAATTGAATAACAAGTGTTCTCAATCATGAATGCCTTTAAATTTTTATTGAATTTCTTAATGTTAGTCTCACTTTTCAAACTTTCGGGCAATCTATTACAGAATTTGCACCCTTATATGTGGTCTTTTTTTTAATTCTAATCTATTGTGTTTCTAATTTCAAATCATTTTTGTGTCTAGTGTTATAACTATGATTATGGCCAAGAAAACTAGTATTAGTCATGTTTTGTTTCACATACATAACACATTCATATATATATATATATAAATCAAACACCGACAAACAGGCCCGGTCTGGCTCCATTGGAGGCCCTCGGCTAGATGTTGATTTGAGGCCCCCAGCCAGAAATAAAACAAGGACCATGGGGTGCTCTCACGGCAACAATTAGTTAGCATATATGTTTGCTGCATGCCGCAGGTGCATAAAAGGGGCCTAAGGTGGTTTTAAATGATTAAAAGTTTTTGATAATTTTGATTAAATTAATAATTGCAAAATTTCCATAAATTAAAATCTTTGTATTTATAAATTTAATTCCAAGGTATCAATCAATTTAAATTTGATATAAAATTTGCTCGTATTTCTATTCACCTCTACAGCTGCCATAAAATTTAAAGGCCTATTCTTAAAATTGTTTTAAGTCTTAGATTTAAAAATAAGACCAAAACCTAGTTCTTGGAGTTTTTGCCATACATGGTAAAAATGGACCACATTTACTGTTTATCACACACTTTACTCCATAGTTGTACTTCAGCAACAAAAACAAACAGAAATAATCAAAAGTATTTTAATTTAAACGTTGTAAGGCTTACAAAAAACTTCTGATGATTTCCGCCTGCCTGTTTGCGACTTCTCATTGTTAGCAGAATCGGAACTGAAACCAGCTAAAGCCCCCCACACACTACCAGACCAGACCTCTAGACCAGACCGTCTGGCTGCAACCAGACCGTCTTGGACTGCTCTACACACTCCCAGACCAGACATTCCAACATTCGAAATTGAGACACTGTGGTGAGAACTCCAACAAATAGATAAAGACTGTTACGATGGTCGGCCTTCTGACAGACAGCGCTACACACTCACAGACCAGACAAAAATAGTGGTGGGTGAACCTCAGACCGTCTGTGGTCTGAGGGTTCAACCAACAGACACGCAGACCTCCCACACACGCAGACCTCCCACACACGTTAAGAAAAGTGCCAGACGCCAGACCAGACGGTCTGGTCTGGAGGTCTGGTCTGGTAGTGTGTGGGGGGCTTTGCTAACCATAAGTTCAAACAGTTTGACTTTAATTTGTTTTTATTTTGAAATATTTCCTATCCATTTTTATTTTACTTGCGCCACTTGGGTGTACACGTTTCATTTTATAAACTGAACGATTCACGTGTTAGTAATCTTTCAAACAATACGGCATAGCCCACTACGTAGGAATGACTGGAAACAGTCGTCGGTGATTAAACTAGTCGTAACACCATACTCGACCTTTTGGTGTCGAATAAAATCAGTTGTAGATAAACTGACGGATAGGAATTGGGAACAGTTTTTAGGGATGATACATAAAATGTAATTGCATTTATTTTTGTTGTTTAAAAAAATATAAAATTGCCAAGACACTGTGTTTTATATACTGATGATTTAGATTTTAATGCCTGTAGTAAAATCTGTTTTAAAAACCAGGGGCCCATTTCATAATAAAGTACAAACTAATATTATTAGTAAATCAGCTGATCGCCCAATGCAAATCTAATGGAAATTACAAGTTACAAGTTGTAACTTGTAACTTGTAGTTTATTATGAAATGGGCCCCAGGTAACAAATAAATAGGAATATTTGTTATACTGAGTTAGAGACATTAGGCCTACTGAATAATTTAAATCTTGCAGTCATGTAATAAACCAAAAAATTTTAATTAATTGTAAATGTTGTCATTCTATTACGTTTTATACCAAAGTGACAAAATATTAATGCAAATGACAACAAACAATAGGAATCAAGCGGGAAAACTCCACTGTTTAAAGTAAAATTATATTCGATAAATTTCTTTGCAATGACTGAAACCACTGCACCGATTGAACGCCACCAGTTGTTGTTGTAGTGGAATTCTCTCGGTTTTTCATTCGACTGAAAAAAACCACTGGTTTTAAAAACAACCGATTGACAAATTGACTAGTCGATAGTTTTTTCCAGTCGGTTGTCCCATCACTATACTAGTACAAGCGCTAAGCTGTCTGCTTGAGTCCAGACACCAGACATATCGCAGACGCGCCGGCACGGCAATGTCTCGTCACTACCGCGGAGCGCTGGGCACTGAGCTGATTCGAACGGTGCGTTGCAGTGAGATCGGTGACTATCCTCTTGTACCGAGTGACTATCACTGTACTTAGGGGCTACCCCTAACTGTAATTCAATTAAAAAAAGAGTATTGTTTATTAAAAATTGTTTTTGCAAGACTACGTCGCTGTGAAACAGTTAAAAAAAATATTTTTTTATTATAACTAAATTTTTTTGAATTGATTTTTTGGCTTTTGGAGGCCCTCGGGGATCGCCGACCAGCCGCCCTGGCCAGACCGGGCCTGCCGACAAAATTCCCAGTTCCCTAAACCTATCCTTTACATGAGCCTTGTACTTCAAACCTAGCATGATTCTTATACATTTCTTTTGGAGTTTCAATATCTTTTTTAAGTTTTTGTGATTTGTTGCTCCGTATACACAAATGTTATATGCCAAATGTGAGTGAACCAAGCTAAAATATATTACTTTTTAAGTGGCTAAATCACAGAATTTAGATAATCTTCTAAGGACATAAATTCTTGAATTCATTTTGCCTTTAACTTTGTTAATATGTTTATTCCAGTTTAAATTGCAATCCACAATTAAACCAAAAAAATTTGCATCCGTTACTTCTGAAATAATGTTGTCATTTAATTTTATTTCTGTTGAAAAACCATTTTGGTTCTTATTTGTATTAAAATTTATAAAGTTTGTTTTATTTAAATTTATCTGTAAGTTTAGATTTGTCAAAAATGAAACTACGTTATTTAACTCTTCTTCTGCAGATCTTTTAATATGTTCATCGGTTGGTCCTGAAACTTTCAAATTTGAATCATCAGCATACAAAACTACTTTGTTGACATTCTGATCAACCAATATATCATTAATTCCATTTATGTATATAATGAATAATAATAGGCCTAATATTGACCCCTGTGGGACTCCAAATTTTATGCACTGTGTTTTTGAATTTATTTTTGTTTGTTTTCCGCCAGTTGTAGAAGCTATTTCAACAAACTGTTGCCTATCGGTTAGATATGATCTGAACCAATCAAGTGCTTTGCCTTTAATACCAAACTGTGTCAAAATTTTAACCATGGTACCATGACAGACTCAATCAAATGCCTTTTGTAGGTCCATAAATAGTCCAATACATTTTTCATCCCTATCAATGGCATCAATAATGGACTCAATAAGTTAAATTGAACAGTTGCTGTTTTGGTCGACTTTATAATCATAAATGATTATAATACAATTCAGTATAATACAATTAGACTTAAGCAAATTGGATTGAATCAAAGATGAAAAAATGTAGGTATACTTACATTAAGTAGTTTCAAAAACTCGTCTTTTACTCAGCTCCATAACGTTTTTTGCCTGAAAAAAGGTTAAGAACATTTTAAAGTTTAGTACAATCAACAATCTGGTTGATGTTATCAACCCTGGATAAATTAAACATTCTCTATTTCAAAAAAGTTAATTACATATATTAATGAACTGATGTCAAAAATAAATGTAAAAACTTATAATAATGAGTTACTCACGGTTTTGGTTTGTTCTGTGCAGCTGGAGGTTGAATAGTACCTGACGCTTTTTTCTTGGCATATCTGAATTTCTTCACATAGGCTTCCACCAAGTGTTGAATTTTGATCGGGTTAATTTCTCCAGACTTGTTGTGACAAATCTGTAACCAAGTAAAATGTTTATCTCAGAGCTGCTATTAAATCAATTTAATAATGTAATTATTTCTTCTGAAAATCTCAATTTTTCAACGAGATTTCTATGAATTGGAAGGAAAATTAACCATAAATTGACTAAAAGATCTTATAAAATTATAAATTTCACTCCAATTTTTGTGTACCGTATAGTTAAATGCTAAAAGAAAAACAACAAATCAGAAGGTATAATTTATAAATACTAGTTAACAACAATTGCGTAAAGATAATCTTTAAGACACAAGTAGAAAATTTAAGGTACGAGCCTTGGCGAGTGCCTTGAAAGATTCTACGAGTGTCGTAAAGGCTAATTATATGTGTTGCGTAAAATACTTTACCTACGACCGGTTTTTAAAGTAGCCATTTCAGTTTAGTTATTAGAATTGAAAAGTTTCACTTAACAGCTGTTTACTTTCATAACAGCATAGTTTCATTTCATAACAGCATAGTTTTTTTCATAACAACACGGGTAACGGACCAATGAGGTTCAAGGATTGAGAGAAAAGAAGTAAAATTGTAATGTTTCGAACGTCAACTAATCAGCTGATCAGTTGACAATGTTAATTGTTGATCCGACTTGTTCCTGTTGATACTCGCGACTCGCGTATTCTTAACCTAAGTTGGTGGAAGTTAAAGGAAGGTAGATTTAACTGATTTAAAAATTTCAGTTAGTGAAAGTTAAGTTGACGAGATGGAAATGAGAGCACAAACTGTTTGTGCTAATCTTTTGCCACCAAAATAGAAACAAAGGTATAAAATTACATACCAGCAATTCATTAAATGGACGAAACAAAATAAGGTTCAATTTATAAATGAAAATGTGCTTCTGGTTTATTTTGAAAACCTCTTAACCACTTTTTCACCCAACTCGTTGTGGACCACATATTCGATGCTGAAATCTAACTGTAAATGAACTGTTTCACTATATTATTCAGTTGTCCAAAAAATATGCAATAAATTGTAACTGATATTTATGGTAAGAAAGCAGATAGTAGAACATATTCCCTTAAAAATTAACGTATTATTTAACGAAGTTTTACAAACATGTAATTACATGAAATCAGCTGATTATACATTAAGTCGTTGCATCACTTTCAGTGGTAATGACAATAGCGGCAGAAATATGCAATAAATTGTACCTGATATTTATGGTAAGAAAGCTGATAGTAGAACATATTCCCTTAAAAATTAACGTATTATTTAACGAAGTTTTACAAACATGTAATTAATTGAAATCAGCTGATTATACAATAAGTCGTTGCATCACTTTCAGCGGCAATGACAATAAACGAAAACATAACCTCTCTAAGAAGTTATGAGTAGTGATTGTTAGTAATTAAAAACCAGATTGTTAGTAATTAAAAAACGGTTGTAGGTAAAGTAGTGTACGCAACTCACGTTAATAGTCTTTACGACACTCGTAGAAGTTTTTAAGGCACGAGCCTTCCTTAAATTTTCTACTCGTGTCGTAAAGACTAACTTAACGCAATCGTTGCGTAAACTACTATTACCTACGACTGTTTTTTTAATTACTTAACAATCATTACTTACATTTATCTAAGAGAGGTTATGTTTTCGTTTATAAGCTTAACAAAAATAAGGTTTTATAAACAAAAACAACCTCTCATCGCCACTGATTGTGATGCAACAATTGTCCCAACCTCTCATTGTATAATAAATTACTTGAACAGCTGAAAAGTTGATGTTATAAGCAATACAATTTTGCTTCTTTTCTCTCAATCCTTGAACCTCATTGGTCCAAACTTGTACTGTAAGTAACAAAACAATGCTGTTAAGTAGGTAAACAATACTGTTAAGTGAATCTTTTCAATTCTAACTGAATTGAAAAGACTAGTTTAAAAAATGGTCATAGGTAAAATTGTTTAAACTATGGTTTAAAAATTACTGTTATGAAAGTACGTGTTTGTATCTGGTTTTTGGTCAAATATAATTTATATCCATGAGAACTCATTCTTTTTATTTACTTCCTGCGGAGTTAAGTGACCAGTATTTGAGCCCCAAAAATCAACTAATAATACCAAATTTTTTTATACTTTATTATTAACTTTATTGTAACCCTGAACAGGAGCAGTTTCCATGGAATCTAAATTAATTTTACAACAATTTGATCTTTCAGCAGGATGTGACAGAGTTACCTTTGGTACAGATCTCCTGAGAATCTCCTTGTACTCCTCCTTGTTGACATGTTTCTTGGCGTAGTGAGGTTTGAGTACCAGTTTCACTTCCTCCACTACTCTTTCCTGGCGGTTCAGTTTCTTCAGGAACTGCAAACCAACGCCAGCATTACAGTAGAACCTCCCTCAATCGAAACTAGCCAAAATGTGTCTTAGACAAACATAGAGAAGGGACTGGACAGAAGTGATACAGGGATTGAGGTTAACACCATTGATAATTCAAACTACAAACACGATAGCCAACTGGGGGTGGATCTAAGCATAGAGGCTTGCACCACATACAATTTACAATATAATGCCAGTCACTGGTCATGTTTTATCAACCTAGATAGTACGTTCTGCAACAGTGTACTTGTACATTTCTCAGTGTGAGAATGCTCACTATCATCTGAGAACTAACTGACATGTTTACAATTATTTCAAACTGTTTAAAACCGTCTTATCACTGCCACTGACTAAATAAAAACTCAGGGAGTTACAGTAAAAAGTGAGTTTTTATTTAGTCAGTTGCAGTCAACACATAGCGAATGAAAAATGATAATAATTTTATTTTGATGTAACCTTTTATTCAAATAACATAGTATTTTTAAAGAAAAAAATTTATAGAACAAACATGTTTAACACTTTATTTAGTCAGGTGCTGGCCAATTTGTACAGTTTTAAATCAGTTGTACCAATTTTCATCCCATTTTAGTTATGTTATAAATAAGACAAGTTTTAATTATTGTGATTGTGAGGATATTTCAAAGAATCTTTTGACATACCATAGTGTATTAATACATTGATGACGTGGTTGCATACTAAATGACCTGACAAAGTTCTAAGGAACGAAATAGTCGTCATACAAACAACTGTGGTTGGAAAAAAAAAGGTAATAATTTTATTTTATCAATACAGTACACTCCCGATTAACCGAGGTTGTTGGGACCGAGACTACCTCGGTTACCAAGAATCTTGGATAATCGCATAGATTTTGAGGTTAGGGTTACAGTACGTTATTATGAAGTTAAATACTTGTAAAATATATCTTTAAACACATAGCAAATGAAAAATTATAATGTTATTTTGATATAACCTTTTTTTCAAATAACGTGTAGTATTTTTAAAGAAAAAAAGATATAACAAACATGTTAAACACTTTTTAATCGTCTTGAAAATGGTTATTTAAGGTTTATTCTAACGTTAAAATAATATGTATTGGTTATTCCAAGTACTGTGTTCATTTCAATAAATCTCAAATTAATGCTATTCTTGTGTTTCTTTGAATAGAAACATGTTATAATAAAGTAGTTATTATAGAGATTAAAGAATCCCAAAGTATTCTATTATCCTACAGAACATGAAATATTAGGGAAAAAATGAAAATGAATTGGGGCAAAAAAACAACCTCGGATAACCCGAGGGCTTGGATAATAGGGAGTGTACTGTAACATATTCCAACCAAGGTTCACAATCAATAATACTTGCTTAAACCATATGAAGCAATCAAGCTTTTTACCAATCATGTGTTGGTTATCAAATATAGTCTTAAAACTATTAAAAGGTTGAACTTATAAAACTATGCTGCATTTTAATAATGCAGTAAAAAAATCTACCAACAATTTTATTGCGTCTAATAGCTAAACTATATTCAAAATTAAAAAGCAAATGATAAAGACAATGACAAGGATGAGTTAAAGTAGCTTACATGCAAACATATAGTAACCAAATAAAGTAGTAAAGAAGTAAAGACAAAGTAAAATCGTACAAGTAATGGTTCCATCAATAAGCTAATTAAATTGAAGGGGGGTTATATCAGACAATTAACAATCTGAACCAAAAACTGAACATTAGTAAATAAGCTGAAATAATTGTTACTAACAAGCATGCACTAATTTAATATAGGCCTAGATACCTATTTTAAATTTTTAAAGAAGTTCTAATAATCATGTATCTGAGACTGAGGTAAAATAAAAATTGTATTTTGACCAGTCAATGGAGCCTATATATGTAAATAGTATAATTATTTTGTTTAATTGGATGGTGCTTATTTTTGTAGACATTTTTCTCTTTGAAGACAGAAAAACCTAAGTTCACAATGTGAATAACATTTTGTTTATTCAGGGAATTTTCTCTATGTAACGAAAGACAAATATTCTTGAGCACTATAAATAGGCAAAACGTATCTAATTTAGATTGTTTCATCCAACAGTTTTTTTTTATAACTTGTGAAAACATTAATCAAAAAGGTAAAATATCTAACAAAAATATCAAAAAAAGTTTTTAAAATGATACATGCCGTTGTGAAAAATTAAGAAATAATGTTCCGAGACAGCTTACTTCAAGGACTAGTGTCATTAAATACATTATAATAATGGAACCATTGCTTTACCTTATCCTTCACCTGCATTTCCACAGCAGAACTTGGCAAATCATCTAGAATCTTCAACTGATCCTCGTCCAGCTTGACTTTTACCTCTTCTTTTTTGCTCCCTACAAAAAGATAATACGTTCGTGGACAAGTATTGCTAATAGTAAGTTTTTAAATGACTATTAGTTTGATTGATTGCATTATTTTATCACTAAGGTCCATGCGGACAAAATTAATTGAAGCACTTTTATGTCCAACAGTTCACATTTTTCACATGTTCAGTTTTACAACATATTTCATCTATAGGTACTGATGTTGTACGAATGCAAGCAATCATTTTTGTAAATTTAATTTTGATTTTAAACAAGATTAATTAATGGTATCAGCAATCTGACACATACTTTCTCCCATTAGCTTGTCTGAAACTTTATCACTGGTAAGCAGTGGGAGTAACTATGAAATTTTATGCAAAAAAGTTGCAGTAATTTTTTATTAACTGTAATTTTTACAGCAATTGGGGTTGTTCACTTTGGTTTATAGAGTTGAAAGGACTACAACATACTACGTTTTAATCAAAATAGTTCAAACCGTTTTTGTAAAAACATAATTTTCGGTTATTTTATGAAAAGCCAAATAAATTGCAATCACTTTTGAAAGTAATTTTTACATCAATGGGGGTTGTACCGTTTTGTTAAGAGTGAAAAGGGCTGTAGCACAACATACAAAATTTTAATCAAATCATTCAAGACGTTTTATTTTAAAATAATAAAAAGCCCTGGAGATACCATGTTTTAGGGCCTACGCCAACTTTCATCAAAATCGTACCGCAGGTGCGGTCTTTAGGTCTGGTACACATCCACACATAAAGTCATTCACTGACATCACTTCAAACCACTTTTGTGGGTTCAGGAGAACCACGGATATATTCACCCAAAAGGCGTCATCCTGTAATCCAGCTACTAGGAGGTCACGAATTGTGGATATTTATAGGGATGCACTGTGGATGCGATGCTCCCTGGTATGGAATAATGTCCGCACTAGTGAGTACTACGACTATCCGCAGTACTATCCTTATAATTAGACCAATTCGTAAATTACAAGGAAAAAATGTGGTTCGGATTCCACTATAAACTGTAGGTCCCTTAGTTGCCATTAGCTGTATGGGCTATTAATTAACAGCTGTGTCTAAGGAACATGTCGGCCTTAGTCACTAACAAGACTACAAGTTCGCGCCACTCATCCTTCACTCATATTTGGGTTCAAATACGCACATAGTGGCGTCCCCATCTTAAATAATTGATAATTGATACTTCCTCATTAGGTTAGTTATATGTTAAATATATCTAGTAGGGAAAGGAAGTAAAATGAATTGAACAATGGATGGGTTAACACAATACTACAAAGTACATTTTCATCCTCATGGCTCAGCTGTTTTTAAAGGTTAAGCAAAGTACATTTTGAATTTGTAATGCAAATTCAACCACAAAACAGCTTGCTCGGCAACTCTGATTTGTTTATACTAATAATAACAATTATAAATTACTCACCTTTTAATTTAGACTTTGATGATTTCTTGGCTGGTTTCGGGGCATATCTTAAGTGTCGGTTCTTTGCAGGAGATGATCCAAACAAAGAATCAAATTTATTGCCTGGAGTTGGTTTTGATTTATTTGTCATGGGTTTTGAAGAACTCCTTGGAGGGGAGATCACAGGTGGTTCAAAGAGATCATCTCCCTCACTCGACCCTGGTGAATATGGAGAGCTCGGATCAATATCCATATCCTCAAAAGTATCCCCATTTTGTTGTGATCTGTTGGACATCCTACTATTATTAAGACCTGGGGCAGGAGGCCCAGGGAGTAAGGTTCCAAGAATAGGCACCTGTTTGACAACATTTGTAAACAACTGATGTTTTGAATTAGATTTTGGAGTACTTTGTTTATTAGGTGTGATAGCCTTGAGAGGCAGAACAGGTTGTTTTGGCGTCTGATTTTGATTTTTTGTTTGCTGACTAATAACAACAGTGATGAGTTTTTCAGGGGATTTATGAACTGTTACGTTAAGTTTGTTTGCATCTGCTAAAAGTTTCTTGATCGGTTGCATTAGCGAATCCTCAGGTAGTTTAGAATCTGTTGAGCTGACAGGAGGTGAGACTTTGGGTGATTGTTCAGTGTTCATTTCATGTTTAGGAGTAGAATGTACTTTGGGGGGTTCAGGTGTCTTTTTAGTCTCTTCTGTTTCGTTTGGTGGTGTTGATGTCCTCGGTTCATTGAGTGACGGATGATCATCGTCTGTACTTTGAACATTTTCTAGTTTATCCTCTCTCGCTGTGTTCATCTGTAAGCCTGTATCGCTGCGAGGTTGTGGACTTGGAGACCTAGACTTCGTTGGGTCAAATGGATCATAAGGAGTCGTAGGAGGTGACGCAGGAGTTGTCATCTCTGGTGGCGGCTCTGGAGGCGTATTTGGTCCTTTATGCATGATTTCATTCATTTCATTTTCAGCATTATCTTCATGCATTTCTTCCTCAGTTTCCATCAAAGGATTATTTAATATTCTTATTTGTGACTGTTTTGTGCTAATAGAAAACTTGATGTGGGGTTCAGGAGGCGTTTTAGGGCCAGAGCTATTATGCATGAAACTAGAAACTGGAGATTCTGGTTGAGAAGCAGCATTTTTCTGTCCATGATCTGATGAAAGCGAGTGCATACTTTGATTCATTCCACTATGACCCAGGCGATTGATTTCATCTTGCATCTCAGAGTGGTGTTGTTTACTTCCCTCATCACCGCTGTCACTCAAAACAATTACTTCTTTTGGTGAAGGTGTCTGAGCTCTAAAAGGAGATACGTCAAGATCTATTATTGCTACAGGTTTAGCATTTTTGGCTGCTTCATTTATTTTAGCCAAGCGATTACTTTTCTTGCCAGGAGTTTTCTTCGAAGAACTGTTTGACTTTTTCTTTTTAGCAGAACTATCATTTAAATCATCTCGTTTTCGTTTAGAACTTTCTCTCAACAAAGGAGTTGTAGCAGGAATTATTTCAGGGTTTTTATTAGCATTTTTGAAGTTGACACTAACTAGAATATTATCTCCAGACGTAAATACTTCTTTTGATGGAGCGGGAGACTGCCCACGCTTTTTCTTCCTCCTGTCATCTTTCTTTTTGGATGTCTTCTTCTTTTCTTTCTTTTTTAGTGCTTCCTTGTTGGGAACTATCACAGTCAAATTTTTTGGAGGGTCTTTAGTTCTAACTCCTCTCAGAGAGGGTACTCTTTCTCTAGACCATGATCTTGATCTTGAACGTGAAATACTTTTAGATCTTCGTCTACGTCTGGGAGAACGAGATTTAGACATGGAAGACCTTGACCAAGAGGGGCTCCAGGATTTGCTATAAGAACGTTGCTTTTTTGAATGGTGAGAATGATGTGATCTTGACCTTGTTTTCCTTCTTCCCCTACTTACACTTCTATGTGCAGTCCTTACTCTATCTGTTTTATTATCTAATGATCTTCTTCTGTCACGAGAATGACTTGAAACCCTATTCTTTGATCTACTTCTTTTTCTTGATCTCTCTCTTGATCTGGATCTTTTGGACCTATCACGTGACCTAACTCTTCCTCGAGATCTACTACGCCTCCTTCTACCCCTTGATCGACTGCGGGATCTCCATGATTTACTTCTTGTACGGCTTCGATTTCTGGTCCTCAAGGGAGATCGATAGCGAGGAGGCCTATAAGGTGAAAGAGAAGATGACGATGGGGAAATATCTCTGCCAAACTCATCTTTCTTAGGTTGTTTGGGCTTTTCACTTATTAGACGTCTAACATCATACCTCTCTAACTCTTTTCTTTTTTCTCTACTTTTCTTTTTTGAACTTTCTTCTTTTTTTTCACGATCTCTGTCCTTATCCTTTTCTCGCTCTTTATCATCTTTTTCCTTACCATCTCTGTAATTTCTTTCTTTAGTACTTTTAGAAAGTTTTTTCCAAGAAATATTTTCATCAGGCTCTCCTGGCTTCAGTGTTTTTTCCTTGGGTTCTTTATCTTTCTTATCTGTCTTTTCTTTGTTTGAGGAGTTTTTATCCTTTTTCTTCTTTGACTTTTTATCAAAAGAATCTTTATCTTTCTCTACAACTGGTTGTTTTGGTTTCTTTAATTCAACGTTCTCATCTACTTCAATTTCTACTTCTGGTTTTGGCTTAGATTTTTTCTCTTTTTTAGGCTTGTCTTCAATTATTTCTCCTTCTTCAAATTCTAATGGTTCATTGCTCCCTTTGTTGGAGATTTCTTCATTTTGACTTATTTTCCTAGATTTTCTCCTTTTCTTTTTCCTAAAAGAATTTAGCTCATCCTCATTTGCAATCTCTTCATGTTGCTCGTTTTCTAGAGGCAGCTCATCAAAGTTGACATCTTCAGATTCTGATATTGTTTCTGTTTCCAAGCCTTCCAAGCCTGGAAGAGTTGATGTCTGAATGTTATCAGAATCGTTAAATGATGCAGCAGAAACTGCTGAAGTAGCTCCCCCCACAAGACTATTTTCATCATCTGAGTCTAATGATTTGGCTAGTTTCTTTTCATTTTGTATTGATTCACGGATTTCTTCATTTATTTTTTCCAACTCAATGTTATCTTGCCCATCATAAACACTCATTTCCTCATCAGTTATATCCACTAAACCATCAGACTTATCTCCCCCATCTATAATTTTGTCATCATTTTCTTCCAGCCTCACAGGACTTTTAACCAATGTAATTTCATTGTGCTCTTCACTGTCATCATGAGGCAGGTTATTTTCCAAATTAGCCTCAGATTCAATAGCCAAATCTAAGATATCACCTTGAGTGCTGCATTCGTCTTCGCCAGCCTCTGCGTCTTTATTTTTGACAGATTTGGTTCTTATTATTTTTCCGTTAGACTCATGCACACTTTCACAGTCACTCTTATCATCATCCTCATCTCTATTTTCTTTATCCTTTTGGATACTGTCTCCCATGGGTACATCCCTACCATCATCTTCTTCTTCCTCCTCACCTTCATCATCTTCATCAGCACTCATTTCTCCAGTATGGCGTTTGGTTCTTTTATTATCATCTCCACGCTCAGAACCTTGGTCAGAATCTCTTGTCTCTTCTTGACGTGGACTTTCATCTATAGATTTTCTGTCTGGTGATGGAGAGGTTTTCTTTACTACATTTCCACCTTTATTTGGAGAGGTTGGAATACTTTCACAATTTTCTTTATCACTTTGAACAGGCAAGCTATCATCAGGCAGGGGTATATCCATACTGTCTTCTTGGGTATTACCCTTTTCAATTGGAGGAGGGATGGGGATATCCAAATCAATGCCACGGTGGGCAAGTTTCATACTAGTTGCAGAATATAATGAGAAGTTTGGACATTCATCATCATCTTCTGCATCGGTAGAGTTGTGAGAAGCAGGCCGTGGCAGGGGTCCAATGATTGGTGTACTTGAATAAGTAGGCAACTCTGGATTGTAAGACGCTGAGCCTTGGGTTGGACAAGAATCTGAAGAGTAGTTGGCTACCAATTCTGGATTTCTCAATGACGATGGTATATCTGAAACCAAATATTTTTAAAAGATAACCAGAAAAGAATATTGTCTAATGTCTGAAATTACAAAAATGACACATATTATGCCAGTGAAAAAAATATTCAATCAGTTTTTTCTTTATTATTCTTTGTCCGAAGATGTTATAGCTTATTGCCTGCCTTGGTCTTTCTGATTAATTGATAACTACAACATATGTTCTTTATTTATGATTTGTAAATATTTTCTTTGTCAAATACATACCAAGTCTACTAATTAATAATTGTCCTTTTTTAAGTCTTGTCTGTGCTGATATGTTTAACATTGTTTTATCTACAAACAATAGATGATATAAAATCTAAAATAAAAATAATTCCAAAATTTTATAATGTTAGTTGTTAAGTCTAGTTTAGAAAATGTATTGAAACGTTAAGTCTTAGATAAAGGGAATTTTAAATTATGTTTATGCTACAAAAAACAATTTATAAGTATCATTATGCAGTAGCAGTAGGATAACGGATCAATAACTAAGAAAAAAATTGCTAAGCAAAGATCCAGATTAATTAGTAAAAGTATGTCCTATTTACACATCCTATTTATACATTGATGTATAATCTGTCAACATTGTGACTCAACAGGTTTGGTGATGCTGGTTTTGAGCTCAATTAAAGAGAGTTTTAATTTTCGTAAAAGGTTTTAACAGAAGGTTTTAGGCCTATACAATCTGCATAGACCTATCATCAGGCGGTACAAAGAAGATTTTCTCTCTTCATATGAAGATCATCAAATTTAAAACAAGTAAATACAAGTAAATACAACAAAACACATGAAGACGACAAATTTACAGTAGGCCTAACTGATTTGTTAAGATAACTGTACTGCCTGATGATGGCTCCATGTAGGAGCTGAAACTAAGTTGTGTCGGCAATTTAATAATGTATTGCCTAACTGCAGGTATTTAAACCTTTTCTTTAATATTATTTGTCAATCTGGAGTCTAACATCTACAATTTAATTGTCACTTTTGGTTTCACTTAGGGACCTTTGACTCTTTTTACAAAAGATACATTTCTATGAATGACTGAAAATTATACCTTTTAAGGATTATACTAACCAGGAGGTTTAGCTAAGGGTGCCCCTTCATTTGAAGACTCATCAGAATTGACAGCACAAGGATCGTAGACATCGCCAGGGGGAGGGTCGTCAATGACGAGACCGCTAGGCTCGTCATCACTGCCGTCATCATTGAGATTCATCAGCATGGCTGGAGGCTCAGGCGGAGGCTCCATGGTCATGAGGAAGGGCGGCTCGGGGGGTGGCTCAAGAATCCCAAACGTTCTCTCTTCAGTGTTACTTTCCTGCTCTATGTCACTGTAAATATCAACATCTTCTTCTTCCCGCTCTGGTGACGCTTCAGGGGAGTTGTTTGTCGGAAACGAGACTTCATTCATGGGGGATCTCAACCTTAGAGGAGGTGGAGGTGGGATATTTTCTGAAGGATATGAATGTATGTTTGGTCTTCTAGGAGGAATATTCATACGAAACCTTATTGGAGGTGCTCCACGAAGTGACGATGATCCACCTCCTGTTGGGCCTTCTGATCTTGAGTAACCGGCACTTGCTGGTGCAGATGATTGATAACTACTGTCCTCTGATCTTTCTGAATGACCTTGATTCCCACTTTGACCTCCCCCTCTACTAGAGTTCTCTGGCATGAACGAGCCAGAGTTGGTTCTTGTAGGGAACATTGGTGATTCCTTGACTGGTGCTGTTGCCTTTTTAACATCTACCTTATTTTCTTCCTTTAATGCTCCACCTTTTGGGACAACCTTGAGTGTGCCGTCAGAATTACTTTTTATCTCTGTTTGTTTAGAATGCCAAAGAGCTTGACTATCAAGAATACTGTCTAACAGACTTGGTCCAGCTGGTGATGATAGACTATCTATCTTGACAGATTTCTTTGGGGACTTAGAAGTTAAAATCGAGGCAGCTTTCTTACGATGAAGAAGTCGATCAATAGGACGTGCTACTCTAGTTCTAGATAAAACACCGACACCTCCTTCCATTGACCCAATGTCATCTTCCCCTTCAGACACAGAGAAATAGTCAAGTTGATCTCTCCGTCCAAACAGATCTAAAGTAGGGATTCCAGCCTGATACCTCTGGTAGTTTATGGGAGTTGATGATATTTCTTGCTTGTTCACTGTTTCAGGGATTGTCTGTTTAGTGATCTTTGGTTTACACATTCCCAACCTAGCTGCTAAACGGCCTTTTGCTGTTTTCAGAGACAAAACCGTCTTTTTGCTGCGTTTCTTCTGAAACAAAAAAAAGTTAGTGATTCCGGTCCAAATCTAATCATGGTAGCTATATAACTTTTAAGTGTGCACATTAGAATAAACCAAGTTTAAAATGTTAAGCTGAAAGCATTTGGCCTTAAAATGATATTGGGTTGTGCAAATGAGGGTCCTGCTGTGTTCATCTGATTATTCTATTAAGGTACCTTGTTTAATTTGAGTTGTGTTTCCATAGTACCGTAAGTTATTTTTAGGATTGAGATTGGATTTTTAGTTCGAGACGAGACGAGACGAGATTTTTTATTTCTCATAAAATTTCGAGACGAGATTTCTCTTCTCATACACAACGGGAAATGCACGTTCGAAATTTTTACCTGATTTTGTAACATTGTTAGATGACTGTTTAAATACTAAAATAATGATAATAGGCAAGAATATTTACAATCTTTCATTAAATAACATCAGCATAACATTTTTTTATTAATCACGCCTAACTTATTAAAAATGCCTACGATTAGGAAACATGGTGATATCAGTTAGGATAGAGTTCAACTTATCCTAAAATAAAATAAATCATAAAATAAAAGCAATATTAATTTTTATAAAATAGTTACTTGTTTTGACTTTTTTTATAGTAATAAAACATTCCTCACACTGCTTACACTTAACAAAACTTCTCAAATGTTATTAAAGTAATATTATTAAAATAATGAAAGTAATATTTAGGCTACATTAAAAGAATTAAAGTAATATTTACATTAAAAGAATTAATTAAATAAGAACGCCTTCAAAAAGGAAACGCAACTACAACACGCTCCTGTATTGCGGGTATTGCATTGACTTTCTGCAGGCGTTTTTAATTTTTTTTTTTTTTTTTATTCTCGTCTCGATAAAAATCTCGGCCAAAAAGTAATCTCGTCTCGTGTAACGAGATTGAAAATTCCCCGAAAATTTCCCGAAATTTCGAGACTTGACCATCCCTAAATGTAAATTATGAATTAATATACTTTATTAGTACAAAATCTCTGGAATATATTGCATTGACCGGAAAATTGATAAAAGAATAGTATTTGTAAAATAAAATTGCATATCATGATCATTCAAACATGTTAAAATCTAAATTTATAATGGACGGGAATTAATGGGTAAAACCGATTGTTTACGTTTACGGCCAAAATAGTGATTAAAACTAAAATAATGAAAGAATTTAAAAAAATCACAAATCAATTTAATAATGGCAATATATAATTTTTCCAAAATCAGAATGATTATCAATTATTTTGCTACAAAACAAAAAAAAATAGAACATTGAGAGAAAGCTACATGTGAACAGTCTTTTTTGAAAAAAAAAACATGATTTTCTAAGCCAATAGGCTTATGAGTTAACAATCGGGTGGGTATAATTGAACAAATTCGGTAAATTATTACGTTTTTAACAAAATGTAGAAGTATAATTTAGCCATTTTGGATCCTAGCTAAGCTAGCTAACATACACATCACATATTCCTTTTTCGTAAACAGTCAAAGGGAGTGGTTGTGCAACACAGTCATTTTAATAAATTATTTTCTAAAAATCCTAAAATAATGTAATTAATGTAATAACTACTTAGTAAAATTTATGTATATTTAATAACCAAGAATAAAAAATCAAGATAAGCTGCAAGTAGCCTATATTTGATACTTGAAAGAAACATGCTTGTTAATGAATGTAGAAAAATTATTAAGTGAGAAGACATATTTCAAATTTAACTTGATAAACACTTTTTGATCAACAATTTAAAGAGCAATTTGTTGATAAAATACTCCCAATAACTTATTTGTTTCCTTTTTCTACCTAGATTTTATTTTAAGTCAAGTGTAGGTTTAACCTCAAATTGTTTCCATCAAAAATTTATTAAGAGTATTATAGCCTAAGCTAGGCTATATCATTGTACTTAATGAAAGGTGACAAAGTATGGGTTTTCATTTGTTTGCACTATTTAAAGTTGTATTGACAATGCAAAACTTAAAAGGCACCAAAATCATCAAAACAAAACCCTTAGGATGATCTCAATAGTATTCATTGGTGTTGGTCAAAATTCAACATATAGCTCCAGCTGTGGAAGTTTGACATACCTTTCTACCTCGTCTTTTCTTGCCCTTCTTTTTGCACTTAAGAATAACTTCTATGACTCCGTCATCAGTGACGATTCTCTTGATTCTGACTCCGGTGCGGCGAGTCTGAGTGTTAGTCCTGCGTCTCGGCCTTGTTGTAGCTCTTGCTCTGATTCTTCCTCCAGACTCCACCCCTGATGAGGTTGTTGGCTGAAACAAAATCAATGATAAGCCACATACCTTGTTAAACACTTTTAACTAAAATAATGACTAACCAAATCCGCCTCGAAAAAAATTTAAATTGTTATGCATTTTAGTCAATGGAACCTTTCCAATAACCTTTTTAACAAAAGATTTTGGATATCTTATACAACTTTCCCCTTCAATTAGGTTAAGAGAAATTATATTGTACAAAGAATCTTGCAGAAAATACTTATGTTTTGGACAGCAGTAAGGCACATTTTACATCTAGCTCAACTATCTCTAGGGAGGTGTTGAAGATAAGTAGTAGGGGTGGGCGAGTACTCGACCTTCGAGTAATTACTCGAGTTTTTTCAAATACTCGACCTCGAGTCGAGTAGTAATTACTACTCGAAAATTTCGAGTCGAGTAGTTATAAATAGTGCCAATTCACGATTTTCTACATCCATATTTAATAAATTATATTTTGTTTTGTGTTGATGCCTTATTTAATCCCCATTCCTACAAAAAACAACTATCTAACCTCATATAGGTTAGACCAGCGTAAACCAAATGTTCAACAAACACCCATCGTCATTTGGCAGAGCTAGCAAGAGGACTGAGGACTACTAGCCTACTACTAACAAACAACAGACTTTCACTTTCCTACAACAGTCAACAATACGTCTCGATAACGATACAGTAAGTTGAAATAAAGCATTGAATGAATCTATCGAATTGCAATAGTCGATAGTCAACAAGGGAGTCTCGTGACTAGTAGGCCTAACAATGGCAGACGATTCTTGAAGATATTATAAAGTACAGTATCAGATTTATTTTGAACTGCCATAAAAATATTTTATACCAAAATATAGAAATAACAAAATATTTTATACCAAAATATAGAAATACAACAAATAAAAATAACCTATTGTAGCATAATATTTTTTCAAATTAATCGGTATTGGTGTTTAGTTTTACAAACCGATAAGTTACTGCAAGGAACATCGATGCAACTGAATGACGCAATCTCATTGGGTCTAGGCAAATGGCAGAAAGAAAAGATCAGTTCCACTTTAAACATCAGTGTTGCCAGATGGACGATAATTTTTGTACTTTTACAACTGTGGTATTGGCGTAAACAAACTATAAGTATAATTTTCTAATGAGTTTACATAAACATGATTTAAATTAGTCAAACTATTAACTTTTTTTACAAAATAAAAGCTATAACAATTTTATGATAATTTTGCCGACATTCACCATAATGGTGTAATGATAAATATGGCAACGTCAGCCCTGCAAAACAGCTGTTTGATGGGAAAACAAAGCAGAAGCAGACAGCAGGAGCAGACCGACTAGAGAGAGAGAGAGAGAGATAAAGATGGTGACGCATAGCAACAACAAGAACAAAACAGAACAATGGATTGGAGTGAAGTTATGTCAACGTCAGTTTTGGTTTTGAATGTTTTTACTTTGAAGTGAATTTGTAACTTAAAATAAAATTGATTTTGTTAGTGGAAGTTTAATAGAAAGTAGAAAGTAAAATAAACATATTCTGTTTGTGATTTTGATTGTGCAATTTTCAATCTGGTGGCACAAACATGACAACTACAGTTTGAATTGTAACTTAACTTAGAAAATGTGAGTTTATAAAGAAAGGCCAAATAGGCTATACCAGGCTACAGTGAAATGTGTTTTAATTTTAAATTAAGTGTTTAATGTGGGATTTTATTTCGAGATAATAGGCCTACTATGTTTTTATTTGATATTTTCAGTCTGTCAGAGACGAGTGACTTGATAATTTTTATAAATGTACTGAGTGAAGAGGATAGCCCTAGTACCCATAACCTTCAAACTTCAGACAGATTAAGTGCTTATCCAAGTGATTACCTATTTTAAAATACCTCATTGATGTTTTTAACTTGTGATACAATATGTAGTTTTTATGAGTTTTCTGTTAAATAAATAAATTTATTTTTATAAATTCTGTTTCTTATTTGAATTGAAATTATTCTTAAAGTTAGGTACCTTATTAAGTTAGTTAGTTAGGTTGATTATCATGTTAGTGAGGAGGAATTAAAGGGAAGAAAAAATAAAACACACAATAACAAGTGACGTGTAGGCCTAAATAATTTAATGCTGCAGGCAACAAGTAGGCCTAGTCTAGGCCAAATTTTTTATCAGGCCTAAGGTAGGAGGTACTAATAATTAGTAACCATATAAGTTAACTTAGAAAATTTGGTATAAGTACTTAAACTACCTATTTAGGCCTAGGCAGGGTTTAGGCTAGGATAATATTTTTTTCAGCAAAATGCTGCAAACTCTCTGCAAAGACAAAAACTAAGTTAGGCCTAACTGTACAAAAAATATTATTCAATAACTTAAGCATTTAAAACAAAAAAATCCAGTAGGCTAATATTACATTTGTTTGAACATTACATCTTTCAATTTTATTTGTAGAAAATTTTCCATAGGCCTAGCCTGCAAAACAATGTTTAAACTTAGCATTTTTAAGTTGTGAATAGCAAGATGCTAAAAATACTACCGCAGCATAAACCCTGGGCCTAGGCCTACTTAACGCGCAACTACTCGACTCGACTCGATACTCGAGTTTTTACTCAAATACTCGACTCGACTCGAATTGAAAAATCACTACTCGCCCACCCCTAAAAGTAGTGATAAATAAAGTGACTATTCTACACTGTTCATGATTTTATAGATAATTAAAAAATAAGGTGATATCAGTGTAGTTTGGAACATAACTTTTAAAACAAACTGGACATACTGCTTCCACTTACCGCAGGTGCATCCACTTGCTGGTTGTTGCGACGGACATTTCTCCTGACTCTCTCGGATTGTCTAGTCCGAGGTATCAGTCTGAAGTGAGACAAAGGCACCAAGTCATCATCTCCGTCCTCCTCCTCCTGCTCTGGTCCTGGCTCATCCCTCTGGTGTCTACGAGACCCACCCTCGGACCTTCCCTGCGATACCACACACAATTTTAACTTTATGTCTTGGAATTTGTTAAATTATTACATACTTAAAAAAACATGTTCTTTGGTCAAGTCAACTGTTCTGTAGGCCTATGTTAAAATTTAAAAAAATCAACAAAGTAGTCTTTAATTATTAAAATATTAACAACACACATAACAAATTTTCTGTCGTAGCTCCAACTTCTCCTAGTGGTGAATGATTTTGCATCTTTCAAACCATAATGATATCCTTCTAGCAGTGTGTGAGTGCACTTAGTATGTCAAACACTCAGGTCCTTATCAAAGTAATGTTGAATTTTCACCAAGAGTTTAAAAAAATACAGTAGAGGACAGTGACTAAGGTTTATGTGATTTAAAAGAATCCTACATCTTAAACTACCTAATCTTAAAAACTGTTGGTACTTAAAGTGTTAAATTTGTTTGTAAAACACCAAAAATTATACTAGCATAACTGTCTCATGTTTACTCACAGACCATTCCCGTTTAACTGATACAGTAATTATATTAAATTTAAGTCTAGTATTAATTAATGTAATGTAAGCATTTTTTTTCTTTTTTTCTATTCTTTGTATGTGAAACGCATGACAACATCGCAATTGGATTTTTTTTTAGGTCATGAAGAAGAAAAAGATTTTATCTTGAAAGGAACCAAAACCTGAGTCATTCACTACGAGGAGAAGCCAGAGCTGTAACAGAATATTTGGTGTGCACTTTGTATAACAAACTGTTTCAATGGCCTTCCACAATAAATATTTAAACATTAACATTGAACACGCAACACTCACCCGCCTATACTGAGGAGCACACTCCGGACAGTACCACTCTTCTATAGGGACATACTCCAGGGGCGGGTAGAGACATTCCATGTGATATCCATTATCACAACCATCGCAAAGCAACAGCGTCTCCTCACGGTCGGCCATGTAACATACCTGCAAGTCACACAAACAATTACTTAATGTCATTTAGCTATAAACCGAGCGACTGTAGGTAAAGTCGGTATTGGTACCTGATCAAAATCTCACAACAATACTGTTATCAACTATATCTAATTAGAAAGTATCCATTCTCTAAAAAAAGTTGGGAATGTTTTATTTTGGAATTTAAGTGTGTATTTGTAATTGCATTTTAAGAATTGAAAACAAGTCAATCCAAAGTTCAAAATTATAAATGGGACATTTTCAACAAAGACTAATTCTACAGTCAAGATATGTCAGTAGTGTTTGCTCAATAAGCAACGAATGAGGAAATTTGTGACTTGTGACAATAAATTAATTGTTTACAAGAATTGTATTTTTTAATTGTAAAATGTAAATTTGTTACCATCTTAAGGGTCAGAACAACTAACTGCAATTGACAGAATGTGCTATCAATAGACAAATGCTCTATTACAACCAAAGTACTTGTGTAGTGACATTTAAACGTTGGTTGTCAGTGCCAACATATTACTAGTAGGTAATTTAAAACCAATAATTGTATCAACATTCCCTCAGTATCTAGGCTATAATCTTTTTTAACTGACCATAAACTTATATCCACGTACTAACAATTTACATTTAGGTATAATCACTACAGTAAGATACTTAACTTGTAAGTTTTAAGAAATAGTCTTCCAACATACCTCGCATACTGTAGAGTCTTCTTCTGCAGGTTCTTGTAGGCCTAAGTTACTTGTCCGTTCACCTACTGACACTTGCCTGATGACTTTACCATCAAGGTGTTCTCTGACCAGGATCAACCTGTACGGCTGTCGATCTACTGGACAAGTATTGACATTCTGCAACATTAAAGTTAATCAGTTATTAGACTTCATTTGTAGCTTTACAACAGGACTAGTTATAGTACACTGTATACTGTATTGTTGTCCAACCAACAAGTTTGAAATGACGGATCGCCTGGAAAAGCAACAAATTCAAACTAAGACATTTTAAAATACATTTAACTTTTGTGTATCTCATTTATTTAGTATAATACTACGTTTATGCAACATAATATTTTTCAAAAAATAATATTCCATCAAGGTTATAATGGCTGACTAGACTGGTTGCCAGTCCCAGTCTCAACGTCTGCAAGTAGTGCTATACGTACTGATTACCTAACTATTGAGGCTACCAGAGTTGTAATTTATACAGATTTAGGGTTTTGTGGATGACGGATTTAAAGAGAAATCCTGACTTTTGGGACTTTAATAAAAGGTCACATTCTCATTAAAAAATATTTGGACTACTACTTTACTGATCTAAACTCAGTACCACACAGTCTATTCCTTTATAAGTTAACTTGAACCCGATTACTGATAATGGACAACAGAAAATGTTTCAATTCTACAATTCTTTAAGTAGGTACAACAATTTACCTTGGACCATTCCTCTATACAGGGAGCACAGAAGAAGTGGTCACATGTCTCTGGCGTCCCCACCTCTTGTGATACAAACTTGATGAGACAGATGGGACATCTCTCTGACTGACCATCAGAGTCTGATGACGAGCCTGAGCCAGTAGCCTCCTAAAACAGCCACAATGTACACACTACAAGAAAATTCTCAACAGAGAAACCATTTGTATAAATATATCTCAAAAAATATATCAAACAGCTTTACCTTTTTCCTGAAGTCAAAACAAACAATAAAATATTATTTTATTGATAAATGTGAGTTGAGATTTTCTGATAAGATAATAATCAAAAATAATGTTTCTGTTATGACCTTGTAAGGTCTTTTATTTACTTCATTTTAAGTAAATAATGCACTTTTTCTAGCCCTTTGTGTCATTAAGTGTGAAAGTCAATACTTGAGTAGAAACTTTGAATTAGTTTATGCATTACTTATTGTACACCGGACTTTGAAAAGGTACTGTGTACAATAAGTAATACAAGTCAAAATCATATATATTCTAGACATTATACCTTTCTATAATACCTAGATTTACAAATCTATATATTTAATAGGCGAACACAAATTCTGTAATCATTGTTTTGAAGCAGCTATGCATCCAATCTTTAAGTTTAAGGTGTCGTTGGATAGGTCGTGGCACATAGATTTGCCATCAAAGAAAAAATTTTTGAAATTCCATCAAGGCTCTGCCCCAGTGGCCTTCAAAGTTCCCATGTTCTTAGGGAGAAAATGTTTGTTTACATTTGAACAGATGGATACTTTGAAATGTATACTATTTGAACCAGCTGGTTATACTAAAATTGAAATTAATGGAAACATGAGCTAAAAGAATGTTCTGTATTAGATTAATTGTTGAAAAGATAAAAATGATGCTAGGAAGATAAGAATGAAAAGGGAACTTTTGAGTATGCAAAGAAGAATGTTGTTGAAAGTAGGGAAAACGTACAACACAGTATCGCATGATACGATTAGGGTTTTGACCGGAGCCATACCACTCAACCTGCTCATTGAAGAAAGGGTTAGGATTTTGGAAGACAATTCAGCGGGTAGGACTACGTTGGAAAGCAAGAGTGCCAGAAGAGAGGAGACATTAAATGAGTGGCAAATGTGCTGGGAGCAGATGAAAAAGAAAGGAAAATGCTGTTAAGGTTTTGGACACATAGTATGTCTGGACGAGGATTAAAACTGGCCAAAGCCTAAGAAAAAAGATTTTTCATGGGGAATTGGCCTGGAAAATAAGTCTCAGACTTAAGCCAGAGGTAGTGGTGGGAACGAGGGGCTTTGGTTTATCACTTAGGTTATCAATGATTAATCATAAGATAATCTTTTATTGACTTACAAAAAAAAAGCCTGAAAAACGCCACGCAGACTTCGAACTCAATTAGGCCTTTTACCATCTCCTTCTTTAACAACAAAACCAAAAAACCAGAAACGCCAAATAAAAAAGATCAATACAAATCCTTCTCCTTCTATATCTAGATTGTGCACGATTACGTGCACCAGGTTTACTAGTTATCATTAAATAATACAATTAGATACTAAGTAGACATTCAACCTATATGGAACAGCTGTCTCCAATTTTGTGTTAAAAGAACATAGTTATGTGAGCCAGTCACAGAAAGCACTAGGGTCTAAAATTCTGTATTCTACCTTATTTATTGTTTCTGATCAAATTGATGGGTCATAAACAACCATTGAACCATTGATGGGGCTATATAGCTCACCATAAGTCATTCCATTAGTTTGACTTTGTTAAAAAGTCTTGTGTATTCAACAAAAATTAGTGATTTAGATCAGCGCAATCTGTTGGAGGCTCACATCAACTACGACAATTTTAATTTTAAACAACAAATTTAACATGGGAATGGAATGTCTAGTTTTATTAATAGTCAAAGGTAATACCAACCATTTTATTCTTAAATGACGGTCCATGTGTTTTGCTTTCTCCATTCGACATGTTGCCGTCTGATTCACTTCCGGCATCTGTAAAATATCAATGCTTTAAATTTAAACAGTTCATAACCATTAATTTTGGACCATGACATCCCATCTATAAAAGTGACAAGCTGTAGCTGTAGCAAGTTTTTATATTCAATTTAACCTAGTATAGTGAACCATTTACAAGGTGTGCTGCTGTAAAATTATTTTTTCTGTCTTAGTTTTTATAGGTTAGATGAGAGTAGGGATCTTAATCCCGGGGCTGTAATCCAATTCAGGGATTTTGGGATTTATCTATGTCAATTCCAGCATTATATTATTTTATGATTTTAACTTTTTAGCCATTTCAAATTATGTTTTAAACTGGCCTTTAACACTGTTTTAAAATATTACACTGTGTAATTTCTAAGTAAACAAAAGAAAACACAAGCAACTGCACTCGCATGCACACGTCACACCTCACTCACATGCACACGTCACACCTCACTCACACTAAACTTGCTAAGTTGCAGAGCTGGACAATTTGACTAGTACTAGGAAAACTAATAGGCTAATATGGAGACTAAATAAATTATCAAATTTAATTTGGTTCAGAACTTGATCTCCAAAACCCATTTTCTGTAGTTCTGGACTAAATCTTGCATTTAGTTTTAGAGTCTTTGGAGCCTAGACGTTCTAACTCGTAAAACAGTTAAAAAACTACAAAGAAAATGTTTAATCTCACTAAATTTCAACCACTCTGGTGTTTGAGAAAATATTTTGAGATGGTAAATAACTCTTCACCGGCTTTTTGAAATTAACATTTCTCTTATGGCGGGTAAATCCAAGATGGCAGTTAAGTTCCATAGACTCCCTTGGAGAACAATTCAAAACTACAAAGATCATTTCTAATCTCACAGTATACTAGATATTTAAATTATAATCACTTTTGTGTTTGTACAAATATTTTTGGACGATAAATAACTATTCAGCAGCTGTTTGAAATGATAATAATTAATTACTCTGAAACCAGCTCTTCAACAAAAATATTGCTGCTCAGTTCAATAAACGTAAATATTATAAGGATAAAAATATAACATGGGATGAATCGAGAGTTGTAGTAGTAGTATGGATTTTATGTTGACTGTAATAAAATAATACAAATAACAAATCACCTGCTCATGTAGGAGCCGGTATGTACAAGACACGTAGGCCCGGTTTCCCCAAAATGGTGTAAGCTACTTTTATAATAAACTAGTTTATTTTTAAATTTTTAAATGTTTAAAATAAACAAACGGCAATTCGAGCGGTTGGCAATCCTGAATGTGTATTTGTAAGGAATATTTGGTGGGCTTTGGACTAGTGTTTCCTTTAACCACCACAACGCTACGCTACAACTAAGTAGTGCAGACAGCAAAATGCGAATGCAGCTAGAATAACATCACTGTTTAAGGTTATGTTATCAAGTTATTATAAGTTGTTATCAAATTCAGATTCATTCCATTTATTGAAATGGTAAATTCTGTCTCTTATTTTAGCAGGCCCTCTTGTTCTAGGTACTAAAGTGTCATAATCTTCATCTTCTACTTCTTCAAAAATGTCTATTAACCCTTCCATTAATAGTCCTGCAGCTGGCTATACTTTAGTGTGCAAACTTGCGTATACTGAATATTCTTACATAACGTTTTAGTTTGATGTCTAGGGAGTTTAAAAAACCTGGGTGTTTACCTCCTACCCCCCACGTTTTCCGGCTACGACGTAATCAAAATGGCGGCCATTGATTTTTAAAAAACGTATATTTCGCAAACTATTTGTCGGATTGGAATGAACTTTTTTTTATTTGAAAGATAAGTTTAAATGCTATCTGTTTTATATTTACACATTTGTTGTATGTTTAGTACATTTTTCGTAATTTTGCAAAAACCTGTATTTTTAAATATTTTTAGTTATTTTTGTTTGTAACGTTTTATTGATACAAAATATCAAAAACCACCAATGACAAGGGTCTTAGACACCACTCAATAAAAACTAATGAAAAAACAAACTTGATAAAAAATAAGAAATTATCTTTGTAAAAGAGGTCAGTAGGGAATCATTGACAAAAAAGAGTAGGTCTAGAAAATAATAGTCAATTACGGAGTGGGTAGGTGGGCCAGTTCCACCCCAGACCAGGTTAGCGAGTTCCAGGGAAAAAAAGAATAATTGTCAAAGTATGATTGTTTAGAGTATGTGTATGTTCTTAATTTAATAAATAATTTTTGATATTGTGCGACTAGCGTGTTTTTATTTTTTAAGTAAATAATTCAATACTTATTACTTATTGACTTGTTTTAAATGTTTATGAATATTCTGTTTGTTTGTTATCCCAAAAAATAATGTCTGGGAAACGGAATAGATTGAATACTTTTAGTGGACTGATAAAAACATCAATCTAGCAATTCTAATATTAAGTGTATGCACAAGTTTGAGAAGGATTTTTTTAGTGCTTTATCAAAATTATAGACATTTATTTTTGAGTTAATATATTTTAATATGGTAGATCGAAAGAACATAATTATCCTATTTAGCGTTCTCTTCCCGTTGCAAAGGACGGGTATGGCGGCTAGTATGTATATATATATATTCCTACATTCCTGTAAGTTAAAAGTACTGTAAGTGTAAATATGTTTAAAGTGTTATTAGATGTAGTTTTTGACTTAACTTCGCTAAGTAAAATTCCTGAATTTGATAAACAAAACAAATAGGCTAAAAATATATTAATATATATTTTGTAATCCCCATTAATCTCTGGGTTAAAATATGCTAATTAGAATTGGCCTTTACACTCTAAATTTCTATCATTTCAACTTATAACTTACCGTCCCCAGCATTGCTAGTCCCTGATTCATAATCACTGAGAATGGGCTGAAACAGAAACAAAAGTGTAGCTTTAAATGCATTACCCATTATGCATGATCTATTAAAATCAGTTGTCATACAATCAGGAATTTAAAGTGTTCATTAGCCAGAGTGGGCATTTTTGCCCCCTTTTTGTTAACAAATCTAAATTTGTTCGCAAGATAGTTTGGAATTTTGAGTTTGATGGCCAAGTGATTTATATTAAAACTCATCACTTGGGTCAACGTTTCCCAATCTGTGGTACGCGTAGGCAAATGTGGTGGTACGCAGTAACATAAGATTAGGCCTAGAAATTTCATCATGGTTTGCACCGGTGTGCCACTATTAACAATTCATTGGCCACAGGCAACTGTGTCTAGTTATCAGTACATTGGAACGAGGATGAGATAATTTGTTAGACAGCTATACAGTTACTGGCTTAAAACAGGAGCAATCAATAATACTAGGCAGAAGAAAAAACTATTTCACAGTTTCCTAATCTTGAGAATTTTGTTGGCGAAATGAAATCCAACAGTGTCCTGAATTTCTGGCAGACATTAAAAACCATTGTCTCAGCTGAATCAACATCTACAACCTTTACTTTCCTGAGGACTTGAATGAAGATAGAAATGCCACCAGAAAACTTTACTGAACCAGAAAAAGAACAGTTGTTTGAACTTAACTGTGATTCGGAACTTCAGCAGCAATACGGGATGTTAACCACAGTGTCAGTCCAGTCTATAGATTTGTGGTATCATTAAACCAAGACTTTTGGGTTTGTCTTGGTATGGCAATACAATACCATTCACAGTTATGTTAGGTAAAATGTTTTGTTCAAGTCTCTTGATAGATGTGTTTGGCCAGTGATGATTGGATTTGTTTAATCAGTGTTTAATTTTTATTTTAGTCCATTATTTGCTGCCCACTCCATATGGATCTATTGATGTTGTCGTTCATTAATGTTCCATTCATTAATTGTTCCATTTGCCTCACTGACTTTGCTTGGCGAGTTGAAAAACTGAATTGATGTAATTTATGTAGTTAGAGTAGAGTCTTGATTATCTGACTTAAACTGGCCGCGGCAAAGTCGGATAAGGGAAAAGGTCAGATAACACGGAAAATAATAAATACAACATTCACTCTGACACTGTGAAAGGTTGACAATTGTGTCGTGATTACTGGGTATGTTCCAAGATGGCGCCGTGACCGAGGAAGGTCAGATATTCGAAGGTCGAGTAACCGACACTCTACTGTAGTAAAAAGTAAAGGGCCAAGAATTCATCCTTGAGAAACACCACAAGGTACCTGCCTCCAGTCACACATAGTTTTGTCATGACACACAAACACTGCTTTTGGCCATGTAGATATATTATACAGGATAATGAACTATCAGAAAAACCCATTATTTTGGGTTTGGTGAGAAGAATTTAATGATTCACTGGATTAAAACCCTTGCTAAAATCAAATTATGTTAAGATTGTACATTGGCTACGATCTATAGCGAGGTGTATGTTATAGCGAGGTGTATCAGTTATCTCTAAGGCCACTAATAGCTGTGAACATCTAGCTGTGGGCAGCTGAGCAGGCAACCAATTGCTGGTGGTGTAGCAGGGCATTAAATCAAATGGGAGCCATTAGTCGTGAGCGATTGGTTGTCCAAGTAAAAAAAAATGTACGTTCACCTGCCAGGCATGTCAGGTCCTGGCAACCATACATGCAACCGTTTCAGTCTCCCTGCCGTCGGGGGGCATTGGAGTTTATAATGCCTATTAGCCGTGGGCAACCAGTGGCATCCATGACTTTTGGTCAACTGACTGTGTGTGCATGTGCTTCACCGATCTGTCTATCCAAAACAAACCCTCGAGATGTCTCTCCGTCTCATCTGTCATCCGTTTATGACGCAGGTGAAGTGTTGATGGTAGCATAATTCGCTAAATAAATTATTATTAGTTATTAATAAATTAACCATGACTTGACTAGGTATGGGGACTCGAGCAAGGCCCCACTAGAAAAAACAGGCCATGCTGCAGCGCGGGTAGCGCAACACTACGTCACAGTGGTGGATAGTTGTACTAAACTCTTACCATTAAAATCTTACAAACAGCCAGCTTGTTTATTTACCTAAAACATATGGGAATGGTGATGGCAATGAATTTATTAATGAAATCTATCCACTAGTGTGACGTCATGGATCCTGCAGCATGGCCTGTTTTTTCTAGTGGGGGCCTTGACTCTAGTCACTAACATAGGGTAATGTCGAAATCTGTGGACTCTCTACCTTCTCTTATTCAAGAGAAGGAGCTCCGTACTACTCAACACCATCTTTGACACTGACTTTCAAAGTGGACGAATGAGACCACATTTAGCACAAAGGTGTCTGTCAAAAGGTTTTCTGCAGTTAACAAAATGAGTTGACCTGGCTCCAGATGAACTGGAACACTGACCGGCCAACTGCTCATCAAGATGATCATGGCTGATTGTGGTTTCAGTGCCGTATGATTGCCGAAAGCCTAATTGAAATTCATTTAATATATGGTTTTAAAAGAGGAAGTCAGATATTTTGGATTGGACTACTCTTTCAAATGCCTTGAAGCGAAGAAAACTAATGCCTAAAGAATACTAAATGGCCTAAATAATCTTAAGGAAGTTTAGGGGATGAAACAGTGACCAAATTTGGAGGACATTCGACACTCTGGAAAACGAAATCTCCAAGGGAATCAGCTAAAGCAAGGATATTCTTTGGTAAGCTGTTTAGGTCGGAGATTGTGAAGTGGGCAATTGGGTGCTTCAACCCATTTTAAGTCCTATGTAGTCCTATGACTGCATTGTACATCTCGTGGTCCCTGTCACGCTGATCTCGGCGGATCTAGGCTGGAATCCCGAATGACTCTCTGGTGGGGGGCAGCAGCGTCACCAGTACTAGGTGTTCGTAACGATGGGTACTGGGTTGGTCTAGAACGAAGCTTGCTTCTCTTGGAACAGGACGCTCACCCAGACGTTCAGGTATAGCAGGAGCTATGTCTGAGCACTGCGGGACCTGGGATAAGGTTGGATGCAACCCGTGCTGAGGGTCTCGCGGCACTGGGGGCTTAAATCAAGAGTGTCTTAAACGGAGCCTACTGGGCACCAGAGGGAACCCATCAGTATGTACCCCTTACCTCTCTAATCGGGTCACTGAAGAGGCGGACTGCAGCAACCCGGTACTCGTGAGATCATTGATCGTTGATTCAACATGGAGACTAATAAAATTGCAGCAGCAGCTACAAAAACAATCAATCCAGAGGCAGAATTGACTGAAAAAACACAGGCCTTAGTGCCTCAAAACTCAGGAGAAGCAATTCCTCAAACAGTAGAGGTCCTTGTGGCACCTCCAGGCGAGGAAGAACCCCAATCCACATCAGGATCAGAGCTCAACCGAGAGGTCGATGAAACTCAGGGAGAGCTAATGTCTCAAACTCTGAGGAGAAACAACTCCTGGACAAAGCCAGCGGTGATGACAAAGAAATCACTGAAAAAGCCAAGAAGCTCAAGTTGTATGATAAAATTCCGAAAATGGGAGGAGCCCGCTACAGGCCATTCAAATAACACAGACGGCAGGGCCACTCTGTCGAAGACGAACGGAACTGAGCCTGGAAATGGTACCACAAAAAAGGGACACAAAACCAAGGGGCAAACAAAAGGCCGAGATTAATAAACACTACAACCCAAAATCAAACAAGAAGAACAGAGGAGAGGAGTCGGCAGAGGCCGCAACAGGGGGTTCAACATCAACCTCCCAAGCTCTCATTCAAGCAGGCTGCAGAGGAAGCTGTCCAGGACAAAATCTTGAAGGTAATCTGGAGCGGAGAAAACCATGAGGTTTTTCCTGGCTTTAAAAGCCAACACAGGAGACAAGGGTACCTAGTACTGGTCTGCAAGGACGAGGACACCGCAAGGTCCTCCAAGAAAGTCCAAAGAAGAACAGCTAGGGGACTCTCTCCTTGTCATTCCCAAGGGAGACATCCCGAAGATCAAATTGGCAATGGCATTCTTTCCAAACTGCAACCAGCTCAAAACAGAGGATATCCTGCTGTGGCTGGAAAAACAGAATTAAGGACTAAAAACCACAAGTTGGGGAGTCCTCAACAGAATTGTGGACGGGACTACAGTTAAACTTTTTCAGGCTGTGGATCCACTCACAGGATCAAAACTCGAGAAGGAAGGACTGATAATGGCCTACTTCAAGATGGGCGTGGTGACGCTGAAGCTGAGAGGCAAAAGAACAAGAGGGACTGAGGACAAAAAACCTACAACCAAAGATCCACCTGCAGCTGCCCTAGGCAAAGCACCTCCGGATCGGACCAAGAAACCATGGAAACGGAGGCCTCATCAAAAGGGGAGGAGGTGAAGGAACCAGTAGGTACCACACCACCCAACCCCGCACAAGAAGCCAAAGAACGTGAAAAGGAGAAGGAGACAGATAGAGAAAGTGATAAGGCAAGAGCAGCCAGCTCTCATCACTTCCCGATCTTTAGGAAAATCAGACCAGAGAAGAGGGAGGAGAGGTGGAGGGGCCCCTCAGTCAGGTCTGATAGAAACTTGAGAAGACCCGAAAAAAGGGATTCAGGGTACCGTCCTCGAGGAGGAAATCACTCCCCCAAGAGGGGGAGGCGGAGATATCATAGGGATTCAATTTCTACAAGCAAAGCTCCAGCACAAGAAAGGAGCCACAGCACTCCTGAGTCGGAGATTTGCCATACCAGGGCTGGACATCGCCCTCATCCAAGAACCCTGGGTCGCAAGGGGATCGATTAGAGGACTCCCAACTCAGGTGGGTAAACTAATATATGAGAGGTCAGATATAAGATCTAGAGCCTGCATACTGATATCTCCAAATGTAAGGTGTTTTACTGTTCCAGAGTTTACCAATAGGTCACTGTCTCGGTGGACCTGCTCACCGCCAACAGGTGCCAAAAGGCCTTAGGCTTCGGCATACTATCCGAATCCTGGGGACGCCTGCCCCCTAAAGGCAGTGGAACGCCTGGTAC